ATGTTCAATTTACCTTGCTGTTGTAGAGTGTTCTGCAAAACCTTCTGTTTCACCTGTTTCTATCAGAAATTCGGTGCGTCGCAGAACAAAGTTATGTGTAGATAACTGAAATGTGTCCGGTACTGGTATGGTAATGGTCTGGTACTATATGATACATAGTATGATGAGGGCTCCTTTAGTTTTCTTATGTAGGTGTTAAAGTAATTGCTGTGATTACTCCTGAGACCTTATAAGTTCTGGTCATATTGATGATTTTTTTTTTTTTTTAATTTGAGTTAACAAAAAAAAGAGTATGTGTTTATAGAAAATGACAGTGATTACGTGAAAATACGTATTTGGAAAGAGCTTTTGGGTACTGTCTTATTTGGCCTTTAAAACCAAGCATTGGGCTTCTCATATCTGCAAGATACAAAATGTCTTTTGTACAAAGAAGGCTGGCTGACTCGACCATTGAAGCACGCAGAAACATTCATTATTCTTTTTTTTTTTTTTTTTTTTTTTTTTCCTTCTTTTTTTCTCTCCCCCTGTGATCGGAGCGCTGAGCCTAAACTGCAGGAAAAGGTCCTAACTGAGAACAATCAGGATGGGAAACTTTTGGAGAAGAGGTTAAGGAAAGGATCAAACTCTTAACATTGCTCTGTGGACCGATCTCCGTGTCCTGAAGGGCAAAACCACTAATGCAGCTTGTTGATTTTTTGTAGGACTCTGTCTGCTTGGCATGATGTGTAAGCGGGAGTCGTGTATGCTGGTAGGGCTTCTGGGCACTAATGTACTTAAAGTAATAGCAGTGGGTGTGTTTCTGGCTTCAAACGCTTAACTCCTATAGTTAGAGCTGTAGTAACATGCGGATGGAGAAATCTGTTGCAAAAATCGGAACTGCGAAGCTGTTCAGTTGTGCTGGCTGAAACTTTTCTCCACTGTTTTCCATAGAAAATTGGATTCTCTTATAAGTGACTTCTGAAAAGGTTTCTGCTTTCTTTCCATTATTTTTCCAGTGAAATGTCTTGGCAAAAACCATTGAATTTTCTCTGGGAGCTCATATTTCAATTTTAAATTGAATGTTTAGGTTGAAAATAAGAACTCTTTATTATAAAGTTCAGCTGGAGAGAATTGACTGCAATAACTAACTTTTAATGTGTGTTTAGGTATTTTTTTATAAGCTTGTTATGAATAGCTTTGGGCATTCTCAATAATTACTATAGACTGCAACTTTTAACTTTAAATACTTAGTCCGTAGACCACATTAAAGAGATAAGGTCTTGTCTCATGAAATAGCTTCCATTTATGTGGCTCAGAAGATTCCGAGGGCCTCTCAAACTACATAAATATAAGAACACTGCAAAAGTACAGCCAGGCTAGCAAGCAGCACGTAGTATGGTTCACGTCTGTGTGTAGGGAAGGAGGGAGGGCGGGAGAGAGAACAGCTTGGGGCAGAGTTGGAGGATGAATGGAACTCCTCTTCGTGACAGAAAGTACTGTGGCATCATCTCATGATTGTGAACAGAACAGATACGCTTCTTGAGACTCATCCAAAAGGCTTCTGCACAGTGTACTTCATGATTGATGGCCAGTCTGTTTGTAGGAGGCTCTTTACCAGGATATTTTACTGACAAAGCATTGTGAGTGCAGATGCAGATGCAGTGTGAAGCAGTGCTCTCACGGATGCCTGTTTGCCAAAGCATAACACAAGGTGCTTTATAACATGCCTGCACTAGAGATGTAGCTGGCATGCTGGTGTTGGTCATGGGTCACTGCAGCCTGAAAAATAAAAAAAAAAAAAACAAAAAACAAAGCAAAACAAAGCACAAAAAACCCAAACCCTAAAAACATGTCTGAATTTGAGAAGCTTCAGGCCATCTTTGAGTGTGCTGGGTTGACTGTTGGCTGAGCCAGGAGTAAGGTTTGTCAGACTGCTCTCATTGCAGCAGAGCCATCGGGAATCGCTGTCCGTCCCTCCCAACCTGCTGGTTTCAGTGATCATCCACTGGGTCTGTGAAAGGATCTGGGCTAAAGCCGCAGCACCGAGCTCGCTTGTGTGTCTGGCCAAAACCAGTGCATCTGCTTGAAAGGATAATGGGCAGAGGCTGATGCTGGTCAGTCGGAGTGGAGTCTGTGGTTTTAGTAAGGTTTCTATTCAACTTGCCTTTTGAGTTGCTGAATCAATCTCTATCAGGGTCATAAACAATTGCATGAATAGAGATGTGATGACTGGTGCTGTTTAATGTCTATTCTTACTAAATCTTACAACCATAATGTTGAAATGGGACTAAAGGTTTCTCTAAAGAGGGAAACTGCTCTGTATTTCCTTTAGATCTGTTTCTCCGACTTCCCACCTCCATTTTCCATGGCCGCCTTCTGTTTTGAAGAAATGTTGGGAGATCATCTCTTATTTTTTTTGCCAGAATTGCATGAGATCTTGGGAGCTTGTATACTCAGACAATGTATGCTAGTTATAGAGTATAGTAAACTTGGTAAGTGTTTCAACATGAGAAGTTTAGCAGCAGTAAATGTGGAACTGTTTTCAACTTCATTATTCCTAGATAATGACACAAACTAAACTCAGAAAGGCCCCTTCTGGCTAGAGCTTCCACATGAGGTTGTATTAATCAAACCACTTGTTTAAACTGGATGATTTGTAGCTGTAGATGTGCATTGTGATTTTTGTTGTGTTTTTTTTTGTTTGTTTTTTGTTTTTGTTTTTGTTTTTTTTTTTTTTAAATTTATTTTTCATTAGACAAAGGAATCTGTTAATAAAGCAATTCTGGTTATTTATAGGGGCATTTCCATGAAGGCCTATAGGACAAGGGGTTTCTCTGTGTGTTCTGCTAGCACTGAAACGTCCAAAACCATCAATGAAGAATGTAACTTCTTCAGAGAAAACGGTTATGCCAGAATAAGCATGAATTCACTTTTCCGGTATAATGTGCTTATGTTGATAAAGCATATTCTTACTATACAGGAACACAGTTTACTGGAAGAGCTAGATCAGCCCAAGGGGTTTCTACTGTGATAATTCTGCGTGTAGCAAAACGTGAAGATTTATAGGGGATGTTTATGGATGAGTTTGACTGTCTTGGGTTATTTTTATACTTTGCAGATAAGAAATGAAAGAAAAATCCTCCTCCTATATGCTTTTTCTTCTTTTATATGTGCACTGAGAGTCAGGAGCAGATTTTAGTTCAGTTGCTTCCCTGTCTTCTAGGCCAAAATTTACGAGTAGAGTTACTTGCCTGACATTTCTGAACATCAGTTGGGTGGCTGTTTATTGGTGCTGTTGGTTTGTGTTGGATTTGGGCTGTCCCAGTCAGGCCCTGGGCGAATGCCGTAGGCTGGAGGAGGCACAACCCCAGAGCTGTTCTGCACGGCTTGCGATGTTCAGGGCCTTTGTGTAGCGTCGGCACGTTGTTACGAAACATGACCAAGGTAACACTCACCTTCTAGGCCACTGTGTATCTGATCCCAAATGTCCCGACTACTTTTAAGTTGGCTGTTGCTCTGTTTTGACAGCACAACTAGAATGTTTTTTTTATTAGTCTCTTGTGATTCCTAGATATGAGGTTAACTTTTTTGCATTCTGAAAAGAAAAGCTTTTCCTAGTCAGATAAGAAGTGTTTCTTCATACCTTTAATATAACAGACTGCAGAAATGTTTGCCTGCCTTTCTATCCTTCTTAGTCATGAGATTTTTATCCAGTTAGCTGAAGGGTTGTATGCAAGTTCCTTGGAATGAGAGCTTCTACAAGACTGGCTGATCCAAAGTATATAAACTGGTTATAGGAGGGGAAATCTGTTTCCTCATGCAAATACAAAAGCTGTGATACCAATGGAAAAGCTTCTATTTGATTTATATCATATCCTTCCATGTCTTGAAGAAATAGAAGTAATCCCAGGTGTTTTCTGTCATATGTCCATTAGTGTTTTTCTTCTGTTCCCTTCCTTTGCCAGTCTCCAATCCTCTACTTTCTGTTGCCTGTTCCTACCCTTTGCTATAGGATTTCCCCCTGGTAACTCTAACGAAATGACACTTCTGCAGCAGAAGACAAGGGAGATTATTAGACAGTGAGTGAGCCTTTATACTTCTAACTCTGGAAGGACCTTAGATACTAGACACCTAATTAAAAAGTCAAAGCCACTTCAAGAAACAAATGTCTAAATATAACCTCAATTTTGTGCAGATGGACTCTGGTAACTAAGGCTTCACAAGATGAATACAATATATATAGGAACTCCTGTAGCTTCTCTAATATAGAATTTTTATTAGCATGGTCCAAGGGCTTTATTAGCACTAATTTGGGACGGCTTGCTAAACTCACTTGTGCTTCTGTTGCTCCTGAGTGAACTCCCAAATTAAAGTCAACAAACAGCTGTGCCTCACAGCCTAGTGTATACTTGTAATGCACAAGTTTTAATGTGTTTTGTGCATGTGTTTTGTTTTTCATTTCATGAAAAGTTCTGCATATTCAGGCCTCTGATTTTTTTTTTTTGTGTGCTGTGAGGTTGGTTTTGTGTGTTTTTGTGGGTTTTTTTCCTAGACTAGTACCCATTCCTACTGTTTATTCAATGCTTTATTTTGGAAAACCATTCACTGTTCTAGAATCTTACTGCCCATATGGAGATGTGAGCATGTACCAGATGCTAGGTCGCTGAAGTCAGCTGTTCATTGTGGAACTTGCAGTCAAGTACCTATTGCATACCAATAATCCTCAAGGGTATGGGCTACACAATTCTTGATTTCAGGAAATGACAAAGAAATAAGTAGAATGACAGTTCCTTCATGTAAATATTTGACTAGTCCATAGAAACTTGCAAAATGTATTTTCTTAGGCCGTATTTTTTCTTACAAGAGCTCATTTTGATAGGTTTAATATCCTGGGTGGCAATCAAAGACTCCTTTCTTAGTATGCTTCCTACCTGTATTAAAAAGACTGTGGTTCCTCTAATCTTCTGACAAACTGCCCTCCTGATGTCTTTTTGAAAACATCTCTTTTCTTTTTATTTCAGGACAAACACCATGATGCTGCTCACGAAATTATTGAGACAATTCGGTAAGTGTTCAGTGCAGACGTGGCTAGAGCCCTTTCCTGTGTCTTACTGTGTCTCAGTGAATGGATGTCTTGAGACAAGATATAAAGGAGACCAGCAGTTATAATTATAAGTTAGCAGCCCTAAATTATTTTATAAGCTGAATTGATATTGTTGCAGTACAAATCTTGTCAAATAGACTTTGTTTTAACTTGCCTCTCTGTTGAACGGAATTAAAAATGAGTAGTGATATTCAACTTTGGTCCTTATGGTAGTCTGTATTTGATCTTTAGAAAAGCAAGGTTAAGAAAACATCATTGGTATGATGTGTGAAGATCTGGTCTTGCATATCCTTTTCCCTACCCTTTCCCTTTCCCCTTGTTGATGTGAAGTTACAGCATTGTTAGCATTTGCATTATTTGGGAATAATGTCCTTATTAGTATTCTGCTGATAAGTGGACCAGTGTGGGGAAAAATGTGAGGGTAAAGGTGAAAGAAAAGTGAAGAGTAGGAAGTCTTGAGTGTTTCCCAACACAGGCAGTGGTTATGACATGACTTGCTGTTATTTCAGCAGGATTAGGAGGTGACTTGCTGTAGAACAACTTTTATTAAATGCTAACACAAGCTCTTCAAACACCTGAGGGATGCTAATGTGTTATCCACATTAGATTGTGTAAAAGCTGTTCTTGCTAACTGTTTTAGATCCTTACCGTACACACTTCTCTTGTCTGAGGGCTGTATCTGCAGCAGGTTTTAATGGTTGGATGGTGCAGATAGAGGTGAGGCACAAAGAATGGTGTTTTATCTGCATAGCCACCTGAGCTTGAAATTTGGTCAGTCACATATGGCCTAGGAAAAGGTAGCAAGTCTTGTTTGCTCCCAGCGTGAGTGCTTGCATAGTAGTGTTCTTGATATTCACTTAAATACATGAAATAATAGCATTTTCCCATGATCTGTGGTGGGAGAGAATGTGTAACGGGCTAAGGGCTAGAGCTGAGAATTTTTCTTCTAAAGAATTTTTTTTTTCTAACTACAAAACCTTGACAGAAGATGCACTGCCACTACTACTTCCAGTTCACTTGTACTGATGTTGATGATGTGCCTTGGGAACCTGTGGCATCATTTGTCAGTATGATTACTGAGAAGTCCCTTTCTAAAGGGATTTAAACAGATGTGGTGCTGAAAGTGATTGCTGGAGTCATTGGTGCCATGCTTTCTGTGCTACGCTAGCTGAAAGCAAGGGGAAAACTGTGTTAGAAAGCAGTTGGGCCAAAGTAATGTTTCACAACTGTGTTTTTAGCGTGATTGCAGTGAATACAGTATGTTCAAAGGCTTTCATGCTGCCTTTGCCTGCCTTGTGCAAGGTAACCACAATGTGGTTATGAAAGTGGTGGGTAAAAGAATGCAAAGAAGTATTTATTTGTTCAAGCCTGTCAAACACTTGTTGACTGTCCATTTCCCTAATCTAAGTGAAAAAAAAATTAGAGATCAGAGTCCTAACATTTTTAGGGAGATGGAAGATATTAGTCAGAGGAGAGTCAGCCATAGGCATACAAGTTCTGTTTGTTACTTGCCTAGGTTTGATAAAGGTGAATCAGCCAGAAGGAACCAAAACTGTTGAATGTCCAGTCATTATTTTTTTTTCCTACCATTTTAAAAGTGAAGCACGCTTCAAGGAATATGAAGAAAAAGCTCTGCCATTCCTTTTGGAATTCATCCTATGACATGCTCCGAGGTTTTTTGAGTATGACAGTGCTTTCCCATTTTGATGCTTTTGGAGGAAAGTGTGTGCAAAGCTCATGCGGCTTTTAAGATGTCTTTGAAAGGAATTAATCTTCCTACATTCCAAGACTGAAGATGTCTTGTTCTGTAAGATGCCATTGTCAGATGCACTGCAAGTGGGTGCGTGCTTTCCATTTCTAATGGCAACAACATATGGGGCTTTGTTAACTCAGCTTGTAAAAGGGATCTTTTTTCAAAATAACTTTTGAAAAATCTGTTTTGGGTTGTGTCAAGTAAGGTATAAGAGCAGTTTAGAGCACTACACAGGGGAGAATATCCTTGCAATGAATGGTTGGTGCCATTGTTTTGGGGTGCTGTAGGAAATGTCTTCTCCACGTGCAGCTTTGTATCAGAATTGCTTTGAAATATTGCCCTTCTGCATCACATTTTATGTTAGAGTAGCATCATCTATGGCTTTGAGTATTTCTAGATGCATTGAATACACTTATCACCTTGTTCTGAAGCTGTGCCGTTTCAAGAGCTTTATACTACTGCCAGTGTCAACAGGCACCTTACTGTTTATTTCATACAAATGTGAACTATTGCAGCTTCCCAATTAGCATTTTGTTATATTTACCTTACTCCTAACAATATTGTGCTCTTTCAGGTCTACTGAAGTATTCCGTCTTACATATAGTAATTCCAGTCTAGAATTGAGACAGACTACCTTATTATACTTAATTGGAGATGTTTTTATTTGTCATTTCTTCTCTTGTTCCAGGTGGGTCTGTGAAGAAATCCCAGATCTCAAGCTTGCTATGGAAAACTATGTTTTAATTGACTATGATACGAAAAGGTGAGAGGAATATTTTTTTTTTTCCCCCCACCAGGAGGACAGGCCAACACAATTTATAGTGAATCAGTTTGTAACTAGTTATTCTTAGACACTATGAACTGAAGTTTTCTTTTAGAACTGGCTTCAGACTCTGCGGAGTTATTTTGGTAGGAAATGTGTAACAGCAATATTGGCAAGGGCTGTTGGATTAAGGACATAATTGGAAACTCCACACAGCAGAAAGTTGAGCTCTGGTGTACGTTGGAATTACTCACTTCAAAACAATGATCGGTATCTGCGCTGTTGGATGGTGTCCAGTGTTAGGAATCTGAATGGCACAGAGGTTTCTACTTCTGTAGTAACTAAGAATTCCTGTTTTGAAAGTGGCATGCCAGAGCTGTTTGTCAGTGCTGTGTCCTCCATCTGCCGTGACCGTGGGAGGTTAACCTTCCCCATCCCTCCTCTGGGTGGGATTCAGTGCAAGTGGAATGCTGTATAGTTGGGGGGCTAAATTAAAAGGCACACTGTTCATAACACTCTTCTGGGCAGTTAGAAGTAATTTTAAGATGCTGGTAGTTACATACGAACACCTATGCCACAAGTATCTTTAAATGAATGTATAGTCTGTGGCATTTACCTTGAAGCTGGGAGAGGCAGATTCTGACCTCTGGTATATCTATGGAGAGGTGTGAGGTTCTGTGTATTGACTTGGCTGTACTGAGACTGGAAAAAGAGATGACCCTCAAGCTGCAGTTTACAAAAACCTCCTTAGTTGCTTTCATGGGAAGGACTAAATTTGTTTGAGTCCACAGCATGGCTAAACTTTTAGAATGACGTTTACAGATTAACCTGCAGTGCTCTAATTAGTCACTGGCTATTTTCCTGAGCACCAGATACTTGTATCATGATCTGCTTAAGATACTTCTTCCTCTTCTCTTAATTTTAATTGTTTCATTGCAAGACTTGTTAGTCCCTCTATTCCTCCTGAAAAATTCAAAAGGAGAAATCAGGGTTGAGCATCCCTTGTCATCAGATCCATTAATTTGGATTTGTGGATTACTCACAGCGACTGCAGTGCTGTAACTTTTGTAGTTCTGGCATCCTCACTGGGCATGTTTAACTGGGTAGCATCAGTGTGGTTGGCAGCAGTACTGAATAAAAGAGAAAACCATCTGTTCCCAAAAGTCATACCCCACTTACCTTTCTGCAGCTTTCCAAGGAAGTCATAAACCTGTAATTTTGGTAGTGGTTTTAGTCTTTTTGCCTCCTTTGAAAAAATGAATCAGAAAAATTACTTGTAGCAGATAGACTGACACATGGATGTGAATGAGAAGCAGCAGATTATAGAAACGCATGCACCGTGCAGACAAAAACCCGTTTCAGCCTCTTGCTTTGTCTTAACGTGGAATTAAACACAGGCAGTTGAAAGCTTGAAGTGAAAGTCAGCAGTACTCCTCAGAGATGTCCTAGTCAGTGTAGTGGTAATGAGAATCACAAGAGACTGAAGAGCTGCTTCCTTCCGATGTCCCCTGGTCCCCCCGCCCCTTTCCTGATTTGGGGATAGCCATGATTTAATTATATTATTCCTGTAATTACTTGGATTGGTTTTTTTTGCTGCTGCTTTGTGGGTCTGGTTATATAATGGATGATGTTCCTAGTAATATCTTTTCTTCCCTGGCCTGAGATGAATTTATTTAATCTTCTCAGTTTCTGTCATTAAGTCATCTGCCTCGGTTGACTGTAATCCCAACCAACTCGTGAAGCAATCAGTATGTTTTCCTGATGGGTGAAATTTTAGTCTGTGTCCTGGGTCTGTCTGCATTTTCAGTCCCAGAGTTAATTTCTAGAGAAGTATCTTCTTGTTTCAGGACTGGTTATCATGGAGAGATGATGGAACAAAGGAGAAAACATTACAGATGTGTTAGATTTCTGTGCAGCTGAAAATATGGAAGAGAAGTAGTGGACTGTGAGAATACACAGTCTTGGAATGACTTTCCAGGTCATACTTTGAGTTCAGTCCTTTTTCCATTAATTAAAGAAACTAGCATTATTTGTCATATATATACTCTGGTCTACTGGGGACTTTTTGTAAAGGAAACTGTATACGAAGTCCTAAAGCTGTGTATGTAATTACATGTTCTGCAAGAAACAATCCCTAAGTAGCCACCTACTTACAGTATGTATGATGGCAAAAAAAGCACAAGGTTGTACTTTCAAACCTGCATTTTAGAGTTCTGTGTTTTTAACTGACCCTGTGTTCTTTCTCCCCACATAGCTTTGAAAGCATGCAGAGGCTTTGTGACAAGTACAACCGAGCCATTGATAGCATTCATCAGTTGGTATGTATTTACCTTTGTTGCCATCATGTTTATCTATCTGGTTTGAGATCACATATAGTGAATATTATCCAGAAAGTGGTGACTGACTTAGCGCTGGCATATATGTGTTAGTCTAGTTGCGTCACCAGTATTCAGCACTTCCGTTCTTTTGGGGACTTAAGTCTGATATTAAACCTTATTTTCCTGATCATACCTGGACAGTCAAGGAGTTAGTATTGGAGGGACATTCTTATAGGAAGGAAAAAAAAAAAACCCGTTGTTTTTTTTCTTTCCCCCAAACTACAGATTTGTAAACTATTACTCTTTAGTGAGCACTTCTGGCACCATTATTCTGGCACTTTGAAATAGCTAAGTTACCTTTAGGGAGAAGAAAAGGTTTCTCTGCATTTAGTGTGTAGAAGTTTCACAGGGATTTATCATATAGATTTACTTTTGCATGGGGAAATCTGTGGCTTATGGGTACTTAAATAATCCATATGAAGTCTCCTGTGTATTATGCAAGTGATCCATGGCTTTGGAATTTCCTTGCTTGCCACTCAGTTCAGCTGCTCTATTCTGCGGGATCACTCTGGCAAAACTAGAATGTAATCTCTTTTCAGGCCAATTTAACAAGCTTTTTGGTTTTCTTACCCCTATAAAAGGTTGAACTGGAGGAAGCAAAACATGAACAATGAATTAATGTTACTATTTGGTTTAATTTTGAAAGTGTAGATGGATTTTTTTTCTCTGATGTGCTTGTGGGAATTATTTGAAGCATGCAGTATTATTGCAACAAGATTTTTTTAGCCAGGCTTTCCTTCACTTTGTGAGTGTACAATTCCCTAGAACTTGTGCTTGTTTGGGTTCAGGTGTCTTCATGTGTATGTTGGTTAACAGCTGAAAAATTTGAAGCTATTCAACATTTGAAGTTGCTGTCTGAAGTGGCAAACCTGATTGGCTTCATCTTCTTGCCATTTGAATCTCAGAAGAATGTTTAGGTTGGATCCTAGAGTTGTCCTCTTTTTTTTGTTTGTTTTTCTTTATCAAAGGGAGAGGTAGACATTTTTGAAACCTTTATGTTTAGGACAGGCTGTTTTCTGAAGAAGAAAGGAAGCTTGATTTCCATCTCTTTCCTGCCACTCCCTCTTTGAGTACATACGATCCCTGCCATCCTACAGTTCTTGAAAGAGAAATGAAACTGCTCTTATGTTGACAGTACAGTCAACATCAGTTCAGTGGCGATCAGTAAATAAAAAAATGAGTGAACAAACTTTTACACCTACTCCAGCTATATCCAATATTAAACTTTACATTGCCTATTGATTTTTTTACATCTCTTTCATTTCCCCCTTACCATGTATTTCCAGCAGGCATATTTGAAATTACCCGTTAGTTGAGGTGAATCAAAGTATAGACCAACCGGTGTTGCGTAATTTCTTTGGTATCATTCACTGTTTTCATCTTTATGGAGTGCCTGCAGACCAGCTTGTGAGAGGGGCTGGGAGGGAATTTCTCTCATTTCTATGTTATGCCAATGCGGTCTTTTTTTGGTGACATCTACTTGTCTTCACGTTGGGTTCATATCTTCTTCCTGCTCTTTACCTTTAGTGGAAAGGAACCACCCAACCGATGAAACTGAACACTCGTCCCTCCAACGGGCTCCTCCGGCACATCCTGCAGCAAGTGTATAACCACTCGGTGACTGATCCAGAGAAACTTAACAACTATGAGCCCTTTTCCCCAGAGGTTTACGGAGAAACTTCCTTTGACTTAGTGGCCCAAATGATAGATGAAATTAAAATGACAGAGGATGATTTGTTTGTTGACTTGGGCAGTGGTAAGTGACCAACAACTTCAGTGGGTTTTCTTTTTATCTTTTTGCTTGCTGTTTTCCCTTTTCTTTAAAAAAAAAAAAAAAGTGAAATTCCTATTTGGAAAGTAAACCAGGACTAAAGATTTTGTTTGAGAATTAAGCACGTTTTCTAGATAATCCCCAGTGATGCTCCTGCTTTTTATGACAAGATTAAACAGACCAAACAGACATCCCAGACATTCTTCCCTGTGGTGTTAAAATGTCCACCTACAAATGCAATAAACTCTTATTTACAAAAAACTCTTGGTTTCTGTTGCTTTTGGTGGATGAACTTATAAAACCTGAACAATATTAAAAATAATGCTTCAAAGATAACAATAGCGGTTCCATTTCTAAGGATTCATCTGTTTTCAGTAGTTCTGTGTATGCCCTTCATATCTGAAAATGTGATTTCTTGACCCTTCCCACACCAGCATGAAACACTTGGAGTGAAATCTGAAAATTAAGCAGTTTTTTTCCTTGACATACTTGTCAGTGTGTCAAAAAAGGCTGTCTACTGTGCTTTAACAGCTGCCTTGTGAGACCCCACAAAAATCTAGCTTCCAACCTACAACTGCATCTTGTGAACATGTTAGAGTTTTAAAAGGAAATAGATGTTTCTAGTTGGTAAAGAAATCAGATATGACTCAAACACATGTGGAAGTGATATACTGAGTAAGAAGATGGGTGTTCTTTTTTTTGTTGCTAAAGTCTGGTCCAGAGCAGGAAAGGAGTAATAAGAATTTCCCCTTTTACTGGATGCGCTGTAACGTTTTAAATGAAGTATGTTTTGGTTTTGTTGTTGGTATGATACAGGATTTCTAGGGAAAAATATTTTAAAATACATTCTGTTGTTAAAAAACAAATATATTTTAAATTCAAATGCAGCTTTTTTTTTTTTTTTTTTACCTCATGCTTCCTGCCTTAGTAGGACTATGTCTGAAATGTTCTGTTTCAATGACTTATGTTCAGATGGGACTTTTAGAAGGGCATCAGATCTGACAAACTGTTTTCCATCTGGAAGAAAAAAATTGCTATAGATGCTCTCAATTGTTTGTTCAGGAAGGTCAAAGAAGATCATATCTGAAGTTCTGTAGTGCTGCTGATTATGTAACAAGCTAAATGTTGGATACTTTTACCTGCTATCATCAGAAATAAAATCAGGCATTTACTGGTAACCTCCTCACTTTAATCTTGGAGATTGACCAACAGTATAAAAATTCACAGTCTAAAAATCCTGTATGAAAGTAATGATTTAAATTCAGAAACCTTTTGACTTTTCATGTTTGGAGTGCTGAAACAATTAAAAGCAGAACGTAGTGGTTGAGTTGGTAGTGAAGGAGTGAACTTTTTGCAAATTGCAATCGAAGCAGTATTGAGTACAGTGTAAGTGAAAACATTGTCATAGTGTATTATTTCTATCGGTACATTTATTGCTGTTCCAATAACTACACACATACAGCAGTGGCTGAACAGCAGGGCTAAAGCCCCCCCAGGATGCTGTGGCTGTCCTTGGTAGTTTTGTGTGCGATGCCAGGAATATGTGTCTCGTTGCAGGAAGAATTTATGGAGGTATGCATCATCATTAGGCAAACTGAAATTGTAATACAGTTAAGTTCTTGTAAAAGGAAGAGCCAAAAGAAGACGAGATTAATAACTTAAGCTGTATCATGTGATATCTGACAATGCAGGCTGTTCTTGATTGTCCTTTTAGTCTTTGTCCTCCTTGCTCTTCATAAATAAGAAACAACAAAACAGTTCTGCCTCAGATCTTTGATTGTCTGTGTTTTTCCCCTCTGCAGAAATTTGTATCTCTGTATTTGCTTGTGTATAAAATATACATGTGTATGCAAAATGGGAATTGGCAAAAAAACCCCCAAAACAACCAGAAAACCCAACAACAAAACCCCCTGTCAGCACTACAGTTCTCATTGTGCCAGACAACATTATAGTGGTAATGGTTTAAATGCAGGAGTTCCACCCCTTCAATTACCAGTGCCGCTTCCTGCCGGCAGCCAATGAAATGGAAAACAGCAATATGTTTTCTGTGCAAATGGGCTATCCTCTTAGATTCACTCTTGTTTCCCATGTGGTCATCTGCAGAATGAATAAGTGCACTGGTGAGACAAGAATGCATTTTGTGTTAGTCATAGACAAAAAGTGATGCATTAGTGTACTACTGATGAATATTGGATGTTTTAAGAAAATATTAAGTGACTGCTTTAACAAATGTGGATTGACATTGCTCTACTGTGTGCAAAATGTGGGTTGCTCATAGAGAGAAATCTAATGAATATTTTTTCTTTTTTGAATGTAAGCTGGGGCGGCGGAGAGGGAATGCATTCAGGCAAGGTGTAGAAATGGCAGCTAGTTACTGCTGGCAGCGTCTGATGCAAGTGGAATTTGGAGTGATGGGAAGTTCATGCATTTTTAAGTAATACTTAGTCTTGCTAGTGTAGTGGTTGCTTCTGAAATTTTGAGTGTTGAACCCTATAATATTTTCTAAAGTAGAGTTCCGAAGTAACTCATGTTATAAATAAGCTTTACATGTTCTCAGACTTTGTCCAGCATTTTATGGTGAAAACCAGCATACACATTGCTAGACTGACCAACATTATAGCCAGTCTTTAAATTTATGGTGTAGGTATGTGACACACAAATACTTGTTTTGGGATGTGGTAGAGTTTCTCTAACTGTTTGTTCAATTAATTAAATAGTGAATTACAGTGTAAAACCTGTACATTTGATGAAATACATATAAAATTTGTGGGAAAAAAATTAAAATGCAGCTATTCTGAAATCTGTGTGAAACTGTAAAAATGACCCTCTAATATTTAGTAGAAGTAGCCATTATCAATACAACCATTGCTGAAATGTTTTAATCTTATGCTATTATCATAAGAAGTGCTCAATATGTTGAAAAATGTAAACCTTAGAACTACAGTGCTAGAAATTAATTTTTTCTGTAAGAAAAGTAAAATTGCACTGCTTTCTTAGTATTTCACATCTTGTAGGGAAATGGGACTTACTTTCATAATGCATGTTGCCTTGAATCTGCTTTTCAGTTGAGAGGTAGGCAGAGTTCGTATGGGAACTGTCAGACACAGCTGGGAGTTGAAATTGTACCCTGAAGCCTACTCCCACAGATTACCTGCATTTTTTCTGTTGGCCTTTGCTCTAAAAGCTCTTATCTCCACTTGCAGTGGTTTTCTACTGAAACTTGTTCTCCGGTCTGTTTTTTCTTTCCTGCAGGTGTGGGTCAGGTGGTGCTTCAAGTGGCTGCAGCCACAAACTGCAAACATCACTATGGTGTGGAGAAAGCTGATATTCCAGCCAAATATGCTGAGGTGAGTTTTTTTTTTGAAGCGAGTTGTGTGTATATGCCTCATTTGAAGGCTAACTCAGTGGTTCAGGATTACTTTTTAAGTGCTGCGCAGGAAGAAAAGCAGAGCTTCAGTCCTAGTTGCTTTTGCTTCTTGGGTCAGTGAGACCTGGAGCACAGCATGCTTGGGAAAAGAAAGGTATGTCTAGTTGATTGGCAGCAGTGCTTGTGGAGTGCACAGAAGGAGCATTAGCTTGTGCCTGAAGTGATTTCAGGAACAGGAGCTGTAAAGTGGTTTTAACAGTAATGGGGTAGGACCCATTCAAAAGGAAGAGCAGCATAAGCTTCACCTAAGCACCTGCAATCATTCTGTGTCTGAAATTACGCTAATACGAGGTTTCCAGAGACCATAGCATTAAGCAAATCTAGGAATTAATTAAAGAAGAAGTAGTTCTTAAAGGTTTTAAAGGCCGCGTTTCTGCTTATGGTAGTGATGCCCCTTTTTGGTGTCCTAAATCTGAAGTTCAGCGTAGTTATTAAACTGTTGTAGGCTAATTGATGAGGCCTGTGTTGGGTATCTGGTTAAAAACTGCTTAGTAGGCACCAAAATGAAGTCTTATAATAAGAAAACCATAATGTTTAGTCAGGCAGGCCATTTTCTTTCCACTTCTAATTCTGTGCCTATGGAGACACACAAAGATAATCAGTTCCAAGGCAAACCTGGAAAGCCAAATGAGCTACAAGCAAACAATAAAGGTTAGTCATGCCTTACCATAAGAAGTTTACTTTCTTCAGTAGACTGAACAGCAGCTTATCCCTCTGTATAGTTAAAACAAGCTGACTCAGTCTGTGCAGGCTAGGAAATTATACCTTATGAAAGGGGGGTGAAAAAAAAAAAATCCTTCATCCTCCTTTTCAGTGGTGTGGTCAAAAATGCATAAACACAGTGGTGAAGAGGATCAGACAAAGATCTAAAAATCCATTTTGTTTCCCCTGCCATGACCCAGTGGAAATTTCCAACTGGAGCGCTCTTTGCAGTGCCTCTGTGTGAGCCTTCTGGCTTCATTAGTGAGTCACTTGCAAGGCCTGGCCTGTCTGTGTTTACTAGTAAACATAAAGATCAGTGTTAAAGAGGGCAAGATACATTCTCACTTTCACTAATAGCCCTTCATGTCATTGTGCAAACACAAGGCTTTAGTGAAAATGGTTAGCAAACAAAAAAATTACCCACAAATTGAATATTAGGAGTGTTAACTCATGGGGTACCTTCAGTTTCAGAAGTACACCAGTATTTCATAAGATTACTGGATGAACAAAATATACTGCATTATTCTTCTGGTTACAGACCATGTCCTGTCAGATTTAACAACTAAACAGCTGCTGCAGTGTCAGAATGTGTGAAGCTGCCTGTGTACAGCTAATCTGCCTTGTGCTGTGTGTAATGGACCAGTTTTCCTCCCCATCTCTGACAAACATTTGTGGAAGGGTTTGGATTAAGTTTCTAGTTAAGATTGGCTGTGGCAACACATCTCTGGTTACTATGATAATTAATGCAGATGACTTTGAAAAGCTTCAGCTAAAGAGGAAGAACATTATGGATTTGTTTTAGTGGAGTTCTCTTTTTTTTAAAAAAAAAAAAGTAAGTTCACATAGCATATGAAAATACTGAAGATTTTTGAGTTATCCTACTAAGCTTTGGAGTGCTTTTGAAATGTAAAGAATTTTAAAACACATCTGTCAACACACACTGTTTTATTGACCTGCTGATGGAGGTCTCTACCATCTCCAACTTGCCAGGGAAACCAGAATTCCTGCTATGCTTCTCTCCCTTATCTCCTTTCCCTGTTACCTCCAAATTTGGGCCCTCCCATATGTGGAGTCAAATCCTAAAGATCCAGGAGGTTTTTTTCAGTCTTCTAAGATACTTGAGTTTCATTTTCAGATGTGTTGTAGCTGGGCCCTCACTGCCACTCTAAAGTGATGACCTGTGCTGCATATTGTCATCTATATAAGCTACAGCTGGGGATGAGATTTTGTAATTGGGGAGATGCTATTTGTAAGGCATCAAGCTATCTTGATGTATGGGGTTTTTGATTCCTTTCTCCTACATTTGAGCAATGGAAACCGGTGCCAGCCACCTGGTTGGGTAGTAGCAGCCTTCCATGCCCTGCAGCCCCAGTCTGGTTAGCTGGAGTTGGAAGCATTCTTCCTGGTTGTTCCAGCAAGCGCCATGCTCCTTCTATTTGCTGTTGCAATGCTTTGCATGCCACTTCCTGCTTTCTCATTCACCCTAGCAGGCATTGTCTTTTTCCTGTTTGTTCCTTTCCTATCTGGGCTTGGACTGGGCTGCATTCAGTGCCTCCTACTCGCTGTGGGATTATGTACCACAACACAGTAGCTGCCTAAGGTTGCGCCATTTTTCAGTGCTGAGCTGTGTTAACTCAGATTGCCTTGCCTATAGCATGTAACTGATGAAAAGGGGGGAGAGAAGAAGATGTCAGCTGATGAAGCAAAGGTTTTTTTAAGGAAACTAAACTACAATAGCTGTCTGCCTATCCTTTGAGTGTTAATGGCAAAAAACCCCAAACCAAACAAAAAGTCTTGGGAGTCAATGAACAGTCAGAGATGCATCTCCTTTTGCTGCTATGTAACTGGTAACATGAGATGTCCTAATAGGTGGTTTTGTTTTATCTCCTTCTAGACGATGGACAGAGAGTTCAGAAAGTGGATGAAATGGTATGGGAAAAAACATGCAGAATACACAGTGAGTGAAATTCAGCTGAAAAACTTTGTTATCCATGCTGATGTACAGAATTTGCAAAGTCCTCTTCAGCCTTTCACCAGCCAAGCAGCAGTATGAGTCATATCTGCTTCTTGGCTTTTATCTTGATCCTGAGGATGGTGTTCTCCACGACATCCTCCCAAGCCCCTCTCTTTGTCTTGCTTGAAAAGTGGTATGGTCTTATTGGGAGCACTTCCAGGTCTCTTCAGAAGCTCTTAGAAGATTCATTCTTCTAAAACATTGTTCTTTTGACCGGGGCTGCCATGTGTCTTCTGTTTGTATTAAATCTCCTTTTACTTTTTTTCCCCCTGCCCTCCTCTCTCCATGCTGTGGGAATTCTGCTGGGCAGACTATTGAAAATGGCAGCTCCTCCTTGGGTTTCTGAAATCTCCTGCTAGAAACAAAAGCTGAAGTTTTGGTTCTGCAGGCAGGTGAAGATGTGGTCTCCTGGGACAGGGGGTGGAGGGAATGGGATGGCAGGGTTTCAGCACTGGGGAGTGTGGGGTTGAAGTTCTGGATGACTGCCAGCACTGAGAGATTAATGCAGAAAACTCTAGGACCAATTAACAGGGTAGATGGTTTGTAGTTGGGGCTAAGGGTTGAGTTGTAGGCTCAGGAAGGATGGTGGGTGGTTAGTTCTGATTTGGAAAGGATTGGAATTAGATGCCCTGAGGGTGGAGCTAGAGCAGGAGGAGTAAATGGGTCATCACAGGACATCTCTCTACTTGGGGCTAGGGATACATGTTGTAATAGTTTTCCCCTTCCTCTGACTGTTACTTAATTACTGTGGATGTGTTTTCCACTCTGTAATGATAGTGTGAAGCAAGTGCAGAGTCATACACTGTCTTGTGTCATTCCTTCCCCTTTTCCTTTTCTCCCCTCTCTTAAATGTCATTAAGAACATCTGCTCCCTAATCATTTTCCAGTGAGGAAATGTATGTAATCATAGTACAATGGGAACCCACTGGCAGTTTTGAAAATACATGTATTTATGCTGCTTCTACCACTTTCCTATGGTCAAGGAAGAGGCTGAATGGATCAGGCTCGTTCCCTAATTGCCCCGAGAAGTTGGGTCACTCTTTGCGACTCAGAAGTTGCAGCTAGCAATGTGTACTGCAGTTGAAGCGTGAGCAAGTGTTTGGTGAACTACTTCTTCATTTCCCTTTCGTACAGAGCCATCATTGCTATGTTACAGGGATGGTTTGAACCACACGGCTTTCAGCGTTCCAGAAGTGTGGGATCAAATGGCAGGCTGTAGATGGCCAGCCTTTATTTCCCAATTTTCTGTGTCTGCTGGGATCCCTGGTGCTCTTTAGAGGATTTATATTGTAACAAAGGATGCTACAACCCTCCCTTTGGGAAGCAGGCTGGAGAAGGTGATGGTGCCACCTGCCTCTGCACTTCCTTCCTGAAATGCCTTTACTGTATAGCGTGATTTTCTTCAGAGGGATGCTGGGCCTGCTGTGGGACTAGTTTGTAGCAGGATTGATATCAGGCTGCTAACTCTTTCCTGCTGTGGAAACACTGTGAATGCTTTACTTTTCATGAAGTGGCCATATGGCATTTTTCCATTGTGTCACCCAGCTGGCATTACATGAAAGGAATTGTTACTGAAGATACTCTGCTTATGAGCTGTGTAATTTAAAGAATAGGATAGGAACTTGGACTAAAATATTGAAAGCATATTGATTGCCGTAGGCAGCGAGCATTTCCATATTGTGCATTCCAAGTGACAGAGTCTGGTACTATATTGAAACAAAGCTACTTATTTTTTGCTAGGTTCTTTGGCTTTTATAACTCTGTTTTCTGAAAAGTGTTCAGAGTAAAATTTCTCTTGAGTATGTGGTCTGCTTTTCTGGGAAGAGTTGAACACAGCATTTCTTGTCTTAAGGAAAGATGATTTCATATCACCTTGTCATAGTGACACTTGAAGACAGATTTTGGTCTTTTACATGTAGAGACATAGGGCAGCTTTTATTTAGTTTTTACTGCTTCATCAAACAACCTAGACTTACATTTGTGTTTTTTTTTTTTTTTGCCAAACAGTGTATTTTCTTTTGTTAACTCCTTAGGCAGCATCTTCTATAGGTGACTGTTGCTCCACAGAGAGCAAACTTGTATAGAAGACACTGGAAGGCATGGAATTAAAAGCCGCTTATCTTTGTCTTTCTGGAGAACAGCTTTGTCCCTGTGAAATGCTTAGTGAGGTCCCAAAACTCCAAATGTTGGAGACAAAATAAGCACAAATTGAAATAGTCTGTCATCAGCAGAGCTTAACTTGTGAATTCTACTCTGTTTTAGGCAGCCATATGAAAAATAAATATTTTGAGAAGAATAAAGTGTTGGAGGAGGGAAGCTTGGCAGAAGTTCAGTGGGAAGAAGTCTCAGATCCCACCTGCAGCTTTGTCTGAATAATGTGGACGGTGGTTTTAACTTCATGCATGTAACAGCTGCCTTGCTGTAAAAGTATAAATTGTGGTACATAAGGCAGCAATAAATCCTGCAGTTGGGTCTGCAGGGTTGTGGGTTTTTCTTTTTAACAGCCAAGAGCCTAAGAGCCTAGTACAATTATAGGTTTCCAATAGAAAGGGATTTTGATTTCTTACTGAAAAGTGATCTGCTGCTTGTCTTAAGTCTTGTCTTTTTAGCTAGCAGTGTTTTGGTGAGGCAACAGTTGATTGCCCTTACCAGCTCTGAAACCATCAGATTCACTTCCTTGCCTTCCCCACTGGAATATTCTTGTTATGGCTGGAAGTTCTGAGTTTGGACACATGAATTCTGGTGAGCAAGGTCCAGTGACAACATTTAAAATAAACCCTGATTGTCCAGGTATATTTCCATTCTATTTTGTCCACAATCATAGAAAAGTGTCTCTTTTGACAAATAGTTCCATACAAAATGCACAGAGTCACATACATGAAGATCTTTTCAGTAAAACAGAACGTGCATAGTCACCTTCAGATGATAATTGCATGTTGAACTTCTCCAGCAGCTAGTGGCGAAGTGTCCTGGGGCATGCTGGGTGCCTGAGGCTTCTGCAGAGCTACAGCTGCTGGTAATGGGTCATTGCTGCAGGCTGAGTGGGAAGATCCATTTGGGGCATGAGGGGAGTGGGAGAGAGGTTGCTCATCATACATTGCCTTGTGAGTCTCTTGATCTCCAGCTGTTGTAAATAATAGCATCTCATAATTCTGTTAAATACACCGAGTTTAATTTTAAATGACAAGCTGTTCAATCTCATGATTCTAATTAGAAAAAAAAAAAAATCATGAGAGTAACACTTTCTGGTAAGGATCTGTCTTAGTTTTTATATTCAACTGATATGTTTCATCTTGCTATAAATATTTACATCCCTGTGCTATGGTTGTATGGGGATTGATACCTAATTCCTGATCAGTTAGGGATAATCATATTCTTTGCTGGTCTTCTCTCTCACATTTGGAGGGAATGTATTACGTTTCTAGGGCTTTTTTCATCATCATCAGCTGCTTCAGCTTTTTGGACTAGAATGTCCCGCTTCCAACACATTTACTTTGTTTCAACTCCTTTTATCATCTTGTTTCTCTTCCCATGGATCTGAGAAGTTTCTAAGATTAGCCTTGCTCCATTCTTTTCAAGAAAACTGTTGTCTGAAGTAAATGGGAAACTTTTCTAAGGTCGTTAGACCTAGATAATTAGAGAATCTTTCTTGGGGAATTTCTGCACATGTGCAGTCGTCAAATTAAAAAGTGGTATTGCAATTAAGAGGCAGATGGGTTTTCATGGTTTCTAACTGTAAATATCCTCATGTGGCTTCAAAATCAGAGCTATCTCCAGGTATCTAGGGCACAATGCTGAGATTGCAATGTAGCAGAAAGTGCTTAAGCCTTCTTCCTGGGATACATTTGAAGAAAGTTTTCAGTGTCCTCAGTGCCTACTACCTGTTGTGCTCTTCTGCTAGGGGAAGGTACACGTCCAGTCATAGGTTAGAGGAGTTCTCTACAAGCAAAGTTGGTAGTGGCTGCAGTTGCACCTCGGACTTCTGCTGAAGACAAGGATTTGTTTTGTTTTGTTTACTCAGGGTTGTTATAACAGAACACCTTCCTCTGTTCCATAAAAACTTATTTTAGCAGTAGCTGGACATCATCTACAAGTCTTGAAAATAAGTGCAGGAAAACACAGGTCAGCGTTGCTAGAGGCTGGGATTTTGTCAGGATGGACAACTCTGACACATGTGCTGTCTGCTCAGAGGAAGCCCCAGTAGCTTCTAATTGCTGAAGATGCTCTGTGGTTCAGCCCTGTGGATTAGAGGTGATTTTTGTTGTGCGTAAATCAGTGGAAGCCTGGCTTCTGTAAGCTTGCAGGTTTGTCTCTGGTTGCATTCGGGGTGCCCTGTCTGGCTTGTTTTCCTGGAAATCTGTTCTGAGCAAAGGCAGAGTGATTTGTTTAGGAGTTTCATTGTCTCTTGTTGCCTGATACTAGCTGCTTGTTTGTGGGGATAACTGACATCACCTGTACTTAAAAACTTCCATTGCCTGACAGTACACTGCAGCTGAGGAAAGGGCAAGATATCTGTTTGTCCCAGATATTTTTGAACGCCCTATTTCAGCGGGAAACTTGATGTTTTGGTATTTGAAAAGCCCTCCAAACGTCCCCTGTGGCTTTGAAATGATGCCACATTTCGGAGGTTTGGATTCATGCCTCCGGTTATTTTTGAAAAGAACAGGAACCTAAAAATAACCATGTGTACTTTTCCAGGCAGAAATAACTGGTTTTTGTGAGCCAAGTGTTTGCATGGAGGCTGCTGGAATGAGGCATTCTGCGTGTGAATTTATGGCTTTGTGTAGCCAGTCAAACGGCGTTACCAGAGAGACTCCCAGCCCAGCGCTGGGGCGAGAACGAAGCCCTCCTCTGCAGCCGAGGGGCTTGACCTTCATAAACTGTTGCTCTGCTACGTGATGAATGCATGCCCGCTGGAGTGCACCTCTTGTTGCTTTCCCCGGGCGGTGACCTGCTGGTTTTCTTTGAGTTTCAGGAAGAGTTACTGGAATCGGATGCAGTTGAGCGTATTTCTGCAGTCTCTGTAGAACAAATTTATCTGTTTGAAAAACCTGAATAAAAACCTGTTTTGGCTTCTAAATTTGGAAACAATGCAGGCTGGCAGCTCTCTGAAGTGGATTTCACTGAGCTAATTATCCTTTTAGATAAAGCACGTCTCCTGCATTGTCTAATCAGATGAAAATATCTGCATTACAGATGGTCCCTTCCATTCATTATTCACTAAGGAGATTAAGTTTCGTAGAGAGAGAAGGAACATGATGGGGGTGGGGACACTGGTGGGAAGAGATTGAGTGCATCCACGTAGCTGTCACTGCTGCTCTGTCCCCATGTGCCACCTTCTCCCTACGTGGCCGTAACGGACCGTGTTGTTCTACTGGTTTAGCTACTGCAGCCCTTGGCCAGGAGTGAGTTACCTGGAGTTTCCTTACCAGTTCTTGTTTGCTCTCAAAATTCCTGTAAACCACAGAGTTGACTGGGATTTTGGGGGGATTTTGTTGGATTCCCTGCGTCAGGTGATGAGGAAGGCCCTACTTTCTTACTTTTAGGCCATCATTTATTGATCACTGCTCCCCAAGTACAGTAGGTGAAGAAACTGGTTGCTAGGAGTAGTCAATCAGATAGCTCTTGTACTCTGTTTTGAATGTAGCAGACCGCTGATCCAGGAATCACTGTCTTGGTTCCAGAGGGGGAAAGAGTAACCAATTTTCTGCCAACCACAGTTAACCATCTGGTTATTTCTGTACTCCAGTATTTTTCCTGGTGAGATTTTTCCCTCATCTATTGGCTAAGTATGAGCTAGGGTAGCATTACAATACAAAAATAGACGGCCTTAAACAGAGCTGTGGTTCATTTGAATTAACATGGCTATATCTTGCAAAAGTAGTCGGGGGAGAAAGTGTTCAGCCTCCATGTGTTATATCAGGTTAAAGCATGGAGATTTTGGTTATAACTGCTCTTCCTAACCACATAGTCAGGACAAACATATAGTGCAAATGGGTCCAAATAAAATGCAACAGCCACCTAGCTTAGATTTCAAGACCTTTATAAGAAGCTTAATATTTCAAAATAGTTCCATGTTACGCTGGCTCTTTGTTCTCTTGCTAGACTATGGCTTTATAATCATACTTCCTTATTTTTTTCTTTCTTTGGTTAGTGTATGAAAACCTCATGTAGACATTAGAAACTGTGTGGGGTGGAGGACTGCAGTACAGAAGCTGACTTGCAAAAATAGTTTTAAAATAAATATAGTTGCCTTGCACGTGGGTTTTCTTCTACTGTGTCTTCATTACTCAACCATGAAACTATTCACAACAAGAAAAGATAAGACTTGAAGGCAAAATTATCTCTTAAAATAATCTAGAGGTGGTCTCCATTCACAAATAGGGCATATAAAGCTCCAGAAAAAATGTTTCCGTATATGAGGTGTGAAAAGTTCAGTATTCTTTAGAACTGTTCTGATGTTGCATTGAGTTTCTGCTTTAGATTTTGAAAATACCTGGTAGTATGTTGTTAGGTTGGATACCTCTGAGTTCGGTCTCCAACATATGCTTTGTTTTTGCTACAGCAGGGATATCAAAACATGCATCCCCTCCCAGCAGGTGTGAGAATACAGGTAGTAATTCTGCTTTAAAATCTTAATTCAGCCTAGCTGTTTGGTGGGACAGATAATTCTGACTAACTTTAGTTATTCTAACCTGCTGTTTTCAGCATGTTTAGTTTCTAACACTTAAGGCTCTTTGCAGAGTTCTTGATCTCTTGCCCAAGAAGCCTCAGTGGTCCGTTTTCTCAGCCCTCCTGCACAGTGTGTGTAGCAGCAGGGCATTTGGGCATTCCCCCCCACCTCCTTCCCTGCTGAGGAGCAGACCCTTTCGTGTTGGCAACTGTGGCTTTGTCCTTCACAACGGCTCAGACAGGTTTACCTCCATTTGTCATCCCTTCTGTGGCTCTGAGTGGCGGTCAGGCTGCTCTGCTGGGAAGAGAAAGCTGCGGTGGAAGACACCAGGCCCCGGTACTTCCCTGAGACAGGGTAGCCCGGCTTAGCTAGTGAGGTTTGGAAGTAGCTTCAGTCTGTCTACACTGCAGTGCAGGCACTTCTGTTTGAGTTGTCACTAAATGAGAACAAGTGCTGGCATTCACTTCTTCCCATACAAAGGAATATATGCAGAAAAAGGATGCTAAGCAGTCACTGTCACTGCTTTGATGTTCCTGAGGTTCTGGTATAAGCCATCATCTAACTTGCCCCTTGGAAATGTGTCATCATCATTAATTATATAGTTGCATATTATTTTTTCTCTCCTCCTCTTATCTTCCTCTCCCAGCCTTCCTTCTGCCTTAGTTGTGGCACAGCAAAACAGCATGACCCATAGATGGCTCTCATTTCAAAAGTACAACTGAGAAAACACTGATCTGTGGAGAAGCTGTGTAGTTGTGGGTATTAACCTGGGTCTTGATGTGGTTTAATCAGAAACGTACTATATAAGTCACTGAAGTCGTAACTATAATTATTTTCAAATAAGGCCTTTATGTGACTTAATTTCTAACTTGACAGTGCTAGAAGTATTCAAGATATATGCTTAGTACCACAGAGACATCAGATGATGCTTGTTTGTCCTTTGCAACGAGAGCCTGAATTACCAGCCAGTGTTTCCAGCAAGCCCTGTGCCGAATCTCTTTGCGCCGGTTCCCCCTCTGCTAAGAGGGGCTGACGGAACCGCAGGGGTCAGTGGGGACCGGAGGCATTCGCTGAGTGTTTCTGGTGCGGGTGCTGTACGGCACTGCTGGCTTCTCCATGGAGCACGGTCTTCCTAGGGCATGGGTGATACCCGGAGACCCTTCCCTGTTCACCCCAGGGCAGGAGAGCAGCTGAGGGTGGGAGCAGACAGGAGGCACCTCTGGGAGCTGAGGAACAGCCAGAGCCAGCTGCTGAGCTCTGGGTGCTTTGTCTACTTGGTATTTCCCAAAGACTTCATTTGGCCTTATTTGTAGTAGTATCACCGAGTTGGTACAGCATGTTTGGCCTTCTCCAAAGGAAAAGGGATACGGAGCAGCAAGGTACAATGTTAACTCTTGTGTGTGTGTGTGGTTTTTTTGTGTTCTTTGTCTTTTTTTAAGCTGGAAAGAGGTGACTTCCTCTCAGAAGAATGGAGAGAGAGAATTGCAAACACAAGGTACAGTACAGCAATTGAATGCTGCTTTATGAACTGAATGTTTGGGAGTTTGTATAATGGAAATTGGGAGGCTGGCCAGCTTTTTATATAGAATTTCCATAGCAAATACCAAAAGTCTATCTGCCAACTTTTATACTGGCCTCTTTAGATCCTGTTTTCTGACTAGAAGAATGGGTTTAAATGCATGTCCCATGATACTACATATAAGGGTGTATCCAAGATAAATTCTGGTTATACAGAGAAGTATAAACCTCTGTTTTGCATATTGTTGTAGTTCATAACTAGTGTTTTGCCAGAATCACTGACATCTTGGCTATTGGTGCATACAGTTAGGCTCACGTTCCATTGGGAAAAAAAAAGCAAAAGACCCAAGTGAGTCTGTTCCAACTTAAATTGGGAATTCATTTAAGCTAATTGTCTTGAAAATTTATTTCTGTGAAGAACTGTACAGAGGGTTAGATGCCTTTTGATGGTAGCAAAAAGGGAGTAAATTTTTTAAAAGCAATGAAACGTTCTTCTGTACTTTTAAAGGTTTTGCATTCTTTCAGCCTTATGGATAGCAAAAAAAAAAAAAGTCTTTATACAACCTTCTGGGCCACCCTGTTATGTGGGGGAATGGAAGACCATTGTCAAAGAGGGCTCTCTGAAAGTCTTCAGCATTGTGGCAATTCGTGAATTGCTTCCAAGCCACTGTTTTAAGAGTACTTCATCAAGAAGGCATCTGCCAGGCTGATGACTTTTACATTATTATGTACCTGAGTAAACTTCTGGAGGTGCCTTTTAATTTGTGGACAGACTTTTTTCAGCCTTGAAGCGTGGTGGGGGTTTGCTTTGTTGCTTGATATTCCAAATGCACACTCCTCTGCTGTCTGTGCAACTTTCCTTGGAACAAATTTAATTTTTCTTTTCTTTTTAGCTAAATGACATCTAACTGCATGCAGAAATGCTGGTAGATGTTTATGTTGTATGGTAGGCAGCTAATTGTATGCCTACTGATCCGCAGCCACCTTGCTGTCTGATACAGAAATTCGGGAAGAAGTAGCTTTTTGCTCACAACTGTTAGGTGTTGGTGTTTGTTCCGAGTGTGCCAACTGTTCAGCGTCTGCTCTCCCTAATGAGACTGCAGATTGTCTGATGATTTCGCATTGGAGCCATCCTATCTTAGAGATCGAGTGGAAGTGTCACCCTCCCCGTGAGGGGGGCCTGGTGGCGGGGCTCTCAAGGGCAGGAGGCCTTTGTACCGGGCCATGGCCCTACGTGGCGGAGGGCTGACGGGAAGGCAGGCTGTGCAGCACGCAGTGTTCCTGTTCGTAACTGTACTTGCAGCTTAGCAATACGTGCTGAAAAGAGGGCTGAAGTCAAGGTGGACTGGGGGCTCCTGTGCTTCTGTCATGCACATACAAAACGCTGTGCCAGAATGAACACTAAAAAAAATATATATCTGGCAAGCTGTATCTTTTTCCCTTCCTTTCCTGGATGTTTTCTAGTCCCATTAATATGCTTGGCTCTTTTGCAAGGCCTCTTTTTTGGCACATGGTGGGAAGGAGGAGGAAGAAACCCCTGCTAGCCTTACTTGCCAGGCAGGGTTTCCCAAATTTCCAAGAGCAAGGCGTAGCAAGAATAACTTTTTTTTTTTTTTTTTTTTTTCCTTGGTGCATAAACATTTTTTTCATCCGTGGTTTTTAATAGCTTTGGCTGCTGCTCTTAAACTCAGTGTCCTTGTTGAACATGTTTCATGTGTGGAGGCACCAGGAGGGGAGTTTTCAAACAAACCTCTTGCAAAAAAATAAGTTTTTTCATGTTGAAACAATATGCCAGAATGGCTTTTGCAGTTTACGCGAGCAGAGTGCTCAATGGATTGCAAGAGATGTTGAGGACTCTTGTTGCAAGCTGGTAGGAAACGGACACCAGGAACAATTAGACCAGGCCTAGGCTCTTAAAAAATAAAGGGGTATTTCTTTTTCAATCTGTGATGTGTTGTGTTTCTTTCCCAAACATTTTTATCATTTCTGTGTTTCTACCTATGTGCGGGTTTCTTTGTTTCCATATGACTGGGTTTTTTTAGGAACAACCCCCCCCCACTGGATTGCCTAACCCAGAAAGAAAGATGCAAGTCCTCCATTGTGGGTTAGGGTGAAGTGCTGGGTTTAGGACAGGGAAAATGTGCTGGGAGGTGTGAACTGTCTTTTTGCGTTATGGAGGAGTTTAGAGCTAGAAGAGAAAATATATTTTGCTGTAATATTTTAGATGCATGTGAAGAAGTCATGGGATGAAATGGGTCTGTTGTGTTGGAGATTGCTTTTCATGTGTGGATTAACAACTGTGTGTTGGTAGTTGCTGTGTTGGTGTTTGATCTCATCATGGCAGAGGGGTGAAAACATTTTGCACGTTGTTTTTATGTTGAAACTTATGGTGCAAGACTCAGCTGTATGCCGAGTGGAACCATCAGAGCAGGATGCCTTGAAAATTTTAAAAATGTAAATATGTGGGCTCACAGAGTCTCTGAATGCTAAAGGTAAAGTACTGTTTTGTGTTACTATGAGAGAAGAAAGCATTTTGTTCGGTGGAAGTAGCTCTATAGTCAGAGACAAGTAGCGTTTGCAGTTTACTAAGTGGCTGTAAAGTCTGTGACTGACTTGTGGTTGTGGGGGGTAGTTGTGTGTGTATACTTGGGTGCCATTTGCCTGTCCTGTTCATTAACTAGACCATTATCTTGCAGTGTTATTTTTGTGAATAACTTTGCCTTTGGTCCTGAGGTGGATCACCAGCTGAAGGAGCGATTTGCGAACATGAAGGAAGGTAACAAGTCAAACTTGAAACTTTTTTCCATTGGTTTCCTGCTTGCTGCGGGAGCTGGTGGTGGTAAGGGCTTACTTACAGCCATCAGAAGCCAGGTTGGTGGGTTTTGTTCTGTGCCTTGGGCTTTTCACTTCCCATCTTGATATCTCCTCTGGCCTACCAGATTATTTGGAGGTAGCTCTGCATGTGAAGACTCTCTGTGAAGCTCTGTTGGGGTGGGAGGAACTGCTGGTTCTTTCTGACCTGTTACAGGAGCTGACAAAACATGCAGTGGCCAAGACTGCAAAGCTTCCTGACTGCATAGGCATGGCTTTGTATATCCCATTTCTGTAATTGCATCCTGAATTCAGTCACTGGATTCTCCTATTTAATGTTGTCACATTTAGTACTGGGTGTTGACTAATAAGTATTAAAATGGGGACACTGTCACTGGGTGTCTTGTGCTTCTTGAGAAGTCTCATTGCAGACACTAGTGACTGGGGATGCCCGGTAGCCCCACTGTGGCCCTTATGTTGCCCGAGGTGCCTTTTTTTTCTTTCCTCTAAACCACTTGGATAAGTAACAATTTAATTTGGTTATGGTAAAAATTACAAAAATAAGATTTCAGAAAAGAAAAATGTGTGGCGTGAACAAAGAAGCTGTGGCTTCCCATAATACGTCTTTGTGCAGAAGTAAATAATGTGACTTTTGGGCTCTGTTGCAAACCGTAAACCCTCCGAATTTAAGCTGTCATCTTTAATTTTAGTGGTTGAGCTTTTTTTTTTTTAAAAAAAACCCTTTAGTTTAGTGGTGGCTTGAGCAAAGTGGCTGGTTGGGGAAGGTTCAAACGATCTTTACAAAAATGAAAAAACAGTTCTCTTCCCAGAAGGTGCTCAGGCTCTGTGCCTTGGGCCGAATGACCACAAATAGCTGTGAAATGGAGATTAGCATTCTTTTAAATAAAAGGGCTTTGGGGGCTTGTGTATAAAAGACACTAACTAGAAATGAGAGCAGTGTTCCTAATTGAAATTTCTATAGATTGCCACTGAGAATTAATGTGCTCTTTTTTTGGAAGTGTTTTAAGATCTGTCATTTTAAAGTGGTCCTCGAGGTTGTCACCTCATAGCTACCTAGCAGGACTAATATATTGACTTTCTTGGATGCTGTCAGAGTAACTTTTATTTTTTGTTTTTTTGATAATGATATACGAGTGGTAGTTTTATTAGGGCTGTCCCTTAGGGCTCTGTACAGTGTTATATTTAATAAGTAGTCATTTCTAGAAGAAACAGTGGTAGCTTACTTTGCCTTTTTTTTTTTTTTTTTTCCAGGTGGGAGAATTGTGTCCTCAAAACCTTTTGCACCTCTAAATTTTAGAATTAACAGTCGAAACTTGAGTGGTATGATTGCCTTTTCATTTTTCATTACAATTAAGGTGTATCATTATTTGAACATGTCTGTAGTGAGTTTCTGTTGCTCTGTAAAGAGTTGAGTAAGTAAGTAGAGAAATGCTTTTGTACTATTATAGCATACATGCCAAAGTGTCATGTATTTAAAATCAAACAAACAAAAAACCCCACCTAACACTGGAACAAACAGGCACTCTTTTTATGGTGTTCATCATGCTGTTTAGATGTCTATAATGTCAATTTTTCCCTGGCTGGTCATCTTTTATAGCTGAAGAGAAATAAGGTGTGTCAAGGGCGTGATTCATTTCTTTAACTCCAAAGAGCTGCAGTGACTAACTTACATGCAAGTTCCTTATACCATAGCTGTCTAAATTTGGACAGGTAAATCCCACCACTCATGATTTGTAAACGATGCTTTGTTTAGAAGCTGAAATGTTCAACTTTGAACATCTTGTCTTCTGTACTCATTCATCGAACAGACATCCCATAAATGCCTAGTTGCTGTGTCTGTTTTATTGCCAACAAAGTTTTGTGCTTTGCTTCTCTTCTGAACATAGTAGACATGATATTGGCCGATGGTGTTCTCTGCAAGTATGTGAACTGCAGTTTAATGAGGTTTTGAGATAACTAGGGACATGGAGTATTAGTATTGCTTCTGACCTTTTTTCAATTTTCATTGTTGAAATTTTTCAAGTAAAAGAGCAATCCAAGCTGGGTTTTACACATATTTACTGTGTCCAGTGCAAAACATTCCCTAAATTTAAAAAATGCCTTATTCCCTTTCTTGTGCAAACATGGCAAGTAACATACTGAGCCACAAATCTCAAGCTGTATTTTCTGTTTTTGTTCTGACACTCATGGTAAACTGCTTTTCAAGAATAGTAATTTGAAGACTGTCATTAAGGCATTTCACTGAAATAGTGCCACTGTGAGTTATTTTTACTAAGCTTGAATTGTCGTGAATATCCTGTGCATTGGACACCCAAAACTGCCCTTTTCCTTCCTGTTTGATACTCTTTTATGTGGCATCTGATTGTTTGGAACCTTATTAACCATTGAGTCCTGGCTTGCCAATCCTTTGTAGACGTGTACTTGAAAATAAAAGGAGAAAATGGCAGAATGGTACTCCTGGAAATCCTCAAACCTCCAGAGAGCTGAGATCAGTCTGTCAGTTTGCTAATAAGACAAAGAGCACCTAAATAAATCCTACTGCCTCTTTTACAGCACACTAGAACTAGATGAAATATAAGAAAGCACTTCTGAGGTTTCAATTAGGAGGCCTGCCTACATAAATAAATTGGTTTTTGGCCTCTCAAGCCTTTTCTTTCCTGTCTTCAGACCATTTCATTATCTCTCTCTCTCTGCTAGGTTTGGGAGAGTGAAGTTTCTAAAACTGTGGTGGGGAGGCAAAGGAGCCAATGTGTACTACTTTTTTCACATAATAAAAGCTCTGATTGTGACTATCAGTTGAGCCAGATTTTTATCCTATTTTAGCTTTCACCCCAGTGTGGATTCATTGGGAATGTTTTCTAGAATGCTGAAGTTTTATATATCAACTGTTATTTAATGCTTAATGTGAATGTTGATGTCAAAATTATAGAGAGATAGCTAATTAGGATTTGAGTGAATGAGTTTACTTAGCATAACAATAGATAATAGCTTCCACTAATAGGAAACTCTTGCAGGGATTCAGATAAGAGGTCCTGAAAATAAATTACCTTTGTACGCTACAAACAGTGAAGGAAAATTGTGGGAATCAATTTTAGGTCTTAATCCCATTCTGTGACCCTCCTGTGTTTGGGAAATACCAATGTCAAGTGAACATGCATGGGGTGTGCTAGGCCTGGGGCTTGTTCCAGTCTTAATGGCCTGTTCCCAGTGCCACTTCCAGGGGAATGTGGTCCACTCAGAGCTCCTGGCATTAAATGTGGCAGATACCTTTCACGTGCAGAGGAGGTGATTTCACTCTGCTGTGCTAGCTTTACCTTGCTGCCCTACAAGGGTTTTTATAATATTTTTATTCACTGTTTTTTTTTTTTTTTTTTTTTTTGCCTGAGTATGCTATGACTCACGTGGCTTGCCCATCTATCTAATGTTTTGATCTGAAGTATGAACAGTTAAATAATATATGAAAATATAGTGGAAAATACAAAATTTTAAGAATCAGAAAACCTTTTTTCTCAATACCATTTTTGTCCTTAGTAGTTCCAGCTGGAAAAAGAAACAGAAATGTGGAAAGAGTTGGGGCAAACCAAAACAAGTATTAAAATGTGGTTAAAATAGTGGTTGAAGCTGCTGAGTCCTAAACCTTGCTTTTTGGCTCTTCTGGGTAATTTTCTTTTTAATTAGGAGTTTGCCATAATTTCTTCTGCAGTCATGCCACTCAATGTTCAGTGGTTATGGAAATGCTTAGACACATCCTATACCTATTAATTCTAGGGAACAGAACAAATATAGGCAAGAAAGCAAATATAAAACATGTTTGTCCCCAGTCCAAATATAGTGCAGTTACAGTTTACATGGGTTGAATCTAATGATGTTCTGTTATTGGTCCTATCTAATTAAATCCTGCCTGTTACTGCAATTGTGTTGTCGCTGGGTTCCTCATAAAAGTTGTCTCTGAGACACAGGAAGGTTCTATTTGTTAAAAGATTACACTAGCACTTAATTTTACTCTAGAATGGCTGACTATCTCTGAAGAAATGAAAGTTAGATCTCCCAAATTTCTTAAGTTTTCTGTAGGGTGAATGTAGCAAGAGAATAAGAAGTTGGTTTTTAAACTCACTGTAGTGCTTTCTTCTTGGATATTGCTATCCAAATACAAAATTTATCTTTTTGTTTTGAATATGCTTTTCCTGTTGCATGGCTAGTTTCAGCAGAGTAGAACTGAGTGGCGTGCTGAGCGAGCTTTGGTTCCCTAACTCGACTTTCTTGCTTTAGATATTGGCACTATAATGAGAGTTGTGGAGCTATCACCACTGAAAGGGTCTGTGTCGTGGACCGGGAAACCAGTTTCTTACTACCTGCATACTATTGACCGAACCATAGTAAGTATAAATACAGGCCAGTAAATCTCTGGCTGCATTGCCTGCTCTGGAGTCAACAGGCCAACTTTAGTTCCTTGTTCTTGGGAATTGTTTTCATATTCCTTTGCGTATTTACAGACCTGAAGCACTCATTGGCACGGGTGCACTTCGGTTACCTGTTCAAGCTTGCTGAATGTGCAAATCGCACTGCATGGCTCAGCCTTTGGCGGCTTCCGCGCAGCATTTTACACAAACAGTGTAATTATGGACAGTGCTATGCTAGTCTGTTAGTTTGTTGAAGGTGCACAGATTTACAAGTATAATTCCTTCTTCTGTTCCAGAACATGCAACTATGCAAAATGGTGGTCTTCTGCTATAGCTTCCACATTGAGTGAAGACTGTGGGTCTTTAATTCTTCAGTTTGCTTTGTGGTGTGCAGATCATTTAATTCTATCATAATCAAGCAGCAAATCTCAATTTTAGCTGAACTTTCAGTTGCTGTAGAACCAGCCAAAGCTCCATAACAACGCTGATGAGTTCACTATATTTTTTTTTCTAGTTTTAAGAACACAGAAACAGCTCTGTAGAAATACAAACTTTTGTGGAGAAATAGTTTGTTCCCACAGTTTTTTGAGATATGATAGTAAGACTATTTTTCTAAATCTGTTTTAGTCTAATAATGCTTTTGTTAAAGAATATACTAGAGTACAGATAAATATTTTAGTGTAGTACAAGGGTGAAGTAGCATCACTGAAAATAACCTTTTGCTGAGCAGAGATATATGACACAAAGCTTTGAAACAGGATAGACAATGGTGAAGATGATAAAACCTTGTTGGGGCTTGGATTATATCCCGCTACACAGCATGTCTGTGTCACTAAAAAGAATGAATGTAAATGGCTTCTTGATGTAGCTTATCAGAAGAAAACCAGTCAGAATTTCTGCAGTTCTGCATTTGTCTTAAGCTAATATTTTGTTTTTATGTATTCATCTGGCATGACTTTGAAAATGACTATCTTGTCTTTCTATTTTCAGCTTGAAAACTATTTTTCTAGTCTCAAAAATCCAAAACTCAGGGTAAGTTTCAGTCATTTTCTGTAGAAAACTCAGAATACTGGAGCAGCCACTATGAGGAATTCAGTCACTTGTTAAAGACGTACAGAATTGATAGAAAATCAAATTCTCTTGATAAGCAAGGAACATGGGCATGGAGCTAATTGAAGTGAAGCATCATATGCTATCAGGCACTAAAACAATCATGTTCAAGAGCTTTGTAATAGAGAATTAATGGGGCAGCCACAAGGTGGTTTGCCCTTGCATTGGAGGTCTATAAAGAGCTATTCGTTCATTAGAGAACTGAAGTTAAAGAAGGAAATGATAGTTTGAATCTGTCCCAGTGTTCAGCTGCATGAAAATGAAGCTGAAGAGCGCTCTGAGATGTTACTTTTGGGACTTGCTATTTGAGGCACGAAATGTATTGCCAGTTGCTGCAGTCTGTGCTATTACATGTGGAATTAAAGTGCCAGAGGATTTTTGAGACTGTGCTGGGCTGTATTATTCTGAAATAACCGGTGGGGCTGGTATTCCCAGTAAGAGAATTAAGTGAGGCCACTTAATTTAAAACTTCAGGTGAACGTTCATCTTCAGACTGACTTGCTTAGTAAGGGTTGAAAACACTGATGGTAGCTTTGAGATTGGGTTATCGCAGAGTGCTGAATTCAAATTTACAGGCAAAAAGACTTCTCAGAGTCAAAAGAAAAAATACAGAGTAGCATCCATGTGCTTTTGAACTTCCTTGCTTTTACTGGTGAGGCTATTTAAATATGTGGTTTATAAGGTCTAGTTGATAACTTGCTTAAATTGAAGAGGTATTGGAATTATCAGGGTTCTTGTGCAAATTAAACCTCACCTGAAAGGTACAAGAAAGGCTTTGAGTGAGCTCTTTGGAATTCCTGTCCTTAGTGCCTAGTAGCAAGTCAGGTTAAAAAGTTGCTGCTTTTGTTTTTTCAGTCTCCTCTACAGATAACTAGATGATGATTAATGGCTTTGCCATTTCGAGTCATGTAAGATTTTTTAAGTGATGTAGCAACACATGAAATGTTGGGGCTATAGGTAAAGCTACTTACTTTTTTTTTTAAAACCCCAAAACCTGTAACACCAGTGTGTGATCTGGGGGGTGGGATTGGGATGGGCAAGATAAGGAAAGAGATTGGGGCTTAATCTTCTTTGTTGTGTGGCTGCATGTTTGAAACCCATTACTGTAGGTAATGCAGTGCAAAAAGGTGACTTGCACTTATCTTTTCCCACTGAGTGTTGCCTGAGGCAGGGTAAGTTTTTTCACTTGCTGGTAACAAAAGTTTTTTGGGGGTGTTGTTTTTTTTTTTTTTGTTTGTTTGTTTATTTTTTTAATTAGGCATTGTAAGATAAGAGCACTTAGCCCTAGCTCTTGTGGAATGCTAAAATAAGAAACACAGTGGTCTGTATTAAAAAGTGATAAATATATGAGCAAATTATTAAGTCTTTTAAAACATTTATCCAGGAGGAACAAGAGGCAGCTAGACGTCGTCAACAAAGAGAAAATAAGAGCAACACAACTACTCCAACGAAGGTTCAAGAAAACAAGGTGAACATGCTACATTTTCATAGAGATAAATGTGTTTTCTTTATAGCTGTGCCTGAACTCATAATCCATGTCAGGAAAAGCCCGATTCTGTGAGAAGACTTGACTGTTCTGAACATGTAAACTGGAATAGCTGTTGCTGTGGGCAAAAATATGATGGAGTGACTTAATAAAAAGTGCATTTTGGAAGTGCACCACTAATTCTGGAAAAAAGATGTTGCAAGATTAATAGAGTAGTTGGTTGTCCACCCTTGCTTACCTTTAGCACCAGCTTGCAGAGCTTTCCCTGAGTCATTACTCACTGAATGGAGTTCAAAGTGTGCTGAGTCTTTCTTGCAAAGACTCATTTTCTTTCTCATTCTGTTGCATAATACTGTTAGAAATGCAGTGACTGCTCATGCACAAAAATTAATGTACTTTGACTTTTTAATGAAATTTGCTTGAAGAATATAGTCAATACAAGGTGAATAATCAGCTTTCCCTAGACAGCAGTTGCAGATTTCCTTTCCTGTAATAAGTCCAGAATAGAAGGAGCACAACTCCTTGGGTGTTGGGGTCAGCTCTTATCCCAAGCCAAGTCTACTTCACTGGCAAGTTGCTTCAGTTTTCTTTCATGAAACTATTAAACAAAGTTGTCAATGCTTGCTTAAAAGGAATGTAGGTAGAAATGACTAAAGAGCTTTTGGCTTTTAAAATCTCTTAGGATTCTGGTGCTGAAGAAGAAAAGGCTGCGGCGAATTCTGTTAAAAAAACATCTCCCTCCAAAGCACGTAAGAAAAAGCTAAGTAAAAAAGGAAGGAAAATGGCAGGCAGGAAACGAGGACGTCCCAAGAAAATGAACACTGCAAACACAGAGCGCAAGACCAAGAAGAACCAAACTGCACTAGAACTTCTGCATGCTCAAACTGTTTCACAGACATCTTCATCCTCTCCTCAGGGTGAGTCCAAGGCTGGCAGTGGAAGAAGCCTCCCCCTGCTACAACGAGCCTGGATAAGCCTCATCCGAGGCTCTGAATGCATGCTAAGTTACTGACTGGGTCTCACATTGTATGTGACCTGCTTTCCAATGGTAAAGCTGCTGTACTTGCAAGAAACACTGACTTTCCTAATCTGAAAGGTTATCTTTGTTTCTCTCTTTAGATGCATACAAGTCACCTCATAGTCCATATTACCAACTACCTCCTAAAGTGCAACGGCATTCATCTAACCAGCTACTGGTGACACCTACCCCACCTGCACTACAGAAGCTGCTAGGTAAGACTGTAATGTTGTCACTGTGTTTGTCATGGGAACCTCTACTCTGAGGTGTCTGAAAGAATGGTAAATCAAAGGGCTACTGATAACCACTGTGGAGAGCTATATGTTGAACGGGAGAGGGGTATAGCTGCTTTGCCATCTTCCCCCACCTGCTCCACTTCTGTTGGCATCGCCATGAGGTCTCTTCTGCTTGCTGCTGAAGTTGGTGTCTTGGTCTGCATTCGTTTTTTGACATTGTTTCAGCTCTCATTTGGCACAAAAGGAAATAAACTTGGGCTTAGCAGGAATCCAAAATAACTTGAAATGGAAATTCTAGTCAGAAATAACTTCATTTTAAATGAAACCATTCTCTTATTTTTAAATAATACAGTTTTGGGGAACACCACCCTAGTTTCTCTGCCAAATTTAGAGCAAAGCAAATGAGATGCTGTCTGAATTTTTGAGGTCACGAAGGTGGTGTGGTTGGAAAATACGCTCCGTGTGCAAGAGGTGTTTCAAGGAAAAACTTGGAGGGTGTTTTTTTGGGTCTTCTGGTTCCTCACCCCCCCTGCAACTGTTTCTGGCCTTTACATTGGCCGTGAGCCAGTCTAGGATCATCTGGGAATATGATACAAAGTTCTTGTCTGTGTAGAGACCAAGGGCATTTGTGGTGTCCTTTACTCCCGCTCTCTTGCTGTGGTGTCTTACGGCTATGACTGATTTCTTTCTGTAGAGAGAGAGAAGACTGATTTAGAGGGATGTTTCATGTCAGGAGAGGGAAAGAGTGGAGAGAATAACACTTGTCTGGAGTAAACCTTGATGCAGAAGGGTCTATACCATCTATTACGTGTCTTGGCTGCCTGTGGTTGCAGCAGACTGGACTTAATCATGTGGTTGGCTTTATGACAAAAGGGCCCCAGTGGTGAGGGCTGGGGAGAAGGAAGGTTCATTGCATGATTGAAAGACTGGAGATGGAAGGACAATAAATTAACTGCTCCTGGGAGGGTAGAGTAAATGTGGGTGTAGAGCTTGTCATCCCTCTGTATGGAGGTAGGAGGAGTACAGCAAGCCCTGTCTTGTGAGCTGGAAGAATGAGTACTCTGAGCTCAGGGCTGGTTTTGACTGTTACAGCTAATCTCCTATCATTTCTACTTACAGTGCATTAGAAGATGTTTAACTCCTCTTTCATCATGCAAAACCACACCATTAGCACCCATCACCTTCCTCTGCATTTTTGAATGCATTGTTATGACTTCCGCCGGGGTACCTATTAGAAGTAGCTAATGGATCCAAGAGTTTAGCTTGCATCAGAAGATGGATTTTCAGCTGCTCTAAATTGACCTTTAATGGCTTGATCTGATTTACAGTCTAAATAAAAAGCAGGAGGGAGCAAAGAGGGGAGAGGTGTCAAGGGAGCAAATAGGAGGATTGCACTTACTCTCACTTGAAATGTTTCATCTCCTTATTTATTTTGCAGACTCTTTTAAGATCCAGTACATGCAGTTCATGGCGTACATGAAAACTCCTCAATATAAAGCAAGTCTGCAACAGTTACTGGAGCAGGAGAAGGTGGGTCTCATTTTTAATACTTCTAAACAAAATTACCACACTACCAGATACTTTAGTTGTGTGTGGGGGAAATGCTGGAGATTGATGTTGTGTACACTTAACACCAGTGCTACACCAGGCCAATTAAAGCCTCTGCCAGAGTACTGCTCAGGCTGAATGGCTGTACCTGGGGATTTTATTGCTAAGTCAGTCAGTCTTTGTGTGCTTAAATTTCCCATCTGTAAACTGGGAGAGATACACCTCCCCTCTTCCCTCTGCCGCCCCTCCACCTAATAAGACTTACTTCAGTATTTCTGTGTTTTCCTATATTTTGGCATAAAGCCGTGTATTCCTTCGTGGGCAGCTGGTGTCTTGAACCCTGTCCTTTTATCCATTTGGAACTGGCAGTTTAATTTCTTCTTGAAATATCTCATGGGTCACAGGAGCAAGGGGTGGTGCTCAACCTCTCGAGCAGTATGCAATGCCTGAATACATTCCTGCTCACCACTTAGAGGGGCTTCCCTGCATGGAAGCATCCTGCAAGCTGCTACTCATACTGCTCTTAGATAATTAAATTGTGCTTAGTCTAGATAAAGGTTGTAGTAAATTTGGATGAAGACTATCTTGAAAAATGTATAGGTAATAATTTATTGGATCTGAATTTTCTTGTTCTTGACATCTATCATTTTCCCACTGTAGGAAAGCCTAAATGAGTTGAGCACTGTAGCATCAGGATAGCTCATTAAACTGTCTTCACTAACTTAAGAGACTTAATCAGGCATCCTTAGTATTGATAATCTTAATCTGTTAAGATTGCACTGGTGGGAAAAGTGTAAATTTACCAAGTTGTGGGTTGAAATACGTGGAAAGGCAAAGAAAATTCTGCAGTTGTGTAGTTTGGCATTTTTCTCTGCTATGGAGCCATCTCCCCAGCAGAGGGAGGAGATTTACCATCTAAACACCTTTTCTGCTTGTATTACTTTACCTCAATTATTAATAATTTAATTGCTTTATAAATTAGCCTTGATGAGAGAGACTGTGCCTGCTACTTCTGTGGAGGAATCTTTCCCCATAGACCTCAACAGTAAACTTTAACTTCTAATTCTTGCTTTTGGTAGCCCCCATGAAATGTTTCCTTTGCTCTGTGGCCTTCGTGAAAGTGTCAGCAGAAAGCCATAGCATTGTTTTATGGGATTTTCCATCATGGGAACTCTTTTTCCAGATGAGAGGGGCTAACTTGTGCCACCCTGTTTGTTATTGAGGATTGGTTGATGCTGATGTGGTGTTTGTGTCAACCTTTTTTCTATGGTTGTTTCCATTTGTTTTCACAGCCAAACAGCACTTTGAATTTTCAACTTTTTCCTTAAGCAAGTGTATTTTTCTGCTTGTTCTGTACTTGTCAAGAAAGTCAGCATAAAGTTAATTTATCTCCTTGCACAGAAAATAGCATGAGAAATGATAGCGTGCCAGTATTGTGGAGTACACTGAAAGTATAAATTGGGAGCGTGGAAAAGTAATCACTTCATGTTGGTGTCTGACAGCTGTTTCATACTTCAAGACATTAAAATGAGGAATTCAATATGAAAATATTTTTTAATGGGGTGTTACACGGAGAGCATGGCAAGTTAAACTTCACAAAGGCAGAAGCAGAACTTTGCTTCATGAGGTGCTGTTGTGTAGTCTTTGTAATAACTCCCTCTTACATGAAGATATTTCAAGTACAAGAAAATTGTTTCTGTAATAGGATTTTAAAATAAACAAGATGCTGTGAGCTGCTAGTTCACCAGATTACCCTTAGATGGTGCTGTCAGCTCCTCCACTGCTTGTAAAGGCTGAATGAAATGACTGATGTTGGAAGCATAAATGATTTTTTTCAGCATCACCCATGGCAGCCCATTCAGCATTGCAGTAACTCAACTGTTTTCCCAAGTCGTTGGCATGAGAGGCAACAAGAGCTGTACGCCAGGTTCTGTGTTTTCTCACACATGTGGAACTTGCCAGCACTGCTGCTTCCTTGCTTGGAAGATCAAGGTGCTTTTTACCCTTGTCCTCCACTTTTTCTGGAGTGATGGCTCAGTTTCTGCACAATTCCTGTTTGGCCTCAGCAGCAGAAGTTGGAGAAAAATGTAATCTCCAGAGCTTACTCTTCTTGCTGCACTCATTTTTCAATTGGAATCTGAATAAATGACATGCTTCAGCCAGTCCTATCCTTGCCCTTTTCTGCTCACGTAGTGCACGACCGTGAAATGAGTAAGCAAGTATCTAGTTAAGGAATGTTATGGGCAGGAAATGTTCTGTGAGTGGAAGGGTCGGGTGGCCCGCTGAAGTAATTTTGGCATTAGAAGTACAAGTGGTTTGTCTTATTTATGATTTTCTTCCTACCTCCCCCACAGTGTATTCTCATTTACTGCATGTCTTTCATGAGTGTTGTATAGGAAAATTCTGAATTGAGAATCTGGAGACTTAGATTCTATTCCCAGTTTAGTAACAGATTTCATACAGATAATCTTTTCCAGTTCCATTTCTGCTCTGTAGGATGTGATTGTTACTACTTCTTTACAATGCACTAGGAGGATAAAAATTAATTTTTAAGACTATCCTGATCATATTTTACCATATAACAGAAAAAACTATTTAAAAGGCCTTTTCAGCTTACTTAACGTCACCAAATGTTGAACACTAACAAATACAGGCTCACAGAAGTCTGAGACAGAACTATGTTAGTTCATACATCTCCCCTCTGAGCTCAGATTCACTTCCAACTTGCTATACAAACTAGATGTAAACAACTTAAGATGGACCATGCTGCAGTTGGTGCTAAAAGTGTATTTTCTCACTCTTCCCTCTTCCAGGAAAAGAATGCTCAGTTACTGGGGACAGCACAGCAGTTATTCACCCACTGCCAGGCACAGAAAGAGGAAATCAAACGTCTTTTTCAGCAGAAACTTGATGAGGTAGCCCTGGTCTGGTGGAAGTGGATGCTTGTTAGTCATCTGCATGCAAACATTTTTGATAAAAATAAGTAAGACCAGAGTAGTCTTGGGTCTTCAGCTTCTGTTTTGCAGCAGATAGTATGAAATAATATGGAATCTGTATCACTCTTTGACTATGCTTTATCTTCACTGTTGGAATTGTTGTGTGCCGCTCTATCCGAGGGAAGGGGGTGACAGACCACAGACACTGTGGTATTTTAGTAAAGGATGCATCCCCTGCTGGTTGAACAAACTCTGTGTTGCCAATGCAAGTTCAGAAGCGCAGAAGGAAATGTGGCTTTCTACAAAAATAGTGTTCTTTTGGCTGGCAGGAAACTAAATGCCAGTTGTAAAGTTGAATTGCTGGAACAGCAGCTACAAGTGAGGTACTTTTGTCCTTCCTTGTTATCCCCTAGCAATGACAAAGTGCCTTGGAGAATGCTCAGGGACTTCCTGTGAGCTGCATAAGTTCTGCAGATTTCCTCAATGTCACTTTTGAATGTGACAGTTGTCTTGAATTAGGGTGTCCAGACCTTACTGAATGATCTCTTTCCTTCTCCCTCTTCATCTCGTAGTTGGGAGTTAAAGCTCTAACATACAATGACCTGATTCAGGCTCAGAAGGAAATCTCTGCTCACAATCAGCAACTGAAAGAACAGACGAAACAACTGGAGAAGGATAACAGTGAACTCAGGAACCAGAGCTTACAGCTGGTGTGTACGCTTGTGTCTGAGTAGCAGGGTGATGCTCCCATTTGTGTAAGGACAGGTCATGAGCCAAGGGCTGCCCCTGTCTTCAAGGTATCTTAACAAATGAAAAATCATCCAGCTGCTATAGCTCCTCTGTAACAGAGAAGAATTATGGGGGAAGGAATGCAGGTGGTCCTTTTTCTTGGTAACCTTTATTTTACCTCTAACCAAATGCTGAGATGACAGTTGGCTCTGGCCTCAGCTGTGTCCCATAAACAGCTTGGCACCTGCACATGCACTTGTCACTGAATCTGGATCTCACTGGCCAAGAAGTTTGTACAGTGCTTGCTTTGTGGTAGCCATAACGCTTGTGTTGTTCATCTTGATAACTCAAACCAAGTTAGGTAGGTGAGGGGGAAATCTGGATGTGGAAGTGGTTAGGGAGGGTGGGTGGTAACATTCTTTAGAAAGAACCAGGCCACCTCCTGCCACACTATGTTGGGAGCACGGGACCATTTTGGTGGCATTTGGCTTAAGCTGAGAGGAATTTTTAGGGGGCTAGAAAGCTTCATGTGTATATCTAGTTGAAAGGTGCATGGCTTTCAGCTTGCATGCTGGGTGGTGTGAAGTGGTAAATATGGTCTTTTGATCTGTTGATCCTGTGTCTTTGCAGCTTAAGGCACGGTGTGAAGAACTGAAGCTGGATTGGTCAACACTGTCACTGGAGAACTTGCTGAAAGAGAAGCAGGCGTTGAAGAATCAGATTTCTGAGAAACAAAAACACTGTTTGGAATTGCAGGTAGAGAGCAGGAAACAAATCTAAAGTTGCCAACTTGGGATAGCTCTTGGGCGATGGGCCAGCTAAGGGCATTTGACTAAATATGATGTTAAAGGATAAGCTAGGTAGCTGCTTTTCTTGGTAACACTGTGGAAGAAGGAATCATGGTTTACCATTAAATGTAACTAAAAAATATGACCTGATGAAAAAAAAAGGTCCTGCTTGTTTGTTTGCGTGTTCTGATGTCTCAATTCAGGAATCAGTTCCCACAGAATGTCACTTACCACAGTGAAAAGAAATGAAACTCCTGTGTCTGAAGAACTTTTCTTTTCCTGTGAGATTAGCTCTAGAACTAATCCAGCCTTTTGCTGGATGCCTTGACATGGCATGACTTTCCTTCAGTGCCTGTATTGAGTTACTCCGTACTCTCTCGATAAGTTGGAGATACTTTGTTTGCTTGTAGTATCTGAAAAGTGCTTTTAAGAGTCTCTGAGCCATTCCCCTTACCTGTACCTTTTGGTCTCAAGCTCAGAGCAGCATGTTGGAAATTTGTTGCTCAAATTTTGGGTCAATTGTTCTGCATTGTTCCCAGAAATGGGGCCACTTTTCCCGAGAAGCATATGAAGGCAAAATTCCATAATGTGATAGAATTGTTTAGTGTGGTTTTTAATCATTGTCTTCCTCTTCATTTAAAGATCAGCATCGTGGAACTTGAGAAGAGTCAAAGACAGCAGGAGCTCATGCAGCTGAAATCGTACACGCCATCTGATGAGTCACTGTCAGTACAGCTACGCAATAAAAACCATTTGAGCCGTGATCCTGAGACTGATCATGGCAGGTTCCAACTGGAGCTTGAATGCTCCAAGTTTCCTATGCCCCACATCAATGGCATGAGCCCTGAACTGTCCATGAACGGCCATGCTACTCCCTATGAAATTCATAACACCTTTAGCAGGCCCTCTTCCAAGCAGAACACCCCTCAGTACATGACCTCTCACCTGGACCAAGAAATAGTTCCGTGTACCCCAAACCACAGCAGCAGACAGAAGGCAGACAAGATGACGAGCTTGTCCTTACCTGATTATACCAGGTTTTCCCCGGCTAAAATAGCACTAAGGAGACACTTGAATCAAGACCACGGAGTCAATGGGAAAGCAACAGCTAATGAGATACAGAGGTGAGAGTGATCATTTCCTAGGATGGGAAAGGAGGGATAATTACTTGCTTTAATAACAGTGGTTTATTTGGATTGTGAAAAAAATATTTTTAAAAGTGGGGGGTTATACACTTTTAAAAGTTCTGTTTCAAGAACACCAGCAGTGCCAGCTGATTGGGTAGATAAGGTGGTACAGTGCCTTGAGTTTGCTGCAGGAATTCCTTGCAAAAGAGGAATCATTAGCTTTTGTATTCTAACGATAGTACATCTCTGTTCCAGAGCTGACCATGTCAAAGAGAATGGCCTTACATATCCAAGCCCTGGTATTTCAAATGGCATAAAGCTGAGTCCTCAGGAAACTCGGCCCTCTTCCCCAGCGGCCTTACCAGTTGCAAGCGAGAAGGTAAGAGATCTGCTAGTGCTGAAGTGCAAAGGTGTTACACCTGGTAGAACAAAGAAAAAGTTGGCCAAACTAGGGAATGCAGGCATGTTCCTTTCTGTGGTAAGCTTGGCATGGAAAATAATGCAAGATACAATAGGTGTGATACAATAAAAAGGAGCTGGATAGAGGAAGAGAATGCTGTGCTCATGAAAGGCATGCTTACCTCTGAGGTAGTGGTTTGCATATGAACTGTGCCAGTAATGCTGTGGGACTTCTTTTTGATCTGATGTGTGTCTACTTGAATCTGAAAAGTAGGTTCTTTCACAGGTAAAAAAATAAAAATAACAACAAATTGTCCACATAATTGGTCCAGCCATGAAACATATTAGTGCTCATTTCAGAGCAAGCAGATGCCCTCCAATAAGAGGTTGCCATGGGAATATTTCTGTCTACTACATCATCTTCGTACAGAGGGCCTCAAGATATAAAATCTGTTAGATGAGTGCTTTTCACAGAGCTCTAACAAAGACACTAGGAAATGAGCTTGTCTAAGGCATATTTTTCCTTATATTTGAGACCAGCAGTAGCTTTAATTTATGTATTTCAATGCTGCTGGATATTACTGTCCCAGTAAACTGGTGTTGGTAACAAAGCTGCTCGATTCATACCCTGTCTTTGCTATATAGTCATCGCTCTTAAACGTGTAATTTTTTTTTTTTTGCTTTTAAAAAGGGACACACCCCCACCCCCACCCCACAAAATACAAATGAGCGGGTTACCATTAGTTTAAAAAGTCTTTTCAGTAATAGCATGCAGTTAAGAACATTACTTTCTCTTTTGCATTTACAGGTTTTGAGAGAGAGAACCTCTGTGAGTAATGGAGAAACTATCACCAGCCTACCTATCAGTATTCCTCTCAGCACAGTGCAGCCCAATAAACTCCCTGTTAGTATCCCTCTGGCCAGCGTAGTCCTACCTAGCCGTGTTGAGAAGGTGGTGAGTAAGGGATTGTCAACACTTTCCATCCCTAACTAAAATCACACTGGGCAGTAATGGGGTGCTGTGCACCAGAATCCTTAGTGGGCTGCTAATCTTCAATGTCTGATGCTTTGGGGGAGGCTGCTGTTTGGATGCATCCTCTTGGCTCTTAGTTATTCTGTAGACTTTTCCTCTCATGCCTCTGTGGGGTGGTGGTGTTTCAGCTGGGAAGAAAAGTAAAGTACGTAGAATCATAGAACGGTTTGGGTTGGAAGGGACCTTGAAGATCATTTGGTTCCAACCCTCCTGCCATGCCTCAACATGCCTCGAGATCCTAGTCTTAAATATCTGGCTGGGTGGAAAAGGTGCAGAGTCTTAGAGTTTGTGGCAGTGAAAGCAGAGAATCACACATGCCAGTTTGTTCTTAGCCCTTGCCTTCTTGCATGACCCTGGGAAACACATTCTTCTGCCTCAGTTTGGTCATCTCAAAATTGTCTGTCTTTATCACATGCATGTGTAGGATGAACTTGAATAGCGCCTTGAGGCTACAATACCTAATGTGACTGCTCTGCAGCAGCAGAGAACAACTAGAGAACTTTTTGGGCCATCTCTTTTTGAAATCCTGATAACTCCACGCCACTCTGTGGCAGAGGAGTTTGAAAAGCCTGGACCAGTTTCTCACAAATGTTTGTCACAAAAGTGTTACAGTAGATAACTGAGAAGCGTTTGCTGCTTTCACATGAGTGCTGTGAATTTAGAATCCATCCACAGATGCTCACCTCACAATCCCATATTTGGAGAGCTGGAGTTCTTTCATAGTATTGAATCCATTATCTTTCTCCAGCTGTAGACTGTTAGCTGTAGCAGAACTGCAGTCTGCCCAGCTCCGAGCAGAAGCTGCATGTCCTCAGAGAGAGAGGATGTTAGCTCTGGATGGCATCTCTCACTTCAACACATTGTTTATTCAGGCTACCATTTCACAATTGTTTTTCCTGCTTTAGAAAAACACTGCTTGTTCATCGTACCCTCAGAGAGAGTACCAGAGAACATAGCCTGATGCATATCATGTTCAGTTTGGGGTTGTTTTGGGGAACTTTGTGTGCACAGTCTTGGGGACATGATACAACCACTTATTTCCTTTCTGGCTGCCTGTGAAACAGTGGACTGAGGCAGTTGTTCTCTGATTGCACTGCTGTCCTGAGTCTAAACTTCCTGGGACGATGAGCCTGTTCTATGTGCATGGTATCTGTTGTGTGCCAGTTACAGTATAATTAATCACTCTGTTTATTTTTGTCCGATAAGATGCTGCTCTATGTTTTTCTCAAAACAAACTCTAGGACCTTTAGGAAGTAGAGTCACTTTCCTTGGTAGATCTACTAATGCATGTGAATTTTGTTTAAACGGTCGACTTCTGAGTTCACTTCCTGTACTAAAATGCCTGTTTCTCTCCCCCCCAGAGAAGCACACCTAGCCCAGTTCATCAGAGTAGAGACTCATCGACACTTGAAAAGCAGATTGGTGCTAGTTCTCATAATGGCGTAAGCAATGCTGCTGGAAACAAGCCACTGGCTTTGGCTACCTCAGGTAACAGCCTCATCTACACAAAGGTGTCTTGTCATGACAGCACCTCCATGTGCACACGCCGGAGTTTTCTGAGCACTTCTTGTCAGGTCATTCAGGCAGTAGAGTGCTAGATAAACGCGTATTTTTTAATGAGACCAAAGAGTCATGGATGATGATGTTTTGAGACGGTATGTGCCTACAGCTTGGATGCATTCTGGCATGAAGTGTTGTTTTGATGTGCCTTTGCCTGAACTGCAGGACCATGCAGTGTGAATAATTGCTTTTGTAAATTCTTCTATGTGGATTAAGAGATTCCTACTTTTACAGTGTGGCAAACTAGCAAAGTGTTGTGTAGCTATACTGTGAGCTGATGATCTGCCTTTAGAAGTTTTATTTTACAGGGTGGCGGAGTTTTTTTTCATAGAAAAATTAATTTATTGATGCAGGTCACAATGGTGCCTCATGAGCAGTTGTAAAGGCACAAGTGTCTGGGTAGGAAGAAAGGTCGAACAGGAGAGGGTAAGGATACCTTTAAGTGCAGACATTGCTTCTGAACTCACTCGTCTATTGAAATGGTGGCCTTTAGCTATTCAGGATATGGAAATGTTGTGGACCAGGAAAAGTAGGTTCTAGCATACAGAAGCTATTGTACAGCTGATCCCTCATCAGAGAGTGCATTTGTTTTTAATGTTTACCACCTCGAGGGGCTTGTGTTGTTTCTAGCATCTGTTTTGCAAAGAAGGGCTTGGCTGCAGTTTTCTATAAAACCAATGAAGTGTTAAAAAACCCCCTTGTTATAAAACAATACCATGTTCCCTTCTACCCCTTTCAGTTAGCCCAGAGACAAGGCCTTACTAGAGCGCTAAACCCATTTATGAAACACCATGACAAATAATTCCCTTCCCAAGCTTCCTCCCATGTGGCATTCTTCTGCCACAATTTCTTTGAAGATCCCCTGCCACTTCCTAAGCCACAGCCTTTTGTTTAATTTTGAGAAGAAGGTGGGCTGTATAGATGACAAAGTCCCTTCTTTTTTGGAGAAGGAATCTGACTGAGTTTGGCTGTCTTATTTCCTTGACGAAAGGAAAGGGTTGAGAGTAGAGGAGCCCTGATTTCCTAAGGCATAATAGTTACAAAGACAGACACACTTGAATTGCATTTAAAAACCGGGTAGAGCATAGGAGATCTCCATACAACACATGAGTTTTCCTGAACTGGCAAGAGAGTAGTGAAAATCATTAACCCCTAACCGTAACTAACTGTCAGCACACAGAGCCACGTTCTCAACTGCACTGTGTCAAAAAAAAAAAACCCAGCTGTGCAGTTTTCCGTGTAACGCGCGGCCGCTGGCTGACCTAATGCAGGTATTGCTGAAACCACTCCCAGTCATCCCAGAAATCTAGCACTGTGAACTATCACTCAGCAGAAGCAATGATGTATACTTTCCCTTTCAACAGGTTTTTCTTACTCTTCTGGCTCCGTGGCAGTCAATGGAAATCTTACAAACAGCCCAGCCCATCTTAACCATAGTGTTGATCAGGCAGCTCTGGACGACTCTGGGAGTCTGTTTAACTCAGTAGGGTCTCGGAGTTCCACTCCACAACATCCTTTGCTAATGATGCAGTCAAGGAACCCTGGGCAAAACTCCCCTGCTCACCAGCACTCAACAAGCCCCAGGTTAAATGGCACCTCCCAGAGCCTGGTAGGGGTATTGCAATATGCAGATGCTCAGAAGATGTTTGCCGAAGGAACAAAGGGGGATCTTCAGTCTGATGCAGCGTTTTCAGATCCTGAGAACGAGGCCAAGAGAAGAATCATCTTTACAATCTCTCCTAATACAGGACATGTAAAACAATCCCCTTCCAACAAGCACAGTCCTCTGCCCACGAGCGCTCGGCTGGACTGTGGCCAAGCACACGCGCAGGATGGGAAGAAGCGAGGCCGGCGGAAGAGATCCTCCACTGGGAATCTCAGCGGGAACTCCGGGGTCTCCCCGAAACGCAAATCCTTACCTACTGTGTCTGGACTCTTTACGCAACCGTCAGGTTCACCGCTCAATATCAACTCCATGGTAAGGGCAAAAATGAAACGCTCTAGCAAGAGAGAAGGGCCTGGGAAAGCTCTTTGAATTGGAAATAAGCTTCATCTGTTCTGTTCTTTAGCATACTTTCAGGCTGTTACAGTGCTAGTAGCTAGAATTGGCTTGAAGACCCTTTGTGAAAATGGCCCCTCTGAGAGGGAAGAGAATTGCTGAAAAGTTGATGAACTACTTCTGTGTAGGTAGAACATCTTCGAAGAGTTCTTTTCTGTCAGATCATTGAAAATTAGAAATCATGTCTTCCCTTATGACAAAGAGCGGGTTTCTGCAGTGAAGTTGATTTTTAGGCTGTAGGTTAAATATTTTGAAAATAATTTAAAGTAAGATTGACTAAATAGCGTAAGAGTGCCAGAAGCATATGGCATTCTTGCATAATTAAGCCAGCTATACAAGTTGTGTTCATGTGATCTGCAGTGTTAGTTTGAAAAGAAATGTGATTATCCCATGTTTTCATTTCTGTGTTTAAACATAAAATCAAAGAATGAAAATTAGATATTTTTCCAAGTTATGTTTAAGCTTTCATCCCGAGTTCTAATGGAGGATGGTGGAGTATAACAGCAGTGCTAAACAAGCAGCTCTTGGTATATCCTAAAGCTGAGCAAGTTAAGCCTGCTTTTAATATCCTTAACAAGGTACCTTATTTCTAAAGGGATACTCTCATCTGTAACCGCTTTCTTTCCTTCTTGCCCAGGTCAATAACATTAACCAGCCTTTAGAAATAACAGCCATTTCCTCTCCTGAAAATTCCCTGAAGAACTCTCCTGTTCCTTACCAGGACAATGACCAGCCCCCGGTACTGAAAAAGGAAAAGCCCCTCATTCAGAGCAATGGCGTTCATTACTCTCCTCTAACATCAGATGAAGAGCAGGGATCGGAAGATGAGCACAATAGCAGCAGGTGAATACACAGGCGTAGGTTTTAGGATGAGATTTCTCTGAGAGCTGATAACGGTGCTCTAAACTGGAGAGGTGTGTTAAGCCTTCTTTGTTCCCTTTGCTTGGAGACTGAATCTATTATGCCGAGCCTCTTACGTGGCTGAAATTGTGAAGAGGGAAGGTATTTAGGAAGTAGTGCTTGAATGTGGGAGCCTATTCTTGCTGTGTATGCAAGGCTGACAGAGTCTGGCCTCTGAAAGAATTAGTGTAGAAATTATTTTTTTTTTTACTACATTGTTTCATAGGAGCACTGAGGCCGTGTGTGTAATCTTTAACTAAGAATCTGCCTCCTGCTCACGCCCAGTCTTAGCCTTATTCAAAATTCTTCACTTCCTGCCCCAAAATGTTGGTGTGTTGCTCTGAAAATTGAATACTTGCCACCCTTTACTTGCCTGTGGGGTGCAATTTTTTTCTTGCTATAGGTGCTAGAAAAGTAACCATTGTAGAAATGGGAATAACAACCTACTTCTTGTGAAAGAAAAGCAACAATGAAGTCTTCTGAACATACACTAATCTTGGCAAAGAGCAATAATTCTGTAATAGCTTCTAGTTAAAGTTTGCGGTGGATTTTTTTATACTTTTGAGTTCCTTTACTAACATACAGCTGTCCAGCTGACTTGGCTTTATATACTGTAGTCAACTGTTAAGATGTGAACATGAGGAAGATGGGTTATGAGGGTAAATATGCAATAAGAGGTCTACAATAAATACTATAACCTTTTTATTTTCCTACTAGAATTGAGAGGAAAATTGCAACAATATCACTGGAAAGCAAATCTCCACAGAAGACTGTTGAAAATGGTAGGTGTGAGGGAATGCTAATTATTTGTTCTAATGGTTGATCTTGGGAATGGGTGTCTGCCACTGACCGAAGCTGTTAGTCGGTAGCGGGCTTTTCTGTGCTGCTAAGCAGAGTGCAGTTCTGCCAGGGCTTATGCATAATCGTAATTAAGACAGGTATCTTATAATTACAGATCTGGGGCCAGCTCTTTCTGTGGTCACAGATCACCAAAGATGTGACCAGTTTTTTTTACTGACCTGGGGTTTGGGCAGGGATCTGTAACACAAAATGGAGGAAAAAGTAGATCAGCGTTCTCAAACTTCTTCAGAGCATTAATCTAAATTTTTAAGGACTTCTAGGTGACTTCACAAATATTTCTGCCTTTGGATCAGAAATAGAACAGCAGATTGGTAACATGGGAGCGTTGCAAGATAAAACGCTGTTCTTAATGAGCAGACTCAGCGAACGCTGGTTTTTGACGTTTGTAAATTTTCTTCCAAACTAGGTGGCAGCTTATCTGGGAGGAAACAAGCACAAAGCAACGAAAACATAAATAGCAGTAAATGGAAATCTACTTTTTCACCAATATCTGACATCAACCTGACCAAAACTACAGACAGTCCCTTGCAGTCGGTTTCATCTCTGAGCCAGAATTCGCTGTTTGCCTTCAGGCCGTCCTCCGAGGATAGCCTTGCCATCGACGCCAAGATCACAGCGCACGCAAGGAAAAGCATGGCCATGCCCTCGTCTGGGGCAGATGGGCTCAGCCCTAGTACAAACTCCACTAACGGATTCGCGTACAACGGTGGACTGTCAACTGACATTGGTTTACACAGCTTTATCGATGGTGCTTCTCTTCCGCATAAGGCTTCAGAGGCGACGCCTTCCAGCTGCTCCCTGGGTTTCCAGTCACAGCGGAGCAAAGATGTGGGGGTGTCGGAAACGAATCCGTTTTTAAACAAGAGGCAACTCGAAGGCCTCAGCGGCACGAAAGGAGAAGACTTAAATCGGTCGGCGGTCAAAGGCAAAGAGATCAGCGAAATAAGCATTCGTACTGGGGGTTCTTCAGAAAAAAACTCTTTGCAGCATAACGGAAAGGTTGGCAAAGGAAGGGACCGAGATGTGGAGTTTAAAAATGGCCACAACCTTTTCATTTCTGCTGCTGTTTCATCTGGTGGCCTTCTGAATGGTAAAAGCCTTTCTACTGCTGTTTCTTCAGCAGGCAACCCAGCATCTTCTGTTCAGACGCACCATCCTTTCCTAAACACTTTGACCACTGGATCACAGTTCCCCCTCGGCCCCATGGCCTTGCAAGCAAACCTCAACTCAGTGACAAATTCCTCAGTATTGCAGTCCTTATTTAATTCAATGCCAGCTGCTGCCAGTCTGGTCCATGTGTCATCAGCTGCAACCAGACTGACTAATTCTCACACTATGGGGAACTTCTCTCCTGGGGTTACAGGTGGAACAGTTGGAGGTAGGCAGAACTCTTTCTCTGGTATAAGACAGGGCCTAAAGGAAAGTCTGACACTGCCTCTCCAGGGGTGAAACCCTTTCATTTCTGCAGGATGTGAAGCAAATCTGTCCCACATAACCAGTCTCCTCTATCTCTCGGAAATGCTAGGATGAGTTCAGTTCCCCACAGTGAAATCTCATGAGCTTTGTCTACTAGATGAGCTTGTTGTATCACCTTAATGAAAGAATACACCCAGACTTTGTGATTTCATAATGTATGCTTGTTCAGATGTTGCTGTGTTGGAACCAACTTAGGTCTGCCTGCAGGTGTAAGATTTAACTTGTCCTGGTACCAAGTTAAGGATCTTTAACTTGTCAACTTGAGTAAAGGTTGAGATTAGGCCTTGAATGGATTTAGCATGATCCAGGAAGAGCAAAACATCAGTGCCTCTTCAGAGGAGATGGTGTTGGGAATTGCGTAGCATTCTGGCTCTTGAATGGACATGAAGAGCATTTCTTTGCCAGGAAGGGCAATGCCATATGCACCTTGCACTTCTGGGATTCTGCACAGGCTTGGCTTCTGTGGCCCAAACCGGAGACAAGCTGGCAGGACTAGAAGATAGCCTGAACCTGCCGTTACTAAGTGTCCAAGGCAGTTTTTCTTACCTGTCCATAATCATTCAGGCACCATGTCGGGAAATCCTAACTCTCACATCTCTCAGCACATAGATTTGCTGGAAATACAGTCTCCCCTCTGCTGCCCTGTAAGTGGGACAGCAGGAGGGTGGGGAGGGAAGAGCAGCAGTTTGTGTCTTCAGATAAACAACTCTAGAGACCACGTAATCTCATCAAAAGTCTACCCGTGTGGTATAGAACTGACAGTTCTTGGGTCTGACCATTTTTCCTCGTGGCATTTAGAGGTTGGCAGTAGGAAAGGTAAGTGAAATCTTTTGTACCTCCTGGCCTGCACCATTATCTCTCATTGCTTGCTGCCTTCTCATGCTGCATATTTTTGTATGGGGCTGTAACTATTATAATTTTGCTTTTTTCTTTTTTTTTTTTTTTTTTTGGTTGTTGTTTTTTTTGTTTGTTTGTTTGTTTTGTTTCTCTTGTCACTTGAGACTGTACAAAGCCCATCTGTTGAAGCTGAGTTTTTCTCTCCTGTTTGCAGGTATTTTTAACCATGCGGTGCCTTCTGCCTCCTCTCCTCATCAATTTGGAGCCAGTTTCAGCAGCAGTGCTGTCTCTAGCAGCACAGTGCTAAGCTTAAACCCTCTGCAGGCTGTTGCCAGCACCTCATCCGCATCCTTCCCACCCCCTTCCTCTAATTTAGTAACATCTAGTGAGACTAGATCTGCTCAGCACCTCAACAGAGCGCCAGTGCAATCTGTTTTCCATTCCCCTCCACCTCCTCCTAACGTTTCATTGCCCCCACCTCCTCCACTACTTGCTTCTAACCCCGAGCCTGCGCTTCTGCAGAACCTGCCATCCATCCCACCCGGTGAAGCTTTTTTGCCATCCTCTTCTGCTGCTTCTGTCCAAACTGCTAACGCTTCTTTGTCTATTAAGCTAGCTTCTCTCCAGCACAAAACCTCCCGCCCCTCCTTTACAGTCCATCACCCGCCTCTGCCCCGTTTGGCGCTGGCACAGTCCGCGCCCATGATCACGCAGTCCAACGCAGCTGGCACGTCCGCTATGTGGGTTACACTTGGCATGCAGTCTCCTTATGCTTCGCACCTTTCTGGGGTTAAGCCACGATAAAGAGCTTGCTTAGCTAACAGTTCTTATTTTGTAAGGTAAGGCTAGAGAAAAAAAAAGAGGACTTTTGTACAAGATGCTGAATGATGCTCCTTCCTTTTCAGAGATAGGTTGGGGATGGAATCTGTGAAACAGAAACCTCTAAAACGTGGGAAGCAAATAATCTGATGGCAGAGGATGGAGAGTCTTAATGCTCTCTGTTCTGGGAGTCAGGATTTCTCGACAAGGAGTGCTCAGAGTGGTAACTCTGGTCTGTCTCATCGGACGTTAGGATTATGTTCAGGTTGAGATCACTTCATGAAAATGTTTATTTCTGACGATCGGTAATCAGGAAGAATTGTCTATTTTTAAGTATGGTTTTATACGGTTATTGGAAGTGGTTGTTGTCTACCTTGATTTCCCCCCTCCCCTCTTCTTGCCTTCTGACACAGACTGTTGCATTTCCACAAGTCCATGTTCGCATAGTGTTAGGATGCGTGATGGTGCTGCTTTGTGATTGTATGTGGCAATGTGGTGGTCTTGTTTTTGCTGTCAGTCAACAACAGCTGCTCTAAATAATCATAAAGTTAAAAATCTCTAGGTTACAAGCTGCAGCTTTGGCTTGGAGAACAAATGCACTGGTCTTGCATTGCAGTTATTGTGCCCCCTGCACCAATGGAAAACGCAACCACAGGTAGCAAAGGGTTGTAATTTATCTGTGCACTGCAGCTTTATTGGACTTGCCTGCGAGGGCTAACAGTAACAGACTCCATCGGATGCTGTATTTATGCTCACTTGGCAATCACTGGTTTACTGGGTAGACTGTGAATGAGAACACAGGGAATCTTCAGGGCTAACTGCGGTCCATGCTTCATAAAGGCTGGGGCCATAGACGAGAGGAGGGTTTCTGGAGACTGTATGCATTTTTACTGAAGCAGGTATTTAAATGTCTTTAGAGGAACTCCAGAATAAAGTGTACCACCACAGAGTTGGGTACTGTTGTTAATGAAAATACTCTGTGGCATCCTGATGTAACAACTTGTGCTTGCAAAGTTAAATCAGTATGTTAGGCCCCAGAGCTTGCTCCTGCTTTTCTTGTAGGTCTTTGATGTTGTTGCTGTTCACTGATACCAAAGCTACATACGATATATGGTCGAATACTCTTTGCTGCTTATAAAACATATGACTCAATTACAATATACCTGAGAGATTCTTTTGACTCTGCATTGTGTATAGTGTCTTCATCATCAAATTGCTCCACAGACACAAACAAATCCTCATTAGTCTTTTGTGAGGCACGTAAGTATTACCTCCGTCCTCCTATACAAGAAAGCGAGGCTGAGGAAGAGTTTTGAGTAACGTGGTCCCTGTGTGCCACCCAACAGTGTGATGTGGTTACAGAACGGGCTTGAAAGAACCTGGACAGAAACAAGATGGGGGAGAAGAGCCAAGGAGGGTTAGGCTTGGGGTTTTGTATACGTGAGCAACTCAAGCAAGGGCGGTGTGAAAGCCTTCTGCTGAAGCAGTTGCCTTTCCTGGAACTGAGGTCGTATCGGGCTAGACTCCAAACCGTTGGATGCCATGGTCCCTGTCACAAAAGAGTTCTGAGCAAAATAGGCGAGGCACAAAAGTGATGTACGGAGAAGAGTAGCTGGATGACAAAGCTGGATTGTGGAGCAAAGGAGCAGAAGTAATGCTGCCAGGAGGTGGTGTATGACAGACGTACCGTAGCCGTGGTCCCGCTCTGTGTGACTCTTGAACGTAGGTCAAATAGTTGAGCAGTTTCATTGACGTCGGTGTAAATACGTGTGCTCAGAGCCCTGGATGAAACTAGGTTGAAATCTGGAATCAGGGGCTAAAATCAACTGCTTTGCTTCTCATAATGTCTCTCCCCCAAGGTAATAAAAAACTCAAAGCAGATCAGCGTGTGCTAGAAAAAGATGGAAGTACTGAGTGGGGGGGAGTACTCCCCCCCCCCCCCCCGCTCAGAGTCAGTCACAGGAGGACAGAATTCAATACGGTTACACGGGCAGAGAGCTTTAAAAACTGCAGCAGCCGGGAAGGGCCGCGTGTCGCCCTCGGAGGCATCCTTTCTTTCTAATTGCAGTTGGGTCAAAGAGTTGCTCCTTCTTTGCTGGCTAATGAGGTCTTGGAGCAATGTAGCAGTGACTGACACATCTAACGCACAGCAGATTTTTGTCTTTTATTTAGATGAGTCTCTTCCTCTCCTCCTGTTGTGCAGGTAACTAGGATTTCTACCTCAACCCAATGTGACCTATGCAAGGACAACGTGGACCAACTTCACTCGGCTTCCACTGAAAGGTGCTCACCTGGCCTGTGCAGGGGTTTCTACTCTCTTACTACTGGACAAAATAAAAACATTAAAAAAAGACCTAAACAACAGAGAAAATATTTACTGTGAATCTGAGTAAAAAAAGACAAAAAAGACAAAAAAAAAAAAAAGGGCAAAAGAGATGCTTAAAGCTCCAGTTTGTATTGTTGATAGTTTAGATAAAGTATTTATCTTTTTTTAAAATGAAAACAATTTTGACTTATTTTATTCCACCTAGAACCATAAATACAACTTATTATTAAATTCTCTGAATAATAAAGGACTGGCACACCAGCAGAGATGTAAAGAGCCTCCTCTCGGTGCTATTTCATCCGTTAGAACTGTGCCTCTAGTTTGAATCCTTGGTGCTGAATTTGGAGGGTTGACCAATGCCAAACCCAGTTCTCAGAAAGGTCTGCAGTTTATTTATTGAACTTACTCTGTTCATATACCAAAATCCACTTGGTTTGCAGCAGTGTGAGCTGCAGAGAAAGGCAGTCTTCTGTCTCATGTTTTGTATCACTTTGAACTGAGCTGGGCGCTCTGTTAACTGGGTGGTTTTTAATTGTCTTTGTTACGTACAAGAACTCAGTACTCCCCTCTGGAGTGGCAGCTAGAGTACCTGGGGTGGCCCGGGCGAGCTCAGCCATCGCAGGCACAGTTGGAACAGAAAAAATTCAAGTCCTGCCCCATTCAAACTACTTCACTGGGCCATTTGCAGTTGCTGGTGGCACTCGAGTCACTGTGAATTTTGGTAGCTAGTCTGGTAACTTGTTTTGGGATGTCATTGGCATATGAACAGGGTGCATAATCACTGGTATTGGTCAGGCCCTTTTTACCAACATTGGGAAGACTGAACGTAGTGCTTCTGTACTGGTGCAGGTAGCAGATTCTCTCAGCTTGTTGTTTTTGTTCCAAGTACAATGTATTTTGTTAGTAGGGTTTTGATACTTGATTCAGAAATGGCTTAGCCGTGTACATTTATTGATGAAGTGCATTTTGCTTTTGTATTTCTTTGCTTTAAGTAGGTCTAAATGGTAGTTCACAAAAACACCACAATCTAGCTTACCATGCTGCCACACTATCAGACTGGTGCAGTTAATTGTATTGTGACTTGGTGTTCTGTGTACAGAAAGTGCCGCTCGGAGCAGCGGCTGTATTTTATAGAGATGTGATGAAAAAATTATAAATTTCATATACTTTATTTCATTTATTTTTAGATTGTACAATGCACAGTAAACTTGTAAAAACTTATTTATTTGAGTGCACAAAGTGAGGAGAAGGATGATCCATTAACTAGAAATCACCCTGGTCTGTAGTTCAGACTGGACCAAGCACCAATAAAGGAAACTACAGTAGAAGAGGGGGAATTGCAACAGCAAAACGATGAGAAGAAAAACACAGTTAGGCTTGGGGGAAATACCTGCCGGCTAGCCCCCGTGCCCTGAGGGGCAGCACTGCCCGCTCTGCGCCGGAGGCACTCGCTGTCCTCGGATCCCTTCTGGGTCCCTCGTGCTCCCCGAGGATCTCCCGCCGCCAGCAGTCGGGCATTCACCCGCGACTCCAGCCCTGCCTTAGCAGCCGCCCGCCGGGGCGTCCCGCCGTCCCCGAGAGCCGGGCTGAGCGCGCTGGCTCTTTTGTCTCCTGCCTCAAACCCGGGGTTGGGGGGAGGCGAGGTGCCTCTGCCCTCGGGTGCTTCCCTCCTGCTGCCTGGGTCCCCGAGCGACGGTTGAGCGCACCGTGCCGGCCGTGGTCAGGAGAGCGGTGGGGGGTGAGGTGCCAGGGCAGCTCCTACCCTCTGCACGCTTCAGTTAGTCCCTTCGCTCTGTACCTCATCCCTGGTAATCTTAGTAGAGATATAGGACCAAGTGTGCAGCTATTTTGTTGATTCCTACGCGTGTCTTCCATAGGCAGCCTTTGCGTGCAGAAACTGTTCATCTAACTTTGCCGCCTTACTCACTGGAAAAGGAAGGGATCGATAGCCCTGGAAATTAGGGACCTTTGGGAACTGTTTTCTGCTTTGCATGTGGGAGAGGACTTGACAGCGGTGCACCCTGCTGAGTCACGGCAAGATGAAAACCTAGAACAGGGCAAAAATGCTCAGAGGGTGATAGCTGAGAAACATCCAGTAGCTTCTAGTAGAAGCCGTACACAGTTTATGTCCTGGAATCCAGGAAGACAATGTAACCCAGATGTTTTGCAGCTGGGAGTTGGGCCGCTCCAGCTTCTTCCAGATCTTTGGGTAACTGGAAGCTGCGGAGCTGCCTTAGCATCCTTCCCAGCAAATGGCAGAGTGCTCAGGTCTTGGAAGGCTTTAAATTGGTAGGCTGTGCCTGAGCAATTGCTGGAGAGACAGCGGCCTTAATTACATCTCCCCCTGTCATTTATATCCCCAGTGAGAGAGAGGAGGAAATGCAAGTAGAAGCTTTTAATCACTCTGCTTTTATCGGATCCTTTTCTGAAAAGGGTCCGAAATACAGAGCTCCTTGGACCTCTTGTGCCCCCTTTCATCTCAAACCACAGAAGACGTCCAGCAAGAGAACTCAGCTGCCATCACCTGTCCTGTACGGGCAGGGCTCGCTTGCGCTCGCACCCGGGGTGCTCACAGGACCCTGGCAGAGACGTGTGTTTGGGGAAGGAGCCGACTCGCTGCGCTCTCTGGGACCTGCTGTGCTCTCCACCAGCTGCTCGAGGCCCGGGTCGCCCAGCTGGCTCCGGGCACTCCGCGGCCGAAGAGGACGGCTAGCTTCTCGTCGTGGGAATGACTTGCTTTGTCCCGAGGCTCCCAGCATCTCGGGAATTGGTGCCTGGGGAGCAAGACAGAACTGCAAGACATGGTTTAGTGGTGGACTTGGCAGTGTTAGCTTCACAGCTGGACTCGATGGTCTTAAAGGTCTTTTCCAACCTAAATGATCTCGGATTCTATGACCCTCCGGATCGAAGGCCCTGGGCAGGGAGTTTGTCATCTGCTCGCCGGTGGGTGTTGTGGAAAAGCAAAGCCCCTTCTGTCCCTCAGAGTCGTCACCTGTGGTAGCAGGTGCTTCGGTGAGCAGCCGCCAGCCCGTGTTGCCTGCAGGACTTGCTCGGGAGCAGCTGTTGGAGACCCGCGGCACAAGCCCGCTCGCTGTAGCTGAGCACGCGTGCGCTGTCAAGGCGTTTTCAACTACCCGGCATTTTGGAGTCTGATTCGCCAGCTGTCATCTGGGAAAGCCAAATGAAACCAGATGCTGACCCAGGAATAAACAAACGTGTAGTTAGGATGTGCTTGAAATGGATTCAGTCTGCTGGCCAACGTGCTGAGCATCTGCTTCAACCTCCCGGGTCTGTTGGGACCAGGCCTTCATCTACCTCTGCATCTCCTCAGTGCTGTCATTCCCAGGGACCCCGTGTTTCCATCTTGGCAGCCCACGCTGCAGGAGTCCGGAGCTTCTCTGGCCTCGCTGGTGTCTTCCACCCACGTCTGGTACCTTTGGCACCTTCACCTTGCGGCACGTTGTGTAATTGCAACGCGTTTCACTTGCGTGGCTCCTCTCATCTAAATCTTCATAGTAATGTGCTAACGCTTGCAGGCAGCGGTGTGAGATGGGAAGCCAGGCAAGGGCGGGTTTTGGACTGATGTCTTAGTATTGCATTAACTGGGAGGTATTGGCAAGAGATTTGTGGTGTTGTCTTCCCTGCTGCCCGGTCTTTTATCACTTTGTCATAATCCTCAGGCAAGTTCAGCTTGCTTCTCCTCTGTCTGCAAAACGGGGAGAGCGTTTACCTCTGCTCTAGGGTTGCAGAAGGAATAGCTTTGAGATGGTGAGATCGGAGCCATATGGCTACAAGAACAAGACCCTCGTGACCCTACTGTAGGAGTGCTGCGCCAGAGGTCTGAAACCTGTTTTCAATAATTGGAGATGCTTTTGAGTAATCAAAGCCAAACAGCCAGTTCCAAAAAGGAATTCCTTCTGTGTTACCACATCCTGCCGGGTCCAGTCCTTTCGTTGCTGTCACACATGTTCCTTCTCCTCCACGCCGCCGTTGCCAGCGAGGGACTCGTCAGGAAGCTAAAATACATCTTGTAGCATATACGTTGCCAAAAAATATGGAACTTCCTGAGCGTTGCGCTGAGCAAGACCTGTGCCCTGCTGCTAAATGTCAGCCTTGAGGAACAAGCCTTGCGCGCTCTTCCTTTTTTGGTGATTTGCTACCCCTGGCTTGCGCTTGCTGGGTTCAGTCCGCTGAGACCCACCGTGCTGTGAAGCTGGGAGTGCTCCAAAAACATTAAACCCAAACTTGCTGTTTGCTGCAGATTAGTCATTCAGCAACAATTCTTCCATTAGCCAGGGGTGTGTAGGACACGGAGCAGTCAGATTTCTCTGCTTATCGTGTAGCTGAGGGAGAAAGTGGGAAAACATTGCTGCAGGACGTGAAAGCTTGGGTTGCTGAAACCGAGCCAGCGTGCAGACTGGCGGGGAAGTCGAGCTGCCCCTGCATCGCCTCTTGTTTTGGTGCAAACGAGGCTGTTTCCTTTTAGGAAGGCCGTGGATTGGTCTGGACAGTCGCAGTGATGGGAAGCATCTTCACCTCTCTTAGTCCAGGCTTTGGATGAAATGGGAGAGAGGCGAAGGGGGAGCTGCCAGCGACGGGGCGTGCAGCACAGCCTAGGTGTACAGGGCAGGTGGAGACAGAGTGCCGTCTCCGACCAGTGTCCTCTGATAGCAGGAACTCCTGTCTCCTTGGCCACCCAAACACAGAAATACTTTCTTGTGCTTCCATTTCATTTCCTTCCTTTCTAGTGGCAATAGCGCGTGATTTATGTTCATCCTGCTGTTGGCTGGGGTTTGGCGTGGCTCTGGGTGTGGGCTCGGCCTCGATTCCCCCTGTGCCAGGACCGGCTGGCGGGACGGGCGCGTGAGGACGAAGCTGAGCTTGCAGGGTCTGAGTCTGTGACTGCACCTACAGTCGCTGGAGTAGCCCGGGCAGGAAGGTTGCATCACTGGATTGTGAAGGGATCTACTAGTCACTGGTTTTGTGGATCAAGAGCTTTCAAATCCCCAGGGCTTGACGCTCCTCAGCCTGAGACACCCAGCTGTTTGGCACACCCAATTACTTAAAGCATTGAGCAGCTTGCTTCTTTCTTTGCCCGGGTATTAAGTTTGACTAAATAACTTCTTTATTTGAAATCTGCTGAGCAGATAAGTTTCTGGCTTGATAAGCTCTTCCGTTGCATCTGAATAACATTTCAAAGTGGAGCATTGCTTCAGTACTGCTCGGCCGTGGAGGCTGGTCGGGGTGGCCCCGTGTCGCGTGGTCAAGCGTGTGGCTGCGTGTACGTGTAGGTGCCTGCTGGGGACGAGTTTCCTCCTGTGAGGTGTTGGTGACACTTCAACCTCCTCCTTCGGGGGCTGGACTAGCCGACCTTCAAAGATCCCTTCCAACCCAAACTCTTCTGTGATTCTCTCTACAGAGAATACCCGGGAGTAGCTGCTCTGCCTCAGAAAATAAACGGGAGGGGTGTGAGCGGGAAGGAGATGGATGGAAGCCAGCTCTGCCTCGCCTGTTTTTATTGCAGCACGGATTCATACCGGACGCAGTGGGGCTACAGCAGCCTTTGCAGGTCGGGTGCTCCACACCACGGCGGATTTACACCCCGCAGTGAGGAGGGGGTGTCTCATCCCAGCCTTCCCTGCAGAGGCGGCTGTGCCCTCCCGTGCTGCTGGGCTTCCCCTTCTGGGAGAAGGTCTTTTAGTGCGGAGTAACGAGGTGGTGGGCAGGCAGCTTGGGGTCACCTCCAGGGCCCTCTGTGGGTTGATTCTTGCTGGGATTGTTTATTTAGAAAGCAGCATCTGCTCCCCCCCACTCATTATTTTTCCACTTGGAAGAGAGTCCAAGCAGAGGGGAGAGGCTGAGCGATTGCATGGCAGGGGAGAGCATCGGCAAATGCAGAGCTGGTCTCTGCAGCAGGGCAGACTTGGCTTTTGTTCAGGCGATGGGTTTTTTTTGTGGGACGCAGAGTGGTGAGCAGCTCGAGGGCCAGCACGCGCTTTCGTCTCCTCCGAGTTTATTGAGAGCTCCCCCCCCCCTTTCTTTGTGACTCCTGCGGATGCGTCCTTGGCCCTCGGACCCGCGGCAGGGACTCCCGGCCGGAGGCGACCCCCGGCAGCTGCCTGGCTCGGCAGGACAAAGCCCTGCAGACACGGGAGGTTTTGCAGGAGGGGGCCTTCAGGTGACAAACGCCGCTCCGTCACCCCGCGGCTCCCTGCCCCGCGCGAGGTTTTTGCCGCGTTGCTGGAAGGGGAGACTTCCAGCGCCGGGAGCTTGCTTTCGAGCTGCTGATCCCGACATCCCTCCCCTGGCCCTTCCTTCCTCAGCTGGGTCTGGAGTTGGTGCTCATCCCCCCCCCCCCAGCTCTGGTAGCACACAGGCGCTGCCCCTGGCTGGAGCGGGGCGAGTGCCCACGGCAGGCGCTGCTTGCAGACCAGCCCTTCGTTAGGACTTGCTAATTTGTCCCGGTGCCCACGTTCAGGCGGCTTTGGTCGATCAAGTTCTACGTAGAACCCGTTTGCTTTCAGTGTTGGAATCAGTCCTTTTCGTACAGGGTATGGAAACCTGAAGGTTATCGAGATATTTTTTTCTGGGAGGGAGTTAGCCCAACTCACACAGGTGACTGTCTTGAAAAAATTCTGCTTTTGTTGTTTTTGCCTGAGCCAAAAGCATAAAGAGGATTAAGCATTGGGAGCTCCAAATGACGATTTCTTCAGTTAAGGAGTGGATGTTGTGCAGTGGACTGCAAACCAACAATAATGCATTTTAAAATCGCAGTTTGGGGAGAAGAAACTAGACAGTGTTTTTGTGAACTATCTCTGCAGCACTGAGGAAAAATGACAAGAATTGGATTTTATTGAAGCACAGAGATGTAGTCAGTGTACGAGTATTTGAAGTTTTACGGCTGTTAAGGATTTTTTTTCTTCCTTTTTTTGCTCCAACATTTCCATAGCTTGCATATCAGGTTTTCACTAAAAGATGGATTACCAGTTTTTAAAATGTTGTTGTGCCATATTTTATTTATCCTTATGCATTATAAATATATAAATATCTATTTAGACTGAATATTGCAATGCAAGATGCTATTATTGTGAACTTCAGGGTTTAAATCTGGGACAAAAAAAAAGTGGGAAATACTTCTCCAGTATATTTGCTCTTTGTGACCCTCTTTCTGAAGAGGTTTCTTAAGTTTTTAGTTTAAAAACAAACTCACATCTTAAAATTCAAAGTTTTACGATGCTAACCCTGAAGTTCTCAAGTTTGTGATCCTTTGGTTTTTTCAAGGTACATCTGGTTGCTTTTCTGGTGCAGTCAAATCATTCTTTAGAAAGGTCTTGGTTCTGGAGTTAATGAGGAAAAGGTGGAATGGGTTGATCCATCCTGCTTGGCTTTTTTAACCTATTAATCTTTTAAGCGATCAATTTCAAATTAAAAACCAACTTTTTAGGTCTCTGTTCTACTTAAAACTTTTTAGGAGTGAGAGCCTGCCCTCGCTGAGTGGGACTTTGATGGGGAAAGCAGTAGATTATGAGGTTGCTGTTGCTCAGGAATTGATTAGTAAACTTTTAACTACTAATAAAAATCCATTTTTCAATGGATTTTTTAAGAAAAACATTTTCTTAGAACAGTGATATGGGATGTTTCCTAGTGAATAGGAATTAGTTTATATAATTTAGCCTATTAAACTGAATTATTTAAAATTCAAACTTCCCCTAATTTATCTTTTGTTGTGGTTTTTTTTTTTTTGGTTTTTGTTTTTGTTTTTTTTTTTTTTTTTTATACCGGTAAGTTGTCCTGTCATTCCTTTCATTCTTCCATAGAAGTAGCGTGAATTCTTCTGGTGTGTATATATGTATGTATAATATATATATTTCCACCCTGCCTTTCTAATTCTCCACAATGTAAGAGTTAGTTTTTTCTCCCCTCCCTCCACTTAATTTCTTGTGTCTTCACCTTGATTTGTAATTGAAACAATGCTTTGAAGTTTTGTCTTTATATTAAAGTGTATGTATTTTAATACACCGTACTGTTGTGGAGTTTCACTGCTTCAGCAGGGGCCGGTGCCCGAGGAAGGGAGACGCCCTGGGCCGGGGCTTTGCGTTCAGCTCTGCCAAAGCTGAGGATAATGACGCTCCGGGGTTTAGCACGCCGGTGACATTGCAACCCCCCCCCCCCCCCCGCCCCCAGCGACGCTTCCTGGGGACCCTTTTACCAATTTCACCAGTATGATAAAACTGAAGGCAGCCAGGCGCCGTGTTTCAACTCTGCAAGTGATGCTCGCAAGGCTTTCTAAGCTAATTTTTAGTAAGACGATGGAGATGAAGGCCCCGCTGCACCGAGCGCTCGCGCGGCTCCTGGCTCTGGCTCGCTCTGTAGGGGTTGGGAACAGGTTGCAGCAGCCTGACCCACCTTCCTCAGCCTCCTCGTTGCTCAGGCTGCTGCCAAGCGCTCGGCTCCATCGATCCAAAAACCCCTGAAGGTCTTTGTCGGGGCCGGCCCCGGCTGGCTCCTGAGCGGGCGCCCCCCGTCGCCGTCGGCCACCCCAGGGACCCGAGGTGGGAGCCGCCGGGGCGCCCGGCCCCACCGGGGCTGTGCCGCACCCCGAGCTCCCTCCGGCTGCCCCTCCCCAGCGAAAGGTTTGGGTTTCTTAGAACAGCTCTGACTGCCGCAAAGATTAAAACAAGTTTTTATTGGAAACGTTCACTATACGACGGCTAAATGGCTTCGGTACACTTTCAGGGAGCCTGTACGCAGCGCTTGCTGGAAAAGGCCCCTGAAATACAGAAAGCATGAGGACTGGAGTATGAAAAGTGAACAAATCACCAGCGATTGATGCAGATTTCAAAGTGTCTAGAAGTACCATCTGCCTTTACTCCTGAAACCTAACCCAGTGTCCTAGTGCTAGTCTGGAAATCGATCTCCGCTACTGGGCCTGGCTGGCCCGTGTAACTCTTCACAGCATTTGTTTTACATTCAGTTAAGAAATGTCATGGTTGCCTCTTAAATACTGTTCCCCGTAACATCTAAATAAAATGCCCGTTCTATGTACAGTGCAGCCGGTGGCCGTCAGCTCTACCTGCTGGAAGGCGTGTCAGGAGGACGCGGGATAGTCCTGGCAGGCACAGGGGCGCGGGGGGGGTCAGCTACTGCCAGGCACCCTGAGCCTCGCTTCAATTTTGTTGCCTAGAAATGATTGAACGTGGGCAGAATTCCAGGGGGGGTTTGTTTCTATAGGGGTTGACTTCACCTACGGAAGGATTCCCTAATGCTGAACCCTGGGGGGCTGAGTCCGGACGGGGCCGTTCTGCCTCCGCGAGGGGCTGGCAGGAGCTGGGGAAGCCGAGGGAACGGCGGCCGCCGCTCAGCTCTGGTTATTCTGCTGCTGAGCCTGGAGTGTCCCCACCTCTCCCCTCCAGCAACCAAAGTCTCTTTTTCACAGTAATAAAGCTGCTGTGGCCCTCCCTAGCACGTCAGGAACATGCCCCTGCACTGAGGTAAAGCAGAGTAGGCTTGTCAGGATTAAAATGCACTTTAAAGTCATCTGAGGACACTAATTCCCTAAAGCACGAGCTCTCGTCTGTTCCTGCTTTTAATCCCTCATTGCTGCGTCCACTAGAGTTGCCATCTGTCTTCAGAACAGCCCTCTTGTCTGCTTCCACCCTCTCATGCCCTCAGCTTATCACACAGGGCAGCTGCCCCTCTGCTTATTTTGGTAATTGCTGGAGCAAGCACCTGGAATGTTTGAAGGGAATGGGAGTAACTGGGGAGGGAAAGGAACAGTCTTGGCTTTGAGGTTAAAAATAAAGCATCGGTGACATCTGCTACTCTCCTGGTACCCAGCAGCGTGAGGTAAAGACGGAAGGCCAGGCCACTAAAGCTTGCCATTTGGGCTCTTGTTTTGGCATTCATTCCCCCCCAGGGAGGAGGAGACCCAAATCTTCCCTTCAAGCCCAGCTCACAGCCCAGGCTGCTCCACCTCGCCGCGCTCCCGCCGGCGCAGCCCGGAGCTGCAACCCCCCGCAGCTCAGGCCAAGCCCCTGCGCTGCATTCACCTGCCCCAGCAGCAACTCGAGTTCCTTCTGTCATCAACTGTCTGATGACATTACCTGGGACCTTCCCGGGGGCCTTTCCTGGAGGTTCTCCTGGTCTAGTTCCAGGGGAGCTGCTGCAGCCAAACAAAGTGGGGCTCCTGAAGCCCTGGGTGCAGGTGTGGGGAGTGGATTTCCCTCCCCCAGCTCTGGGCAGTTTTCCTGGGTGCAGCCAGAGCCACGGCTTAAGAGGAGAGATGCTGTTTCTTCATGTTTCTCCCTCTATTACAGGAGCTGCAGGGAAGGCAGCCCTTGTCCCCCGGCAGCTCCCCCTGACCTTGGCAGTTTTCTGGTCTTTCCCTTTGGACACTCACAAAGGGGAGAGCAGCTGCAGCAATGGCTCAGGGAATGAAGTGGTAACGCCCGGCTGTTAAATGCAACTTGGGCTTAACTTCTGCGTGCCCTGAAGCTCAAACATCCAACCCAAGTGGAGCAGTTCCTGTCTTTACAAACCTCTCCATCTGGCTTTCCTCTCTGGGAAGCCACTAACTGCACAGCTTCACCCAGCCCGCAGCATTGCAGAGGGAGGCAGGATGACCACACAGAGCCCTCAGCCCTGTCTCTGCTCCCTTGTGCTTCGCAGCTTTGTTCTCCAATGCGTCTGTGAGTGCTCTGATGGGCTGTAGCACCGGCTTCATCAAGGCTCTAGGAATTAGCACCACCTGCCCAGAGAAGGGGGAAGGAAAACAACCCCAGGAAGCGGGTGCTAGTGGCTGCAGAGACTCTGCTGCCTGGACACGGAGGAGTGGATGCCCGCTCCCATCAGCGGGAGCTGTGGTTGAGCTCTCCTGGTGATAAGGGAAGGCCTCCTACTCCTTGCTCAGCAGCTGGGCTGTCAGGGCTCTGCTAGCAGGTCTCAGCAATAAACTGGAGAGGGAATGACTGGGTTAACCCTGCAAGCACAGACATGCAATCAGTCGGAGCATCCTCTCACAGCAAGGGGACGAACCCTCCACGGCTCCCTTGGAGACTGCAGGGAGATCCTGGGCCAGAAAAGCTGAGTAGCTCCCTGCAAGAGTGGGACAGGGAGGAAGAGGAGGGCTAGAGCTGGCGCAGGGCCTGTCCCAGAAGCTCCAGGTGAGGGGGACAGGAGCTCTGTTCAGTCCCTGCCGCCCCTGCTCCCTTGGAGCCAGGGTGGCTTTACTCCCAGTGCCGCAGCAGCGCGGCGTCAGCGCCGGGGCACGGTCTGCAGGGAGCAGTTAAAACTGGCTGCTGCCACAGCTGGGGCAAGTGGGAATGTGCAGTGAATTCCCTTTAAAAAAATAGTACAAAATTATTTGGCTAATAAATTAGAAAGTCACTTGGTCACTGCTGCGGGGAACTGTGGCTGTTCGTCCCGGGGTAGGGCCTGGGGGGGTGACCCTGGGGCCAGAAGCCAGTTCAGCCCAGGCGAGGGGATTACTGCTTGCGCGTTCCCAGCTGGAAGCGGGCTTCCTCGGAGATCCCGTACTGCTCCAGGGGGTCCTGCAGCAAGAGCACAGGGAAGGCACCAGTGAAACCCAGACAAGGCGGGGGGGAAGCCAGCAGGGCCGTCCCCCAGCCAGCCTGCAGCCTGGGGCTGGGCGCAGATCCCCGTCGCGTGCTGGATTTATCCCAGTCCAGCCCCTGGCTGCTGTTTCTGGTGCAGAAAGTTGAGCAGCCCTCGGGGAGGACACGGTGGATAACCACGGTCTGTGGGCTTCAGTCCACGCTGGCACAGGAGCGTGCAGGTGAGCTGCAGCCACCTCGGGCGGGGAAGCTCTGCGGAGCCTGGCAGGGGTGTGAGCAGCAGCTCAACCCCTGTATGCTCTGATCTGGCCAGGGCTGCCCGTCAACTCTTCCAGAGAACCGCTGGGAGTCTGGGCTAGCCCGGGCCAGACCTGCCCAGCCACAAACCTCGGGCTACTCCGCCACTGGAAGAATGTGTGTACCAGGGTTGGAGCTGAGCACAGTGCAGGCTGCTCGGTGGAGGAAGGCTCTCGGGCCTGGTTGTTGAGACCATGGCTTCAGGAACTGGTTTACTACGGGATCTCTCTTATACACGTGGCAGCAGCCTTGTGCGGGACAGCTGGCAGCAACACCCCAGATCACCAGCTCCGGTCCAAACCCATCGGTCACCACCTGACAAGCTGACTTGAAGGGACTCACCTTCCCTGTCATTTTCTGGATCTCATTCCGGTAGAAAATCAAGCTCCTCCTCATGAACTCATAGCTGTAAGACAGGAACAGACCATGCAGCAGGCTGAGCAGAAAAGGATGTGGAGAAGTTTCAGATGCTATTTAGAGCTGAAGGGAAGCTTGCTTGGGAGGAGGCGACCGCTTTCCCCCCTGGGTTCACCACAAGCTGATCACAGTAAAAAAAAAAAACCAGCACAGAGCACACAACACAGACCTCGCGCTGGTGGCTCAGCCCACCTGGCTCGCTTGAGTGCCTCAATCCACTCCTGACACTGCTCTTCACTGTCGCATTCAAAGCAGTATTTCCTCTCCGGCTCCTCAACAAAACCTGTCAGGGATAAGGAAAAGGCTTAAGGGAGCTCCTGGCAGAGCTGCGTGTGCTCCAGTCTCCCACCCCAGCAAGAGCCAGCCTCTGCCAGGCCACAGTCAGCACCTCTCTTCAACAACGATGATCTGTGACCAAGCTGGTAACCCAGGCCTCTGTCCCATCTCCCTTACCCTGGGTGGCTCCACGCTGGCCTGGCGCAGCTGCCTACAGCGTTCCTCAGCTCAGAGTAGCCAAAGACTTCAGAGAGGAAAGAGCAACTTCTCCAACTGCGAGCGACAGCTCAGAACTGAACTGGACCAACGTGGCTGGATTCAGGACTGAAACTCCCCAAGCCTCCTCACAGTCACCAGAGATTCAGGAATGAAAGTGGAAAACGGCCCCGAGGAAGTGATTTTCATCTATGCAAAGGGCAGCCATCTGAGGAGTTCAACTGCAGTCAGAGAAGGCACCGACCTGTCTTTACTGGAGGCTTTTGGGAATTTGGTACTGTGCACGGTGGAAAGCAAGTCCCTGTGCAACTCCAGTTCTTTACCAAGACAGAATCAGGACATCTAATTAAATACACTGTCTCCAGAGCTCTGCTCTTTAGTACACAGTCCACAGAGATCTAGGCTGCTGCTGAGAAATAACTGGGTCAGGCTGCATCCAAACCCCTCAGGGCTGCTGTGTGGGGACACAACCTGATGCCAACTGCCCTCAGTTTTAACACTTTTCTCAGGAATCCTCATTCACCAGAACTCCCGACAGTCCTAAAGCCCCAGAAATTCAGAGCGTGGTGCTTAGAGAGATCGGTATGTTCAGGCTGTCTGAGGGTCCTTTGGAGGCTGCAAGAACACCACCCCTCCCGGCTAACAGAGGAGACAAGGCTCTGCACAGAAAAGCAGCTGTGCCCGACAACCAGGCCAAAAGATATGGGGATGGCCTTGGAGAAACATCCTGTTATTTTCGCCACATACCTCTCGCACAATGATTAGTTGTTGGATGAAAGGCTGCTTACAAAGGACGACACGCCATGAGCCAGCTGGAGCCACGGCTATCAACACAAGGACAAACAGCGTGGCGGGAGGACTGGTGCTAGATTAGCCCGACAGATGGTTTATCTGAGGCTCACTTTTTTTTTTTTTTTTTTTTTTTGATAAAATGCAATAGCACAGAAGCAGCGATCTGTCAATACCAAACCCTCCTTGAGTGGGATTTCCACAGGCACTACACCGTGGTCTGTCTGTTGTTACTGCTTCTCTCCTCACGTGCAGCTGTGCAAATCACACAGTTTCAGCCACCGATGAAACATCGCTGTCCTCGGGATGGGGGACAGCAACGCCAGAGTAACAACTGGCAGCTGAGGAGGAGGAGGAGGGCTGAGGAGCACTAACCCCGCTGTTACCGGAGAAAGCGAGGGAAAAGCAGAAACCAAGCAGTAAAACGTTGCCTTTTATGTAGCCCTATTTGCCACGAGAGAAACGCAGAGGGAATGCATACACAGAACTCACTGATGGAGAAGACGTTCTCCTCCTCTTTGGTGATCCGGCAGTGCTCCAGCAGCAGAGCTCCAATGGGCTGGAAAAGACCCGGCGAGAGGGTTCAATCCACATCGTCCACCAGTGTGACAGTGAGAACCCTCAGAGGTTGCCTAGTGCCTTTTAGCTCCATAACCTGGTGCTACTTTTAAAGTAATTCAGTCTAATTGTACGAATGTTCCATGTTCTTTTAATCAACCTTTTTGTGTCCGCTGACATGTTTCACTGTGCTAGCCCTACCTGTAACACTTCCCATACACTAACGAGGTGTTAAACATTTCTACTGGCTCAGATTCAGCCTGGGCTTTAGCATTCGTTTCTGTGATGCAAAGGCAGTGAAGTTTACTTCCTTGCTCAGTAAATCAAGTGCAGAGGAAGTATTTAGCACGACACACAGAACAACTCACATTGTACTTTGTAAGGGCAGTCCTCAAGCCTTGCAAGAGGTTAAGAACAGCGTGTCGATGGAACTAGAACAGCTCAGGATAAACAAATTGTCGGTATTATTTGCTCTCCAGTGCACGCTGAGCAAGGACATGAGAACCAAAGGGTGATACAAGCCATAAACAAAAACAACCCACAAGCAAATTCTTTTGTCCAAGCTAAACAAAACACAAGAGGCAAATAAGGCAGCCAGGAAGATACTGAAAAACCTGGTTTACTATGTATTTCTGGCACAACAGTTTTACACGAGCACCCTCCACCTACCTGCTGAGCTACTGTTGATCCTTTCAAGATCACCCTCTCCCCTCCATCAGAGCACACAGGGGTGCTTAACAAAAAAACACCAGAAAAGAAGAGAGCAGGGCAGCGCCGGGTGGCAGCGAAGGAGACGTGCCGTGTCCTCGGAGCCTCGTCCCCCACCGGCGCAGGAGCCACAGCGGAGTCTGTCCACAGACACGTGCCAGAGCGACTGCTCCGTGCCCCAGCAGAGCAGCTCTCAGAGCCTGCGCTTCGGCAGGAAGGACAAAAGGGCTCTTCTGAAAACGAGAGCTCGGCTGTTATCAGGGTAAAATATTTATGATGGACTAAGTCTAAAAACGCCACTAAAAGCTTTCCAGTTCCTTTGTTTATAGCACCAGCACGTACACAGCACCTTTCCTCACACACATTATTAAGATTGCTTTTATATTCATTTTCCAACAAACGAATCGAGTTATCGAGGGATTCATTAAAAACATCAACAGATCTCAGCAGTGGCAAAGCCAGAAACAGACCCCAAAGGTCCCATCCCTCATTTCTTTTTTTTCCTAGACCTAGGCAGGCCTTCTGCACACCCCAAAATAACAATATTGACAGGGTACAGCCACAAAAGCTTCCCAGTAACAGTGAGCATTGTATGCAATAAAATTCCTGGCATGAAAAAGAAGAAACAATGCTAGTTCTTTTCCTGGGAGAGCAAAATAGCAGCTTCCCCTTACAGTTTAGCAGATAAGGCACAGTCCTACAAACAAACGTTACAGACTCCACCTTTTGCAGTTCTGGGGCAACAGTTATGTTTAAAAGCTCCGTTCCCAGCTCACAGGAGAAGCACCTGGGTGCGGTTAGATGGCAGTGCCTCTCCTCACCCCCACGAGCTTTTGCTGGGTTGACAGAAGAGGAAATGTGGGCGCTGCATCCTGGCTCTGGCAGCCTGTTACTGTCCCATTTCACAGAGCCCACGCAACCGGTCCACGGAAAAAAGCCGAGGGAGGGAGGAAAACAAACAACGACAGCAGAGCAGATTCCTTACCTCCGCTTCATCTGTCCGGAAGTAGAAGAGAAAGTTGACAACAAGCTTCACCAGGCGTTTCTTTAACACTGCAAAGAAAAACAAGTGGTGAGGTGGGTGGAAGGGCCAAGCCAGCCGGCACGGGGGGAGCGGAGGGAAGCCCCTTCCCCCCTGCCATGGCACCGGTGCAGCCGAAAGCTCCAGCACAGCCTTTTGCTCCGGGAGCAGCTCACAACGGGGACCCTCCTGCCGCCGTGGGGTGACAAAAGCCACTCTGCAGCTTCTCGAGTGGGCGCTGGGCAGAGCCCGGGGCACCCCCGGGAGGGCTCGGGACGGCGGGGAGCCCCGGCCGGGGGGGGGGCCCCTCGGAGCGCCAGCGGCCACCCGAAGGCCCCGGGCGCAGCAGAGGCCCAGCACACGGGAGCGAGGTTTCTTTTTCTAACGCTCTGCTGTTCGCAAGAAACCGGTTTGCGAGAAAATTCGCTGCGGGGTGCGTGTGTGTGTGTGTGTGGGGGGATTTGCAGAAACTCTTCCTCCAGCGCTCCGGGCCCCCGCCAGCCCAGGCCCACCCCGGCCTTGATGCCACCACTCACGCTCCTCACTCCCGACTCACCAGTCCTCCCACTCTGTTCCCAGTCCCCCGATACCCCCAACGCTCCACAGCTCCCGCCCGGTCCTGTTCCCACCCGCAGTTTCCCAATCCTGATTCTCCAGTACCCACCCCCCCCCCCCCCCCCCAGGGCGCCCGGTTCTCCCAGTCCCCCCGCAGGCCCAGTCCTGTCCTGTGCCACCGCCCTCAGCGCCCCCCCCCCCCCTCACCGCTCCCCTTCTTGGGCACCCGCATCAAGATCTCGGCCGCCTTCTCGGCGGGCTGCCGGGCCAGGGACAGCAGCTCCCGCTCGTTGTACCGCATGGCGAGACACCCCCCACCCCGGTTTCCCCCCCCCACCCCACCCGCCCGCCCCGGTCACTGCGGCCGCCCCATCGCCCCGGAACCGCTCGGCCCGGAAGCGGCACCCGGGGACGGGAAGGGGGGGGGGGGGGCGGCGCATGCGCGGGAGCAGAGAGCGGGGCCGCGGCAGCGGTACGGGCCGGGCCGGGCCGGGGGGGCCTTGTGGGGGGGTGACCCTTGCTGAGGAGCGCTTGGAGGATGTTTGAGGGGGGCTTTGACCCTTACGGGGGGGCTGGGGGTGTTTGGGGGGGGCTTTGGATCTTGCTGAGGGGTTGGGGGTGTTTGTGGGGGGCTTTGGCTCTGGCTGAGGGGTTGGGGGTGTTTGTGGGGGGGCTTTGGCTATTGCTGAGGGGTTGGGGGTGTTTGTGGGGGGGCTTTGGCTATTGCTGAGGGGTTGGGGGTGTTTGTGGGGGGGCTTTGGCTCTGGCTGAGGGGTTGGGGGTGTTTGTGGGGGGCTTTGGCTCTGGCTGAGGGGTTGGGGGTGTTTGTGGGGGGCTTTGGCTCTGGCTGAGGGGTTGGGGGTGTTTGTGGGGGGGCTTTGGCTCTGGCTGAGGGGTTGGGGGTGTTTGTGGTGGGGCTTTGGCTATTGCTGAGGGGTTGGGGGTGTTTGTGGGGGGGCTTTGGCTATTGCTGAGGGGTTGGGGGTGTTTGTGGGGGAGCTTTGGCTCTGGCTGAGGGGTTGGGGGTGTTTGTGGGGGGGCTTTGGCTCTTGCTGAGGGGTTGGGGGTGTTTGTGGTGGGGCTTTGGCTATTGCTGAGGGGTTGGGGGTGTTTGTGGTGGGGCTTTGGCTCTGGCTGAGGGGTTGGGGGTGTTTGTGGGGGGCTTTGGCTCTGGCTGAGGGGTTGGGGGTGTTTGTGGGGGGCTTTGGCTCTTGCTGAGGGGTTGGGTGTTTGTGGTGGGGCTTTGGCTCTTGCTGAGGGGTTGGGGGTGTTTGTGGGGGGCTTTGGCTCTGGCTGAGGGGTTGGGGGTGTTTGTGGGGGGCTTTGGCTCTTCTTGGGTGTTATTCAAGGGGGGCTTTTCTTCCTGCTTTGGAGATGAGATGTTCGAGGGGGACTTTGACCCTTGCTGGGGTGCTGGGGGTGTTTGTGTGGATTTTGGCCCTGGCTGGGGGGTGTTTGAAGGGGGCTTTTCCTCCTGCTGAGGGGCCAGATGTCTCTGTGGCTTTCCTGCAAAGGTCTTACCCTCACTGAGGGATTTGTGTATGTGTGGGGGGGCTCTGGCCCTCGTTGAGGGAAGGGTGGGGGGTGTCTGGGACCTCCCGTGGGGTTTGGGGACAGTGTACAGAGGCCCTGACTTTCCTGGGGGGGGGGGGGGGGGGGGGCTCTGCCCTTCGCAGAGAGTTGGGGGCTGTGTGGGGGTGGCTCTGGGGTCTTGGGGGGCACTGGGGTGGTGGAGCAGTGACTAACCTTGGTGGTGGAGAGGAGCTTTGGCCGGCGGCGGGTTCAGGGGCTGTTCGCTGTCAAGGTGGAGGGTTGGAGGTTCCTTTTTGGGGGGGCTGGGGGGAGTCGCTGGTGGGGCTGTTGCCCATTGCTGGGGCCCAGCTGAGCTTGAGCAGGAATACGTCTCTACGTAGAAGAGGTGGCTGAGAAAATAGGAAGGGCTCTGGGGGCTTGTTTGGGTCGTTTTATTTCTACTGACCTTACTGAGTCAGTGGTACAAGACTTGCTCCATTTGAAATTGTGTCCCGTGGCGAGTGGCCAGGGCACGGTTTGTCGTGCTTGTCTCATGTCCTTACCGACGGGCCCAGATAGTGGTGTCTACTCCCGGTTAGGAGGAGCATTCGTTATTGCTCACGTTGCTTTTCCTCATTTTTCCAGATTCTCTCTTTCTCCATAAGTAGCTGAAGCACAGGAGTTCCCACCATGGATTTTCAGCATCGTCCTGGAGGTAAAACTGGAAGCGGAGGCGTAGCCTCTGCCTCAGAAAGTAACCGAGACCGCAGGGAGAGGCTCCGGCAGCTGGCTTTGGAAACCATCGACATCAACAAGGTGAGCCTTGGCCCCCTGCCTAGGAAAGGAAAGACCCGGTGCTCCCGTCCTGCAGGCTGTGGTGGGGATAAGTTTAGAGCTTTGCCCGAGTGAAACGGCTTGGAGGGCGAGAGATTTAGTGGAGAGTTGTGGACTGGAATCTGGTTTCTGGGAGTGTGGGAGTTGAATGAGAAACATTTGTGACGGGGCTGACCAGAGAGATGCCAGCAGTTGCGTATTCAAGTAGCCGTTACATTATTTTCAGCCTTCTCAGGACTGGTTTGTATTTTACTGTTTCCTGCCTGCAGTTGGGTATGCTGTCACCAATTAACAAAGCTGCTATTGTTTCTGTTGTCATTGTCCTAAAACAGTGTTATGCTATTCATTTAAATCTACAAACTCAGTTCTCCCAGTGCAGCAAAAGTTCGACAGTATTTTGATTATTCTGTTTTTTTGCCATGTATTTTGCTTGTAACTTTTTAATTATTCTCTTTCTAGGACCCTTATTTTATGAAAAATCACTTGGGCTCTTACGAATGCAAGCTTTGCCTAACGCTGCACAACAATGAGGTGAGTTGAAGAGCTGTCTGTCTTGATCTTGGCAGCAGGTATTTTAGAATAATAGCGCAAGAACCTGGGACGTGCCTGATGACTGACAGCTGAAGTGATGGTAGGTGGGTAGTGGCTTCTGTGCGTTAAACCTGACAGTTTCTGACAGTTCAGCAGTTGAGAGCAGTCTGCAATTCTTAAGTGAGATTCCTCTCTGCTAAGGATTAAAATATGCTTGTCAACAGGTGATACAGAGTGACAATTATCTTTCAGTGTAGGAACGGTCCTGTCTTCGTTTAACTTTCTTCTACCTTGTGTTTTATTTTAGGGAAGTTACTTAGCACATACCCAGGGGAAGAAGCATCAGACCAATTTGTAAGTCATTCTCTACTGTAGCTTTATGCTCCATTACCTAAGCACTTTAAAATGATGATTGTATGCATTTATGAGTCTTGAAGTCCATTACACAATAGCACACCGCATGTATGTTCTTTGACTGTGCTTGTTTCCTAGTGAACAGTCTGGCACTGGCCAGGAGGTACAGACCAGATCTCCTCCAAAAAAACGGTGCTGACAAGCTCCATTTTGAGCTCAAGTTTAAAGCCAGTTGTGAGATTTCTGAAGGAAGCGAGAGAAAAAGTTTCAAAAGCAAACTGTCTGAGACTAGGTGTAAGAATCTGGTTATGTGAATACAGAGTGGGAGAAGTTTGTAGGTTTTATTTTAAGAAATTGAGCTTGCTTTGGTTTAGATGACTAGTTTGTGGGTTTTTTTTCTTTTTTATTTCAAGAAGTAAGTCTTCTCAAATCTATCTGTGGAGGGGGCACCAAGGTCATCTTGCGGGTGGTTAAGATAATTGAGATGACAGCCTTTAGTCAGAGGAAGGCTTGGATACAGTTGGTCTGTAGTGGTGCATGGAAGAGAAATAGCAGGTTTTCCTGGCATGCTGTCTGTGAAATGCTGAATATTCTGTTCTAAGGGATTCAAACTGCTCCTACTGTATCCCTTAGAAACAAGTGCAGCTAACCTTTTTTTAATTTGACACCTTTCAAATTAATCCAGGGCCCGTCGTGCTGCCAAGGAAGCGAAGGAAGCCCCTGCCCAGCCTGCACCAGAAAAAGTCAAAGTGGAAGTGAAGAAATTTGTGAAGATTGGACGACCGGGTTACAAAGGTGTCTCAGGGGTGTCTGTCATGGGAGACACCTAATGCCTGCTGGAGCTTGCCTGAAGTGCAGTGCTGGGGATGTGAATTATTAATTAGTCTTTTTAGCAGATCTGTCCATGAATAAGATATGGGTTTATCTCCTGATGTCCTTTATTGTTTAAATTACCCATGGAACATCTCTTTATTGCTGACAGTGAGAGAACCATTTTAATAATAGATTGGTATGTCTCAGTCTTTCAGCTCTTATTAGTAGTCCTGCAGGAGATGATGACATTGTTTCAGTCTCTCTTCTCCTTTTATTGTGTTGTACCACCTTTCACTAATGCTCATAAATCACTCATTGCATGTATAGCTCAAGTTTTTTCGCTGATCTCCTCACTGTTTTGTTTTGGCCTTCAGTACTCAACTTGCTTTCTTTATCTCCCAGCTTTGTTCTGCAGTGCACGGTGGCTTTGCCCCACAGAAGTGGAATTTCAGCAAAGATGCTTAGTAGCTTCGGCTAAAGACAATGTGGCGTTTTGTTTGATAAATGGGAGAAACATCTTGTAATACTTTGTTGTTGGAAGCTTTGTGTGTTGCCTAGAGCAGAAATAACATTGCTCTAACCCTGCTGTGCGAGGTACTGAGCTTTCTTATTTTCGTTACAGTGACCAAACAGAGAGATCCAGAAACAGGCCAGCAGAGCCTTCTCTTCCAGGTAAGGGCCCTGTTAAAATTTTTGGTGTCTGGGTTAACCAAGTCAAAGTGCTGCTAAATGAACAGTTCTTTGCAGGATTCATGAAATAAATTCTTAAAAAATAGGCCTTACCTTGCTAGTCCTCTGCTCTTGATTGTACCAAGCAAATCCATGTTCGTAGTTGTCAAGCTGTTTCCTGTGGTGGCACTAGGTTTTCTGTCTGGAACCGATCTCTCGATGTGCTTCGTGGTTGAGGGATTTGTTTTGTACGAAGTGGGAGTGAAAAGGGGATGTTCTCCTTAATGCTGCAATAACCCCCCCAACAGATTGATTATCCGGAGATTGCAGAAAGCATCATGCCTCGTCATCGGTTCATGTCAGCCTACGAGCAAAGGATTGAGCCCCCTGATAGACGCTGGCAATACCTTTTGATGGCAGCGGAGCCCTACGAAACCATAGCGTTCAAGGTAAGATTTGGGATTAACTGATTGTTGGGAAAGCTCCCTTCCCATGTTTTCCAATACATTAATTCCCAGTGAACGTAATTATAGACTTCTGTTCTAGCCTTCAACGGGTTAATGGAATGGAAAGGGGGGTTAAGAAGACATGACTGGAAGTCATTAAACCCTCCTGAGAATTAGTGGAGGACTCTGGCATGAAAACTAGGCTGTGTGCTGAGCTCTGGGGAGCCATTGAATTCTCAGTGTCTGGCACAGAAAGGAGCTCTCTGGGCTTTGCTCCTCAGCCTTTGTGCAGATGTTGAGAAGGTTTTTTGCCAGCACACTTGTCCTTGACCGATAGGGAAGTAACTTAATTCTTTCCTGCCCCTATCTCTATCTAACAACATCCGAGATTAGCGCATCTCACAAAGGCCTGGAATAACCGTGCTTATCTTGCAGGCTCTGGTACTAAAAAGGGCCACTGAGCTAAGCTGGTGGCACTAATAACAGCTCCTTCTTTTTCCTTGCAGGTGCCAAGCAGAGAAATCGACAAAGCGGAAGGAAAGTTTTGGACCCACTGGAACAGGGAAACCAAACAGGTACCTGGAGCACTGCAACATCTTTCTTAAGGGTTAAAGAGGGAAGCGGGAAGGCAGAGCAGCATGGGGGGAGAGGCAGTGCAGGAAGAGTGCACCTCAGTGAGACCCGTGCTGGCTTCGATGCTCAAGCCTTCATTCCTTCAATGTAACTGTGCAGTGACGCCTCCCGACAGAAAGATCTTCCTCTGTGTGATCTTTGTGAGAATTTAACCTGGGAGGCAGAGTCCTCGGCTGCTGTCAGCAGCGGCAGAAAGGTGCGTGGGCGTGCAACACCAGTGCCCTCTCTGCGGCTGCTCACGGCGTGTTTCCTGCACGCCGCTGGCTGTGGTGAGCCTGGGGCGTGGATGCCCCCGCTGGGCATCCTGGGGGGGAGCAGGGGCTGGAGATACCGACCCCATCACAGATGGCTGAGTGCTTAGAATGAGTTTCAGAGGAGTTAAAGTGCTGGACGGTACCGGTGCAAGCCATGGAGGCTGCCCGGGGTGGAAAGGCAGCCGTGATCTGTGACGGGGAGAGGTCAGGAGAGATCCGTGGACAGAGCAGCTGTGTTCTGTGACGGCACGGAGTTGTCCTGAGGATTAATCGTTCTCTTCTCTTTGCTTTTCTCCCCTCCCCAGTTCTTCCTTCAATTCCATTTCAAGATGGAGAAGCCCCCAGCTCCCCCAAACCTCCCTCCAGGGCCCCCAACTGTGAAGCGGCCTCCTCCACCTCCGCTGATGAACGGCTTGCCCCCCCGGCCCCCCCTGCCAGACTCCATGCCGCCGCCTCCTCCGGGAGGCATGACTCTGCCTCCCATGCCTCCCTCCGGGCCAGTGCCACCACCTCCAGTGCCACCTCAGTTGCCACCAGCACCCGGTGTACCTCCCCCTGCTCCTCTGCCACCCATGATGAGGCCACCTCTCCCCACGGAGGGGCCAGGCACCATCCCCCCTCCGCCTCCCTCCAACTGAGCCTCCTCCTGGACTCAGTCCCGCTGGACTCCTCTAGCTCGTATCTTTTTATATGCAGATCACGACTGATTCAGAGAAATATTTCTGTTTTGTATGCCCGTGAATTTGACTAAATCCTGTAGGTTCATTAAAAGGTTTTCAGTTTTCCTTTCTCTGTGTTTTCCTGTGTTTTGGTTAAAACTCTTGCTGTGTGTTCACTTTCTTTAGCCCTTCGACAGATAAAACATTCCCAATCTGGTTACATTTTGGAATTCTCCAAAGAGGAGGCAAAGGATTGGAAATTTCTAGGCACCTCAACCTCTTCCTAACTGAATAGCTACATCAACCTCGGCTCAGCTGTGTTGGCTTAATGTATTACCCCCTCTTAGAGTGCTTGATGTGTATCCCATAAATTACCAGCCAGTTAATCAGTTGCTATTCAACCAAAGTCCTTTAGCAAGCTGTTCATTCAGTGCTGGGGAGACTTGTCATAGACAGACAGAAAGGATTCTGTTACTGCAGCACCAGTAATCGCAGCAGTGGGCAGAATGGAGGGCAAGCAGAATTCTCTAAATCCAGTTTTCTCTTGTCTTCCTGCTGAATTACGGTCTCAATCGGCGGAGCATCGCTCCTGCTGCATTTGGAAACCTCCTTTCTCCTGGGTGCCAGAGCACTGTACTGTAGCTCAGGTGTTGCCAGCTAAAAGCTGGAAACATCTCTGCTGCGGAAATCAGTTTGGACTGCTGCTCAGGAGTCCTTGAAAAGTGCCAGGCGATTTCCTTGACAATTTTAGAAAGAGTCATCCTTCCCTGGTACGCAGCTGCCTGGCTCCTACCCGCTGCTCGCTGTTCGTGCCAAACATGGGTTCACAAACAAAATGTTGGTGCTCTCGTCTGTGGCGGGGGCTGGGATCTCTGGGAATGTTCTGTCAAAAGAAATTGCCAAAGCTGCAGTGATATTAAATCTTAGTTTATTATTACAATTCATCAGATGTTGTCTGTGGCACTCTGAAGCACCTGCTGTTGTGTAGGATTTTTATTGTATATATCCTCCCGCTAGTAGACTAGTTTTGGCAAGCTTTTGGCTCTCTGTGGTTTATATTTATACTAACATTTCCTTCAAGCAATCATTTGGTTCCCATTAAGAAGTAGACGCTGTTCTGAGATTTCTCCTCTCTGCCCTTTGCAGGGTTCCTTTCGCTCAGCTGGGGTGTCTCGGTGGGTAGAGGCATCGCTGGGGGCCGGGCTGCCTGACCCGGCCTTGCTCTCGGCCAGCGCCTGGCTCGCCTCCGGGGCCGGGGGGGAGGCTGAGCTCGCCGCAGCCCTGCAGCTGCCCGACCCTTTGATGGAGGAATCTAAGCCTTTGCCTCTTCTGGCCTGACACGGGGTCGCCCTCGGTCCCACCCGGGCGTGCTTGGCCCTCGCTGGCTTTACCGCCGTGCTGGAAGCCCTTTGTCTCGAGCTGAGCTGGCCCGATGCCCCGGTCGGCTTGTGGGGGTGGGTGTCCCCGCTGCCAGGTGCGTGTCCTTTGTCACAGCTCCTGGAGGAGAGCGGTCACCTTCAGCCCTTCGCTGTGGTGCCCCTCGCCCCTCTCCCGTTTGGGTGCGCAGTCCGTTTCTGACACGTAGCCAGATCCTGAGCTCCGAGCTGTAAAAGTCTTGGAAACCCGGAGAAGGGTCTGAATGTGCATTGGAACGTTTTTGCATGTACAGTTCCCCTGGCCCTTCATTGCCAAAACCAGGAGACGCCCTGGCTGGGGGGATGTCTCTCTGAAGCGGCTTAGGTAGGTGGCGTTGATAAGTCCAAGTGTTACGGTGGGTATTGGCCTCTCGTAGAGGGAAAAGTCCTTCTAATACGTGCGTGGTCAGACTTTCTAAGCCAACTCTCAAGTGTTCAAAGTCATCAGGCTGCTGCTGCACCCCACGAGATTCCCCCTTCAGAGGCTGAAGCAGCCTGGGGGGCTCCGGAGATGTGTTACGAGCCTCTGCAGGGCGGCCTCTCCAAACTGCGGCGCACGAGGTGCCGGCTGAGGGGGAGGCTTTCCAGTGGAGAGAGTTGAACACTTTCCATACATCTACTTAGTTGCTGCCATTATCTGTCTCCATCCCCCTCCTAGTCTGGCTAATTCTTCCCTTCTGGTGTTTCACTGCTGGTGGGAATAGCATGTGCCAGTGCCCATGAAGATCCAAGTCTAGACATCCGTCCTCCTTTAGAAAACATCCAAAGTCAAGGACGTGCTTCCCTACGAGTAAAAGAAACAGCTTTAATTTTTTTACATTTCCAATACTAGGGGCAAACCCAAAAATAGAACAAAAAAGTTTCTTTGAAACATCCCTCCCTCCTCTCTAGCATGACGGTCTTTGAGTTTCTCAAGGGAGGTGTGTTGTGCGTTGTCAATTCAAGGCCACCGGTTTTTAAAAGTGAGACGCCGTCCTCCCCTTCCGCCCAAGTGTTTTGAGATGTGTATGAGCAGCTCGGACGACTGCCTTGGCAGTAGCTGAAGTGGGAACATGAAGGCTGCTCTTAGGGTGCTTTTGCCATGCCTGGTGCTATTGCTCCCCTCTGCAGCACTTCCAAGAAAGGGGAGCACGGGGGAGAGGATTTCCCCAGTTAACCAGCTGGAGATGAGCCTGCCGGGGGATCTGGGACTGGATGCAGAGAGAAAGAGAGAAAATGCCACTTTACAGGAAAGGGTGAGACCCAGCTCGGCCCCAAGATCAAGGATGGCTGCTGCTGCTCGCCTCTTTTCTAAGCCTGACCCAGGAGCAAAATGCCTCCAGGGGCTGCCTGAGGAAGGGGGCATCGGCTGGCCTGGCTCCAGCCTGCCCCCCTGGCCGCTCGGGGGGCTGGAAGGGCCCGTGTGCAGGGTGAAAATGGACCAGGATGGGCTGACCCCCAGGCACCTGGAAGTTGTGGGTGTTCTCACCCACTACGAAAGTGGCTTCATCAAGCTGTTGAGACAACGCACCAGCTGGGACGAAAGCCTTCTCGAGACGTTCGGGCTCTGCCCGGCCGGGGAGGCGGGTGCCGCTCTCCGTCCCCTGAAGCACATCCACGCGCACGTGGTGGAGCCGGGGCAGGACCGCTTCCTCGTGCTGCACCTGGAGGAAGGTTGGTGTGAAATCCCCACGCCAAAGCTGAGCGGAGTGGGGTGAGCACAGGGCTCGGGGGGGGCCAATGCTGTTTGCTTGCCCTGAACGGGAGATTTAAACAAAAAATTTAAATTCGTGGGGTTGGGTTCCTTTTAAAATTAGTAAAGTGTCTTGCTGGGTACATTTTTAAGGAGCTTTAGTAGTGATGACAGCTTGTGTGCAGCAGCGTGCCCGGCCCTTGCCTGTGACTAACACCCAGGTGCCGCAGCCTCGGTGGCTTCTGCTCTGCTTTTGAGATTACAAGCGTTTCTCGCCTTCTATCTTAACGATGCGGGTTAGGACTTGGTCCCAACTCTGGGAAAAGAAACGAGAGGGTTGGACGAGCCAACCTGGCTGGTCCTGCTGTGGCCTGAGCAGTCGGCTGCAGCACGTGCCGATCTCCCGCTCGGTGCTGCCGAGGAGCTCGGGGTCCGGGGCTTGCTCGTGTAGCTCCAGCCTTAAGTGAGAACCAGCAGCGCGCGTTCCTCTGCCCTGTCTGTGGTAAGTGCTGTGCTTGAGGGGGAGCACAACACCGTTTTAGTCCGGCCTTCCTCATAGCAAGAAGGTCACAGTTGTTTCTTTCTTCTCGGAATCTCTCCCTTCCCTCCCAGATTTTGGATTTTCAGCTGAATTGGCCAGTGCTGGGCGGTTGGGGAAGTGGCTTTTCCCCAGGCAGTGCTGCTGGCTGTGACGCAACGGCCGCAACGTCCCTGAGCCGCCGGAGGAGCTGCTGGGGGAGATGAGATTTCCATGGGGATCTCCCATGAAAATTTGCCAGAGCCACCCTGGGAGTGAGGCGGCCCCTGCTCGCGGGGGGTTTGCCCTGCTGACCACCTCCCTGATACTGGGAAAGGGGATTTGCCGTGTCCCTCCAGCCTGTCGGCTCCTGTCCCAGATGCTCTGCCCACCTCATGGGACCGGCCCTTGGCCCCAAAGCCCCTTCCTCCCCCCGCCGAGCCCTGTGCCCGCCGGAGGGGGGACTCACCCCTCTATCTTCTCCTTTCCAGTGAAGTGGGAAGCCCAGGCGAACCTCTGGTTTAAGCTGGTTTTCCAGGCAGAGGTGGGCCGGTCGCTGGGAGAGCTGCGGTTCGCCTTGCTGCTCTTCTACCGGGGCAGCCGAGAGGGGCCGGGCGCTGGGCACCGCGAGGAGCTGCTGGCCACCGGCACGGGGCTGGAGCGGGAGCAGGTGGGTGGCCACGGCCGGGGGAGGCCAGTCCTGGGTGCCAGCAGAGAACGTGGGAGGGGGTGTCCCAGCTCTGCTGGCCCAGCACCTTTGCCATCCCCTCCCAGCACCTTTGCCATCCCCTCCCAGCACCTTTGCCATCCCCTCCCAGTCCCTTTGCCATCCCCTCCCAGTCCCTTTGCCATCCCCTCCCAGCCCCTTTGCCACCCCCTCCCAGTCCCTTTGCCATCCCCTCCCAGCACCTTTGCCATCCCCTCCCAGCCCCTTTGCCATCCCCTCCCAGTCCCTTTGCCATCCCCTCCCAGTCCCTTTGCCATCCCCTCCCAGTCCCTTTGCCACCTCCTCCCTGTCCCCTTCCCACCCCCTCCCAGCACCTCTGCCCTGCCGCTCCCTCCCGCCGGGCCAAGCCATGCCTCAAGATGGTGCTGTTACCCTGTCCCCAGCTCCCGGCAAGGACAGCGGGATGGCCCGGGGTCCCCGGCCCGTTCTGGGGGTCCTGGCTCCCCACCTGCCCCAGGGCTCTGCAGCCTGGTTGAAGGCAGCAGCCGCGGCACCGCTGCTGGGAGGATCGGGGCTGGGGCTGGACTCCATCGGGGCTCTCTCCCCACCCCCCCGGGGGGTCCCGTGGGCCTCCCTGCACCCCATGGCTCCCAGAGCAGCTCTGGGGCTGGGTGGTGAAGCACCCCCTCCTCGCTCCCCCCCCTCCCCATTCCCCAGCTCCCTGGGCCACCGCAGAATGCGTGACCCTGAGCCAGCAGGGACCGGAGCCGGGGGGGGGAGAGGGGCTCATTTCAGTGTGTCCCCCCCACCCCGCAATGCCTCACCCACATCCTCGGTGCTCCTGTCTCTTTTGCCCCCCGAGCAGAGCCTCTGCCTCACCAGGGACACCCAGTACCTGGTCCTGGGAGCCGCCGTAGCGTCCGTCACCCGCACCAGCGAGCAGCTCAGCTTCGAGGCTTCCCTGGTGATCAGGCGCCGCGGAGAGGGAGGTGGGGATGGGGGAAGGAGGGGACAGCGGGGTCTGTGCCCTCTGTGTCCTGACTCGGGTGTTTGGGATGCGTGGGAGACCCCGGCCCACCGTCCTCACCGCCCCTCTCCCCACCAGGTGCCCCCCTGCTCCCCACGGAGACCCAGCAGCTCCTTTTCGGCTCCGATCACAAGTGCTTCACCAGGATGACCCCGGTGCTGCTCCTGATGGCCAAGTCACGGCAGCAGGAGGAGGAGGAGGAGGTGGCTTTGGCCCCTTCTTCCTACCTCTCTGCCGACGGGGTGCTGGACGTGGCTCCGTACCCTCAGCTCAGGTCCGTGCCCCTCGCCACAGCGATGGAAAAACACAGGGGGCCCCAGGGGGGAGAGGGACTGTGGCGGGAGGATGTGGGGCAGAGCCTGGTGGAACCCCAGGGGTACAAGGGGACCCCGTGACCCTCCCTGTGTTCTCCTCACAGCCCACCCCAAGCCGGGACCGAGGAGCTGCTGGCCCCCACTGCCCCGAGCCAAGCCAACACTTCGGCCCCGGCGCCCGGCGGCAGCCGCTATTTCCTGAGCATCCTGACCCGGTTCATCCGCCAGGTCCTGAGCCCCTCCAGCGAGCCCCCCACCCAGCCCAGCTCCCACCACTGGCTGGACTTCCAGGTGATGGAGACCCTCCCTCACCAGCTGCTCAACCTGTCGGAGGAGGCAGCCCTGGAGCGGCTGGTGCAGTCGGAGGAGCCCTCGGTGCTGCTTTTCCCCCAGGACAGCGGAGCTGTGCTGGAGCAGCACTTGGGGGGCTGGCAGCTGGAGGGGACCGTGCTGCAGCTGCTGATGGGCAAGCTGCAGGCGGTGATCCAGGAGCTGAAGGACATCCCGGCTTTCCAAGCCAACATGGGGCTTTTCCAGCATCTCCTGAGCTTGTGCTACTACCCGCCGGGGCCGGGTGAGGGGCAAGGCGGCGAGCGGCCGCCCGGCTCTGGGAAGATGCACACGCTGCTGCTGCTGAAGGCGTTGCAGACGGTGCGGGCGCGCTGGCAGGAGCGGAGGAAGGTGCTGCGGCAGAACCGCAGCGCACGGCACCAGGCCCACTGCCGCCTGCAGGAGCTGACCGTCGACCTGCACGACCGCAAGTTCATCGTCATGCCCACCGTCTACGCGGCCAACAACTGCGAGGGTCCCTGCAAGCTGCCCCTCTCCACCCGCATCCCCAGCTACTACTCGCACACGGTGCTGCTGTTGGGCATGCAGGAGCGGGGCTCGCCCCTGCAGCGGGCTCCCTGCTGCGTGCCCGTCCGCTACTCGGACCAGCTCATCATCAGCCTCTCCGCGGAGGGGCTGGAGGTCCGCAAGTTCCCCAACATGGTGGCAGAGGAGTGTGGCTGTCGGTAGAGGCACCCGCCCTCCTCCCCGCTTACCCCCATCCCGTTTCCCCCTCCCCTAGTTCGCCCTCGCAGCTCCGGGAGCTGGTGCTTCTCGCCGAGGTGGGAGCTCCCCGCGTGTCCTTTCCCCACCGTTTGGCTCATTAGCGTCGCTCTGGTTCTGGGTTTGTAGCCGTGCTGGTCCCTGGGGGCTGCTGCTCCGCACCCCGGCGTTACCCCGTGCCTGCTCCCTGGGGGCTGCTGCTCCGCACCCCGGCGTTACCCCGTGCCTGCTCCCGACGCCGGGGATGCCCGAGGTGCCGGTGGGGCTGTGCTGCAGCGTGGCTCTGACCCCACGGTGGGCTTTGGGCTGGATACGGGTGCCGCGGGGCCATCACAGGAGGGCAAGGCTTGGCAGATCCAGCCAGGACTACACTTATTTATCCCTTGCCTTCTGTTTCTGCAGCAGCTGGGCAGGGCGATTGTTGCTTCCTCCAAGTCCCGTCCCCCCCCCCCCCCCCCCCCGGCCCTTCTTGCAGCATCCTCTGGCCATTTCCCAGCCCATGGCCCACCACGAAGCCCCCACCAGCCACGCAGCTCCACCTGCGAAAGCAAAACCAGAGGCAAAATCCCGTCGCAGGGATCAGCCTTTATCTGGGGACCCGTCCCCACGTGAGCCAGGGGCCATGGAGAGGCAGTGGCAGTGGCTCGGGGCTCCCAGCCAGGTCACGTCTGCATCGCCCCGCGCTGACCCCGCTCCCGGGACACGGCCAGAGCCGGGGGCTGTGGGGAGGGAGGGCTGAGAGCCGGGCGTGATCCCGTTACACCTCCTGGGCCGCTCACACCATTAATGGGAGCGGGTGCGAACGGCTGCCAGAGCACCTGCTCCGCGTCGCTGCCGGCACCGGCATGGAGAGCCCGGTTGCCCCAGATCATCTTCCCAGCTCAGCCCGGCCCTCAGCGAGACCCGCCGGGGCTGCTGCAGGGTCCAAACCCCGGAGAGCAGCTCCTGGGCTCATCCCAGCTGCAGCCAGGGACCAGCCCTTGGGCTTTGCAGTGTCCCCACGGGGCTGGCATGGGCACAGCCCGCGTGGGGATCCGGGTTAGCCCTGAGCCCCTGTACATTGCAGATTGAGGGAGGGCACAGAAAACACACAAACATAACCAGGAACAAGACCTTTTCTTGTTTTTTTTTTTTTGTTTTTTTTTTTTGTTTGTTTTGTTTTGTTTTGTTTTTTTTTTTTAAAACATTCAATTTAATACCTTATTAAAAATGAAAATAGTCTATTTTAACCTCTATTGATTTAGCAAATACTTAAACTTGCCGTGGGCTGGGGCTGTGAACATCTCCCGTAGTTGCTACAGCGCTGCATGATATTGCACTTGTGTTTCGTTCCTAAAAGCGACTCTGTGAAGGCAAGGCCCGAAGGGCTCCCCGGGTGCTGAGCTCCCTGGGTGCTGGGCTCCCCGGGTGCTGAGCTCCCTGGGTGCTGGGCTCCCCGGGTGCTGAGCTCCCTGGGTGCTGGGCTCCCCGGGTGCTGGGCTCCCCGGGTGCTGGGCTCCCCGGGTGCTGGGCTCTCCAGCACTGTTTTGTTACCAACGAGCTTCCCACCACCCTGCTGCGATGGCACCGGGGCCCGGCGAGGTCGGGGGGTGGTTGTTCCCCCAACATCCCTCTGAGGACGGCTGCAGCCTGGCTTCGTTAACCCAGAACACACTTTTCTCTTGATTTGCTTTGAATAAAACCATTAACTGACTTGAAGAGCTACGCAGTCTAGAGACAAACTCTGTTCACCGGGATCCCTGTGTCCTCTGCGCTGCCCCGATGCCTCGGGGACTATGAGTGAAAATGAACTGCAGGAGAGATTTTGGGTGGGGATGGAGAAATAGCAGGAAGCCCAGATGAAGAGAAGCTCCTTCCCCCAGTCCTTTCGGGTTGCCTTTGTGAAACTAATCCAGGGGGGGCCCAAAGGCCCCGGGGAGGCTCGTGCCAGGCTCCGGGGCTGCTGTGCTGCTGCTCTCGGAGATCCCGGAGCGCTGCCCGCGCTGCCGGCCCCGGGGATGTCTCTGGAGAGCAGGCGGGGAGCTGCAGGGTGCCCTTCGCCGGGGGCGGCGGTGGGGTTGGACCCCCCTGGATTCAGCATCATCGAGCCCCTCGGTCGCCCCGGCCTCAGTCGCGCCTCTTGCTCTCCCTGGCCCTGCCCGTGCCGTCCTTCCCCGGGGCGGCCGCCGGCTCCCAGGGCTTCCTGCCCTTCTGCTGCCGCCAGTCCCGCTTCGGGCTCTCCCCGCCGCCCTCGGCCCTGCTGGGACGGCCTTTCCACCCCTCCTTCCTGGGCTCATCCCTCTCCCGCCGGCTCTCCTTCCCCTCCCGGCTCCGCTTCTTCTGGGGCTGCTGCTCCGGTTCCCGGGGGGCCCTGGGGGCTCTGCTGGGCTTGTCCCCCAGTGCCCTGTCCTTGGCTCGCGCTTCCCTCCGGCTGCTCCGCTCTGCCTGGGTGGCACGACCCTCCCGGGCCTTCTCTTCTTTCTTCTCCAGCTTCTTCTCCCGGCTCTTCTTCACCTCCGCTGCAGCCGGTGGCACCTCGGGGACATCTGCGGGCTCTTCGTCCCCGTCCTCCGGTGCCGAGCGGCCAAACCACTTCTTGAAGATCCAGGGCTCTGCCTGGGGCGGGGGATGGAGGGGATCAGGTGCTGGTGACAGATTCCAAGGGACCAGGGCCCCTCTCCATCCCTCCCCTGGGGACGAGATGCTCCTCTGCTATGGAAGGTGCCCCGAGGATGCTGTTTCTCCCCCCACCCCCCACTCGTACCAGGTTGCTGTCAGCATCGCTGTCATCGTCACCGTCATCGTCACCATCATCATCTTCACCATCGTCCTTGAGCACGCTGCTCGCCGGCTGGGCAGCCACCACCTCTTGGACCTCCTCCTCCTTGGCGCTGACCACCTCTGGGAGGGGAGAGGGACACGGGACGATGCTTTTTGGGTGCGATGTCCCAGACATGGGGTCCCAGGGCCACCCCACCCTGGGACGTGGCCCCGTCTGAGCCTGGATCCGGGGGATCAGGGCAGCCTGGAGCATCCGAACCCACCTTGAAGGGGAGGTGGCGGAGGGTCCTGCCTGCCGCGGCTGACTCCCTCCCTGGAGCATGGCGCTGGAAGAGACGGGGGGGGAGAGGAGGCAGGAGATGACAGCAGGGTCTGGCCCCCCCGTCCCTCCCACCGGCTCCCGGCTCACCTTGGAGCACCTGGAAGGTGACGCTGAGCAGGGCGACGACGGAGGCCACCAGGATGCACTTGTTGAGGGTGAGCCCTTCCCAGACGAGCGGCTCCTCCGCCGGGTCCAGGCTGGGGGGCTCCACCTTCCTCTGCACGGGGAGGCTCTTGGGGACTGGGGACCCCCAAGGCAAAAAGCGTTTACTGGGGGAGCTGGGAAGCGGCAAAGGGCTCTGAGCTGGGGGGTGGGAAGGGCTCTTAGCATCCTCCTGCACAGCCCATCCAGGGCAGGGGCAGGAGGAAGGTGTTTGGGCCCCAGTGGTGTTACAGCATCCCCGGGCTCAAGCGGGGAAAAAACTTCGGCCTGAGCCCCCGGCTCTGCTGCTCCCCCCGCAGCTGGGTGGAGAGGAGGAGGAAGAGGAGGAGGAGGAGTGGGATTTGGCAGTTGGATGAGGAGACCCATCTCCATGTGGCTGAGCTCCCGGGGGACCGTGGAGAGCAGAGCTCGTTAGGTCAGTGCTCTGTAGCACAGAGGGGCTGGCCAGGGATGCAGGACAGGATTTATACCTCTGGTCTGCGGCCACCCGGGGCCAAGCTGCTCATTTTGGGGCAGACAAGGGCTTTCCTGCACACCTACCTGGAGGCCCGGTGGTGCCGCCTTTGACTCCCACCTTCTCCACCCGCTTCTTCTCCGCCGCTTTCTTGTCCACGCCGAGCGGTGCTGGCTCTGGCATGCTCAGCTCGGGCTCGTCCGGATCCTGCTCAGAGATGCCGAGTCGGGTCCTCGCCTCCTCTAGCCCCTGCGGGGAGGGGCGTGAGCGTGGCTGGGGGTGTGAGAGCCTTGCGTGGCCCCATGGGGACAGCGAGCAGCGTGGCGTGGCGGGATGGAGTGGGGGGGGGGGGGCACGGTGGGCGTCTGTGCTGCCTCCCAGAACAAGGGGGTGCTCAGCGCAGCCGTGGAGGGGCCCGTTCCCTGCCCCCTGCAGCCCACGCTGACGCTCCCCGGGTCCCCCGGGCTGAGCCGCCGCTGCCACCAGCCCCGAGAGGTACGAGCCAGTCTGTCACCAGCTCCTCAAGCATCTAACCCCGCTGTGTGTATTTGCATCAGCAGCCCTAAAAACACCTTAGGGTTGGTTTGTTGGTTTTTTTTTTTTTTTTTTTGGTCTGCTAAAATGGATTTAGCCACTAGCTGGCTCCGTGCTGCAGAGAAGGCGCCGGGGTGCGGCACCAGCAAACACGGGTGGGCTGGCGGCTGCTGACCCCCAGAGTAGCCCCCGGCGCTGGATTTGCCCCCAGCCCGATTGCGCACAGCCGCACGCACCCACTGAGGGCAGTGGGTCGGGTCCAGGGCACGCTGGCTGGGGTGGGGTGGGGGGGGGACTGGGTGCTGGGAGAAGAAGCACACGATGCGTTGGGGTCTGGGCTCGGTGCTGCTGGGGACGGGTGGGGGGGTGTGGGGTGTGTGGGGAGGGGGGGGTGTTTGGTGGCCGGGCTGGCTTGTGTCAGCGGCACCGGATTGGTGCCACCAGGGAGAGCTGCCCACTGGCACCGGTCAGTGACAGTGACAGCGACAGCTGAAGGACGTGGCTTTGGGCTCCCCCGGGACGGACGCGCTGCAACACCCCGCCGAGCAATCCCGGGCTGAATGCCGCTGTGGGACAGCCCCCCCCCCCCTCCCCGCCCCGGCGCAGGGACCCCCCCGGCCCCGGGATGCTGCACACTCACATGGGCTCTACCGCTCTCCTCGCCGCCGCTCACCGGCGTGTCGGCATCTGTTAAAGACAAGCAGAGCGCGCGGTTCGTTAGGCGGCGAATTATGGGGGGAGGTGGGAATCGCCGGGAACTGGGGGGCTTGTGGCCTTCCCGCTGCCACCCGCCGGCCCGCAGAGCCGGGGCATCACGGCCACGTTTCCCCCGTTAGCACAGCCGGGTCACCCGTGGAGAGAGGGTTTAGAAGACACTCGAAAAGTTCCCCCGGCCGATGTGGCAGCGGATGGCAAGGTTGGGGTGTAAGAGCAGCACCATGCAGGTCTGGGGCTGCTGAGCCCCACAGTGGCACCATCCCCGATATCCCCGAGGAGCTGCAGCCCAGGGGAACGGTGACCCCCCTGCCCAGGCACCCGGTGGGCACCAACAGCCCAGGGTGTGCCCGGACACCCTGAAAACACGCGGCTGAAGGCTGGAAGGCTGGAGGCAGCTCCGGCTGTAGCCTAGACAGCAGGACAAGCTCCAGGTACCGCGGAGCAACCAGACCTCAGAGAAGACCTCGAGCCAGCCAAGAGGATGGTGAAGCTCTGGGACGACTCGCAGGGCTTTTCCCAGATGTGAAGCGGGAGAGAAAACCGGAGGGTCCCCAGGGCTCTGCAGCCGTTTGATGCAATGAAGGGCTGGGGAGGGTGCCAGGCTCCCCGGGGGTTTCTCTGCCCCTGGGTCTGGGGTGAGCTATGGGGGGTGAGGATGCACCGACAAGGTCCCAACCCCATGTGGCCTCAGCCCTCTTGGCACCTCCAAGCGCAGCCCTTGCTCTGCTGGGATTTGGATGCCACATCCTTGCAAGCCCTCACCAGAAGGAGGAGTTTTTGCCCTCTTTGAGCCGGATTTATGTTTATTTTCCCTCAGTGGAAGAATGACTGCTGAGAAAAATTACCAGTTCCCATGACAAACTCTAAGACATGACATTAGAAGCAAAACAAATAAGATGAAACCTTTTGGCTGAGGAACCATGGCCTGAAAGGTCTTTGCTTTCAAGAGGAAATAAAAAAAAGTCTTTGGTTTTGTTTTAGTGATGGTGAGTCCAGTCCTTCCTCTGCTGGGAAGCGAAGGAGCTGCCCCAGGATTCTCATGTTGGCTAGAGGGGTTCCCAGCCCCAAGGAAATCGCAAAGATGGAGAATTTTTCCTTAAAGCGTTTTTTCCACCCCCAGGTACTTTTTGTGGTTTTGAGCTACACAGCTATTCTCACTTTTTTTGAGAAAAGATGATCATGAAGAGGTTGGAGGAGGGCACAAGCCTCTGTTCCTCTTCACCCTGGCCACGGCCACAGTCCCCACGGGGTTGGTGCCACGCAGGGGCCCCTCGATGCCCGAGGTTGCCCCGCGATTTCAAGGCGCTGCAAAGAGCCACCTCTGCCAGGCTGAGCCCTCTCCTGCCGGGCCCCAAGCACCACGGCAGCAGCGCTGGCGCGGCCACGGCTCACCGTGAGGACGAGGTACCTTCTCTCCTGTCCTTCCTTGGCCACCTCTGAGTGCTCCCCGCCTGCCCGGGTGGCTCGTTGGTGGCCTCGGGGCAATCCAAGTCTTTCTCCAACACCTCACAGGGATCTGCTGCCATGTCACTTCGAGGGACTCTCACTAAACTGAGAGGGATAAAACAAATACCGGGCAGCCGACGGGCAGCAGCGGCGGCAGCAGCGCCGGGCGGCAGTGCCCCGCAGCACACGGCTGTCCCACCACATCCTCACGGCGGTCCCCAGCCCTCGCCTGAGCTCAGCCCCTTGTTGCGGGGTGCTGAGCTGTTCCCATACTTCCAGCCCTCGGGCTTTGCCCGGACGGAGGAGCCCAAACTGCCTCCAGCCCCCGGGCACGTTTCCAGGCTTTGCCGCGACGGCTGCAGAGCTCTACGGCAGCCACGGCGTGACTGGGCAGGCGGCCATCCTCCCCCTACACCAAGTGCCCCACGGGCATTAACTCAGTCCCAGAGCCGACCGGCTCCGTGTCCGGGTCTGTTCCCCTCTGGATGGGAGATGGGGTCCGTGCCCCAGCAGGAGGCAGATGCATTTCAGGGCTCTAGAGCCCACGTGGGATCCTCGTTCCCAGCCAGGATGGCTCGTGTCACCTGCAGGAACAGGTCCCGGGGCTGGTTCCTGTCGGACCAGCTCCAGACCAAGCAGGGCAGGGATGGCCACCGATGCCAGGGACATTTTGCCCGCGGCAGGGCTCCTCACCCCCAGCCCCAGCGCCCAGCTCCAGCCCTTGGCTCACCCTGACTCCCGCACGGGAGAGCTCCCGTACGACTGCTCGATTCATCCATCCCCTCCCCGGTGCTGCCTCTGCTCCTGCTCCCTCGGACGCGTGCTCCGCACGCCAGATCCTCTCTTAAATGCACAAAATCGCAGACACGCCACGAATAATCGGCTCCGCTCTGCTGTCGCCGGGACTTTTCCTGCACAAGCTCCTGAGGTTGCCTCTACTGCTGACTCACATCAAAGAAACTTCCAAAAATAGTCCCCCTTGCCTGCCCTGCTCTCCCTGTGCACGCTCGCATGGCAGCGCCGGGACAGGCCCCGTGGCCCCCCGACCCACTCCTGGCCGGCAGCGGGCCAAGCGCTGCCTCGCGGGCTGTGCCCGGGGGGCTGCCCCACATCCAACTGAAAGGGTTAAAAGCCACAGAAAGTCGTACCTGGGGCTCGACCACCGCCGACTTGCCTCCAGCCCCCCCAGCTGGCTCTGGCTCTCTGGGGTAATCTACAGCAACAGCTGCCGAACCGTGCCGGAGCAAAATAGCACCCAATCACCGGGAGCCGGAGCACCCGCGCTTCAGCCCCAGAAAAGGCAGTTTAGCCCCAGGCATCGAAAGCAGGGGCTGCGGCTAGCCAGGCGGGCACAGGGGGATGTGGCTGGTCTCTCTGTGAGTCCCCCCCCGCGCCCCCCAGAGAGCACGAAGAGGCGAGAAGGGGCTGTTTGCTCCCCGAGCCGGGGTCTCTGAGCCAGCTGTGGGATGGGCACGGGCGCCGGGGATGCAGAGAGCAGAAACCTGCCAGGCACAGTTAAGAGGAGGAGCAAGCCCCTGGCACCAGCTGTGCTTAGACAAGGGTGGTGAAAACTGCTTTTTGCCAGTGTTCAGAGCAGGTCCTTTGCCCTCCGGCCCCTCCGATTTCCCCGCAGTATCTGTCCCTGCAGGCAGGTCCCCAGGAGCCCTGCTGCAGCCACAGGCACCTCTTGGGGAGGTGGGGAGGGATGTGGTCCTCTCCGCAGCTTCCCGCTCACAGGAGGTAGTGAAGAGATGAAGCATCTCTCGTTTGGGGACCTGAAAATGTCCATCGGGCTCTGGCCCTGCCTGTGCAAGGTCACCCAGAGCCCCCAGCTCAGCACGGGCGGGGGCAGCCTCGGGCAGAAGCGCCTGGCCCAGGGACGTGGTGCAGCCGTGGCTGGTACCAACCTGGAACATCTTGGAGGCACCCTGCTTTGAGGACATCTTTCTTACAGAATGCCATTTCTGAAAGGCTTCAGGTCTAAAAAAAAACCCCTGAAACCGATGCTCCATGTTGGCAGTATTGGCATTTTTCTTTAGCATGGGTGTGAAAGGTCTTTGGTTGCAAGATCTAAAGGAGGAATAAACCAGGGACTGGCATCCCAGAGGGGACTTAGTCTTTTCCCAGACACGCGGTGAGCCTGGGTCACGGTCCTGCTTTAGGACCATGCAGCAAACGAACCCAGGAGCAGTCTGCTTTCCAGGGCAGGGATTTCCCCTCTTTGGCAGAGACAGGACCGAGCACGTTGTGAACCCTGCCACAGTATAAATAACGCGCCGCTGAAGCCGAATGCAGATGGAGGAAGGGCTGGAGCTGTAAACACAGCCCCTCACGCTGTGCCAGGGCTGCGGGTGCACATGCCAAGGGTAGTTTTCTCAGTTTTATTCCCGCTCCAGTAAGGTCAGGGCTGTTAACTGGCAAGACGTTTGCTTTATAGGGACATAATGAAAGCAGAAAATCATGAATGGGCCAAATAAAAATCCCTTCTTCTTCCAGTTAATCACGTTTCCCATGGCGCTTGCAGGTTTGTAAGCTTGCTCCTGCCTCCCGTGGGCGAGCTGGTCCTCCCAGGAAAGAACCTGGGGGTCGAATGGGCAACATCTGCACGCACAGAGCTCAGGCAAAACGTCCTCTCACTTCATCCCTGTGTGGGGCCACGAGACAGAGAGCTCTCCTCGCCCTTTCTAGGCCCTTTCAACATCTAGTTCCTGCTGTGGGGAGGGACCAGGAGCATTTTTGCCTCCACATGTTTAGCTCTGAGCTGTTCCCTGCTGGGCTGCAAAGCCTCCATCTCCATCGGACAATTTATCCCAGGCAGATGGAGGAACGAGATTCCCAGAGGCAAATTCTTTCCTAATCCCTTGAACCCCCCCAAATCCCAGCTTCTCCCTTGCCCTGAAACTGATAAAATTGTCGCTGGGGCAGGGTTAGCTCAGAGAGGAGGGAAACGTGATCCAGCTGGGAGACCAGGCAGAGAGAAAGCTGCTGGTGGAAGAGCTCGTGAGGGCAATCAAACAGCATGAGGACGGGGGCCCGGCTGCACACAGGCTGCACCCCATGTCCAGGCTAAATATTGACTCTCTGGATTTGGCTTGATAACGCAAATCTATCTTCTCTGACTTCCCAGGCTGTCAGCTTGCCTCGGATTCACACGGGTGTGTGTGCCCGCAGGGTGCCGGCTGCCCCCCAGGCTCTGCCGCGGCTTCGTGGTTTGTGGTCCAGACGGACTGAGTTGTGCTGCAGCATCCCCCTCTGCTTCTATGGCAACGTTCATTTATCCTCCCACCAGGACATAATCGTCTTTCTCCCCGTCTTTAATAACTCGCAGTTAAAAGGCAATCATAAAGACATAAAATTAGTCACTGATTATTTTCACCACGGGTTAGTTCTGGGGATGAATTTTTCTTCTCACCATGTAATTCTCCCTCTCCCCAGAGCCCCTGCTGCTCTGGCAGCCCCAACCCGACTCCGTCTCCTCCTGCCACAGGTACAAGGGGAGGCAGATGCTCGAGCTGGTTGTGCAG